ACCGCACCAGACAAACGACACAAAAAAGAAGCTTGACGGCTTTAAAATCCATAATGCTCACGTTAAACTGTGTGTAGAAGCCACTGATCTGCTCTGCTGAAGTCGAGCTGTCCGTCACGAGCAGCGTAACAGCACGAGGAACAGATGATTTCCATTTAACAGCATGTTGAACAGATCAACAAGCCTTTTTTCTGGCACTGCGTGGCTGCATTATTGCAGCACTACACTGCAAGTTATTTCACATTATGATTATGTAGACAGTAGTAGTATTATATTGTATTGCACTGCATTTTTTACTAATCAATGTCTCAGTGACTTCTTGTTACAGTAGTTAATCATCAATAGTAATGAGAAACATTTGTGTTTATCATTGTTTACTCTGTCCTGTAATTTGCAACCAAAGCATTTTTATTACGATCATGAATTTGATTTAGTGCTATCCAAAAAGCACGTTATTTACATTTGTTTGTGCTATTGTATTACATCAGCGCTATAACCTCACTGGGTGGAGTGTCATGTCCGTTCACACACACACACAGGCATTTGGCACAACATGACGGGTGTTAACTAGAAACACATGGAGCAGTTTTAACCAGTGTTGGGGAGAGGGACTTTTTAAAAGTAATGCATTGACATTACGTTATAGACCATTTCACAAGATGTAAACAACACTGGTCCAGAAGCACTTCCTGTTTCAGTTTTTTAACACTACATAAAAGCTGGGATAAAATACAACCAACAGAACATATAAAACTGAATCAAAAAAGTTAAACAAACATCTTTAAGATGTTTTCTTTACATGTGAAATAAAGAAAACAGTTACAAACTGAAACAGGAAGTGCTTCTGGACCAGTGTTGTTTACATCTTGTGAAATGGTCTATACCCTGAAGAAGAAACTAATTGCGTTAGTTACTTGTAACCGAAAGTACAGTGCTTTTTCTCATCTGGGCTGGGCTTTCTTGTTTGTTTTTTAATAATAATAATAAAAGTTCATTACATTTTGGCAAATGTGAAGGCCCTTTCACACTAAAAGTTAAAGGGGTCATGAACTGGCTTTTAAAATGTTATTATATTGTTGTCTGAGGTCAACTTAAGACGTTCGCTTGGTTTTTGCATTCAAAAACATCAAAATTAATAAGTACTATAGGCTATTTTGTACCCAAGTTGTGAGCTACAGTCTATGGTTGTGAGCCTTCCTGAAAAACGGTCGGTTTTTATGGGCTTGTCGCATTGAAGACTTGGAAGTAAACACCCACTGCTGCGAGTGGAGAACAGTTTTGCATATTATAATGAGTTTAACTCACCCGTCGGTGTATGTGGGGGAAAACGTCCTATGTTGTCAAATGGCAACCGGATTCGCCCATGCATGTTCGACCCAGAGTCCGTGTGTTGCACAATTCCTGTCAGATCCAATATAGACGGCACAGCACCGTTCTTTACTCTTAATCGGTCTGCAAATCCAGTCTTGTTTACAAAACAATCCTCAGTGAAATGAAGCGAACAGACGACGATGTTTTACCCTCATCAGCTGGAACGTCATTAAAAATAAAGTTTATCCATGAAGTCCTATTGGAATCCAGAGGAAGCTTATACAGCGACTGTCTTCTTCCACAACCAGGCAGTGCACAATATTCTGTATCGCTCGGTAGAACGATCCGGTTTGTCATCACGAGATAGGCATGTAAGTTAGGCTATTTAGCTATGCGTGTAATGCGCGAATCGGTGGGCGGGGCTAAACCGGCCGTGTTGAAGTAGGCGTTGATCTTCTTCTGCGGGGGTGGTGTTTTAACCCCTTCGACGTCATAGTTTCCCACTTTTCAAAACGAGACGTTTTCAGAGGCTGGTGTCAATAAAAGCTTTTATTGGACTAACAAGGACGTTTTCTGTTCTGAAACTTACAGGATATTCTTATAATATGATAACCTCTTAGATATCAAAAGCTCAAGGAAAATTTGATTTCTCAGTTCATCACCCCTTTAAATAAATAAAGCCTCAGACTGAAGGAACTACAGATTCGCGCCTGTACAGTAGAGGGCGCCGCTCAAACAAGCCTTTACTGTAACAATAAAAAGAAAAAAAATAAATACAAATGTGGTCATTTTTGCTTATTTGTATGGTCGAATTGGACCATTGAATGTCAGCAGCAAAGATGTGGATTAACTCTTTCCCCGCCAGGATTTTTTATTTATTTGCAATTGCCAGCCCCCAACATTTTTGAGTATTTCCCCAAGACTTTCATGGCCAAGAAACAACAGAGCCTCTGAATTGTATTCTAGCTTCATGCATTCTTGTTTAATGGCAGATTCCCTCTGTGACCATATGCCCTGTGATGCCCTAAATAAATATATGTTTTTTTTTTAAAATAAGTTTATTTGAACAGGGACATGTTACATAAGCTCATGTTCCATACTACAACATTTTAGCTGAGGCTAATTCTCAATTAGCCCCAGGAAATATTTATTCTTGGCAATAATACTGGAAAAAATTTCAATATTCTCTAGTTAAGACTTAAGTGCCTATAGACTAACTATATGCTGGCTCAATATTCACTAGCGTAAAAGTGTGACAACTAGCCCCGCTCTCCAGTTGAAGAGAACTTGTTGCAGATTACTAGCAATAATTTGCCAGGCTAATGAATATTATGGCATTATCCTTCAGGATTTAGCAAATATTCATTTGTCTTTGAAGCAGAAAAGAATGAGAAATAGATCAAGATTTTATTTTTTGAAATATATATTTTATTTTTTGCTTTGAAAAGTATAAATAAAAGTAAGAAACATAAATCGCAATATAGTTTATACATACTATACAAAACTGTCAGACACATTATTAGTATCCAGTCATATTAATTTAACACAAAGAACAAACTAAACCTCTGTTCAGAATTATTGACCACTGATTGCGGTCCAGCTAGTAAGTCTCGTTATGCATCCGGTTCGACGGGATCTGCACACGAGCAGATCTTACATTCAACACCGGCGCAGAACGCAATCTCAGCATGTAGATTTGTTCAATAAGGCGTAATGTGTGTCAAGTCATGAAGATACGGTCCGGCACCGGATGTCTGGTCAGCGCCTGCAGACTCTCTGCAGTGAAGCTGGTTTACAGTGAACTGATGTTTCGAGACATAAGGCATGTTAGCATGTAAAAGAACAGTAAGTGCACACATGGGTCGGCTACATGCGCTCACAGTGCTGACAGTATGGTGTAGATCAGGGACCAAACACAGAGCCAAAACTGTTTATCGTGCTAAAGGAAATACAATGTTTAAAATTTAATATTATCATGAAATGCACAGCCCACACCATATGCCAAATTATTAAAATGACATTTTCAAAACTGGCAACATCAGTCTGTCTCAGGGTTGCCAAGTCTGCAGTTTTCCCGTGGGACTGGGATACTATTAAATGGTTGATTTCCTTCCTCCTGCGGGTTGAAGGTTTGACATATTGCATAAGTCACATTCGACTGAATTGCTTGTATCATAATATTTTACTCCTTCGACAATCATCCAATGATAAAACTGTGCTAGATAATGAGTTTTGTGAATATATTATGAATACATTATGATTATAAATACTACCGTGTAGAGATCAACTATCTATCTATCAACAGGCCTGCGACTCATTTTTGTAGTGTAGTCTATCTACCATCCATCCATCCATTTATCCATCCATCCGTCCGTCCATCAGCCATCCATTTATCCATCCATTTATCCATCCATCCGTCCATCTATCTATCTATTTATCCAGCCATCCATCCATTTATCCATCATTCATCCCCCCATTTATCCATCTATTTATTCATCCATCCATCTACTTATTTATCCATTTATCCATCCATCCATCTATCTATTTATCCATCCATTTATCCAGCCATCCATCCATTTATCCAGCCATCCATCCATTAATTTATCTATTCATCCATTTATCCAGCCATCCATCCATTCATTTATCCATCCATCCATCCATCTATCTATTTATCCATCCACCCATTTATGCACCCATCCATCCATTAAATTATCCATGCATCCATTTTTCCATCCATATATCCATCCATCCTAGTCTATCTACCATCCACCCATCCATTTATCCATCCATCCATTCATCTATCCATCCATCCATCTATTTATCCATCCATCAATTCATCCATCCATCCGTTTATCCATCCATCCGTTTATCCATCCATCCATTTATCCAGCCATCCATCCATTCATTTATCCATCCATTTATCCATCCATCCATCCATCTGTTTATCCATCCATCCATTTATCCATCCATCCATCCATCCATCCATTTATCCATCCATCAATTTATCCATTCATCCATCCATCCATTTATCCATCCATTTATCCATCCATCCATTCATTTATCCATTATCCATCCATCCATCTGTTTATTCATCCATCCATTTATCCATCCATCCATCCATTTATCCATCCATCCATTCATTTATCCATCCATCCATCCATCCATCTATTTATCCATCCATCCATCCATTTATCCATCCATCCCTTTATCCATCCATCCATCCATCCATCCATTTATCCATCCATCCATCCATCCATCCATCCATCCATCCATTTATCAGTCCATCAATTTATCCATTCATCCATCCATCCATCCATTTATCCATCCATTTAACCATCCATCCATTCATTTATCCATTATCCATCCATCCATCCATCTGTTTATTCATCCATCCATTTATCCATCCATCCATCCATTCATTTATCCATCCATTTATCCATCCATCCATTCATTTATCCATCCATCCATCCATCCATTCATTTATCTATCCATTTATCCATCCATCCATTCATTTATCCATCCATCCATCCATCCATCCATCCATCCATCTGTTTATCCATCCATCCATTTATCCATCCATCCATCCATCCATTTATCCATCCATCCATCCATCCATCCATTTATCCATCCATCAATTTATCCATCCATCCATCCATCCATTTATCCATCCATCCATTCATTTATCCATCCATCCATCCATTTATCCATCCATCCATCCATTTATCCATTCATCCATCCATCCATTTATCCATCCATCCATCTATGAGCCTGGGACTCATTTTTGTAGTGTGACCCATCATTCGAGAACCGCTGATTTAGATCATTCAATACACACAGCATTAGTACATTAGGACAATCCACCTTATTTCTAACGTGAGATTAGTAACCTGAATGTGCGAGGCTTCCGAACAAAAACGGTCTGTTATGCAGTTTGATGTTGCAAACTGATATTTGTTGTCATGTTATTTTAACGTCCTATCGTAAATAGCAAAAATCTGACCATTTACTGCCCTTTGTTATTCTTAGTTAAGTCCCTATAGCGGCTAATGAATCAGAACACTGGTACGTTCACAGGAAAAACACTGGTACGTTCACCTAAAATCCCGATCTGCATTTGTCCTCCAATCACTAAACACACACACAGCAAACCTGCAAACACTCAAACACAGAATACTGCAAACTGTGAGGTAAAACATGCAAAATACAGTCCGACACGTCAGTACAGAAGAACTGAAGTCAAACACATCGTGCATCGATCGACTGACAGTGAGAAGGTCAAATCTGAGGAACACCGTCAATGCAATCCCGAAGACCGGGGTGGCTTTCCTCTCTCTAGGTGGGACAGAGCACTGTGAACGAGAAATCATGTTCAAGTTCTGATATATAATAACAGAAATCATCATGAACAGATCAATACTTGCTTGCTTGATAAGTAACAGTAAAGGGACAAACCAAAGAAGAATTTATGAAGAATCTTCATGCTGCTTTTTTCCATACAACAACAGTTTATAGTGACCAAGAGGAATCAAAAACACTACGATTGAAGAACACTACTAAATCCTTACAACGTCTTTTACTGTTGAATTTTAACATACACTCACCTAAAGGATTATTAGGAACACCTGTTCAATTTCTCATTAACGCAATTATCTAATCAACCAATCACATGGCAGTTTCTTCAATGCATTTAGGGTCAAGACAATCTCCTGAACTCCAAACTGAATGTCAGAATGGGAAAGAAAGGGGATTTAAGCAATTTTGAGTGTGGCATGGTTGTTGGTGTCTGAGTATTTCACAATCTGCTCAGTTACTGGGATTTTCACACACAACCATTTCTAGGGTTTACAAAGAATGGTGTGAAAAGGGAAAAACATCCAGTATGCGGCAGTCCTGTGGGCGAAAATGCCTTGTTGATGCGAGAGGTCAGAGGAGAATGGGCCGACTGATTCAAGCTGATAGAAGAGCAACTTTGACTGAAATAACCACTCGTTACAACCGAGGTATGCAGCAAAGCAGTTGTGAAGCCACAACACACACAACCTTGAGGCGGATGGGCTACAACAGCAGAAGACCCCACCGGGTACCACTCATCTCCACTACAAATAGGAAAAAGAGGCGACAATTTGCAAGAGCTCACCAAAATTGGACAGTTGAAGACTGGAAAAATGTTGATGAGTCTGGATTTCTGTTGAGACGTTCAGATGGTAGAGTCAGAATTTGGCGTAAACAGAATGAGAACATGGATCCATCATGCCTTGTTCCCACTGTGCAGGCTGGTGGTGGTGGTGTAATGGTGTGGGGGATGTTTTCTTGGCACACTTTAGGCCCCTTAGTGCCAATTGGGCATCGTTTAAATGCCATGGCCTACCTGAGCATTGTTTCTGACCATGTCCATCCCTTTATGGCCACCATGTCCCCATCCACTGATGGCTGGATAATGCACCATGTCACAAAGCTCGAATCGGTTTCTTGAACATGACAATGAGTTGACTGTACTAAAATGGCCGCCACAGTCACCAGATCTCAACCCAATAGAGCATCTTTGGGATGTGGTGGAACGGGAGCTTCGTGCCCTGGATGTGCATCCCACAAATCTCCATCAACTGCAAAATGCTATCCTATCAATATGGGCCAACATTTCTAAAGAATCAGTTCTGAAGGTGAAAGGGGGTCAAACACAGTATTAGTATGGTGTTCCTAATAATCCTTTAGGTGAGTGTATTTAGTCTCTGATTGTAACCATTGGCTTTCTTCTTTCTATGATTATTCCACTCTTGAGTCGTCTAGTTCTTATAGAACCGATTGGAGGCCAGTTATGAAATTTGGCACACAGATAGAGGACAGTCTGAACTTTAACCACATTAAAAAATTAAGTCTATCCCTCTAGCACCACCAACTGTCCAAAAGTTGCACTCATGTTTACACTAATAACTGTTGAACAGTAAGGGGAAGAAACACAATATTTTTTTCCACATGATCCTTTAGAAATCATTTTAAAGGGATACTCATTTTACAACTCCCCCAGAGTTAAACAGTTGAGTTTTACCGTTTTCGAATCCACTCAGACGATTTTCTGATATTTAGAAGAATATCGGTAAACAGACAGTTTTTGGTCTCATTGACTTCCATAGTAGGAAAAAAATATATACTATGGATGTCAATGAGACCAGAAACTCTCTGGTTACTGATATTCTTCGTTCTAAATATCAGAAAATCAGCTGAATGGATTTGAAAACCCAACTGTTTAACTCTGGAGGATTTGTAAAATTAGCCTATTTCCAAAATAAGCGGAGTATCCCTTTAATATGCTGATTTATACATTATTATTGGTGCTCAATTATGAATAATGTTTCTTTTCAATGTTGAAACAAACAGAAGGTTTAAAAGAACAGCATTTATTTGAAATTTAAATCTTTAGTAACATTATAAATGTCTTTACTCTTATTTTGATCAATTTAACGCATCCTTGCTGAATAAAAAATCTTTTTTTTTTATCTTAAGCAAACTTTTGATTGGTAGTCTATCACTGTATCCACAAAAATATGAAGCAGGACAACTGTTTTCAACACTAATAATAATCATAAATGTTTCTTGAGCAGCAAATCATCATATTAGCGTGATTTCTGAAGGATCATGTGACACTGAAGACTGGAGGAATGATGCTGGAAATACAGCTTTTATTACAGGAATAAATTACATGTTACAATATATTCACACAGAAAAGAGTTAAATAAAATAGTAAAAATATTTCACAATATTGGCCTTGGTGAGACTTCTTTCAAAATCATTAATAAATCGGAATGATTCCAATCTTCTGTTTTAATGATGAAGTCATTCAGACCTGAAACCAGTCAATAATGGTGATGAGTGAGTAAATAATGACAGAATATGACACTATCCTTGGACAGGTATCAGGCCACTAAAGGAGAGAGTAAAGCGCAGCGCTCAGGGCATCGACTGCATGTAACCGAGCAGCGCTGGCCGTTGCCGGGGAAGTTTACAGGGAGGCTACAGTGAAACACGATCTGTTGCTACGGTAACGGCGGGAGACAAACACAGGCGCACTATGATCTAGATGCTCATTATCTATGAACTAAACCTCTGACAAACCTCACAGACCAGCACTAGAACAACTCCTGCAAGAACAGAGAGATCATGAAGGAGGACGAGCAGAAGACGATAGTGGAACTGAGATCTTAAAGGAGTAGTTCACTTTTGAAAAAACTTTTACTGATAATTTACTCACCCCATGTCATCCAAGATGTCCATGTCTTTCTTTCCTCAGTCGAAAAGAAATTAAGGTTTTTGATGAAAACATTCCAGGATTTTTCTCCATATAATGGACTTCAATGGGGTCCAAACGGTTCAAGGTCCAAAAGACAGTTTCAGTGCAGCTTCAAATGTCTTTAAACGACACCAGACGATGAATAAGGGTCTTATCATGCGAAACGATCGGTTATTTCAAAGCTTATTCCAAAAATGTAACTTTTCTAAGGACAAATGCTCGCCTTGCTCTATTCTGTGAGGCGCGTTTGTAACGTCACGTAATACGTAATTACGTTCAAAAGGTCACGGGCGACGTAGCCGGAAGTACAGAGTCAGAGTGTTTACAAGTTGAACGCATAGGTTGAATGTGCAAACTAACTCAAACGCCGTTTACAAAAAAAGGAATTAAAAGGTAAAACAACGATGTCGGACGATTTTGATTCTGTACTTCCGGCTACGTCGCCCGTGACCTTTTGAACGTAATTACGTATTACGTGACGTTGCAAACGCGCCTCACAGAATAGAGCAAGGCTAGCATTTGTCCTTATAAAAGTTACATTTTTGGAATAAGCTTTGAAATAAGCGATCGTTTCACATGATAAGACCCTTATTTATCGTCTGGTGTCGTTTAAAGACATTTGAAGCTGCACTGAAACTGTCTTTTGGACCTTGAACCATTTGGACCCCATTGAAGTCCATTATATGCAGAAAAATCCTGGAATGTTTTCATCAAAAACCTTAATTTCTTTGCGACTGAAGAAAGAAAGACATAGACATCTTTGATGACATGGGGGTGAGTAAATTATCAGCAAAAGTTTTTTGAAAGTGAACTGCTCCTTTAATACAGTTTACATGTGAGCAAAGCAGCATAACTCTATCTAAAATCTAAAGATGACTTTCTAAGATGATCAGTTTCTATAGTTTGTTTATATGTTTATACCTTGCAGAGGAACACAATCACTTTTAATTGCCAGGGTTTGATCATCATTCATAACTGAGCTGAGAGCAACAGGACGCAGGATTGAAATCTGTAAAATATTTGAATCTGAATCTAAAGGTGCATTAAAAACTTTGCAGGTGAAAGAGAGAAAGAAAGCAAAATCATACGCAATTATTTACGCTTATGTGTTGCACTAATGAAACTCCCCGGTTTCTTGTGGAAAAGTAGTGTTCATTTGTGAAGATTATCACGTGTAAGGATCATGAACTTTTGTTCGTCACAGAGCTTATATTTTCTGCAATAATCCAAAAGTCAATGGAAAATAAAATGATGCATTTGTGTTGTTACCTTTGAGGATGTAGTCTGTGAGGAGGCTTGGGACTTTATCACTGTCATCCCTCATGGCTTCTAAAACTGCAGAAAAGCGAACGTTAGCAACGACAGGTCAAGATTTATCTACCACTGAACACTTGTAGCAGAAAAGCAGGGCATTCGATAGATATCACAGCACTTGGACTCACTTTTGGTAAAGATCTGCAGGTCTTGGACTGACGGCGGCTCGTCTTTCCTCTCGTACGGGATTACCGTCGTTACATACTGAATAAAAGACGAGCACAGATGAGAGGGGTTAAACACACCACTGAATGATGGGATGTGTCTCAAAACAGTGTGTGTTCACGCTTTCTGCAGTGTTGGGAAACTACTTTTAACTTTTTCTTCAATTTTTAGTATTTAAGACAGTATTTATGTGGCACAAAAAAAAAGTTCTCTATAAACACATTACTAAATACAACAGTAAACTAAACACCCGACACCATTTTCAACTAAAAACTGAAAACTTTGAATGTTTTGGCCATTGATTTACACGACAGCGGTGTTTTGAGGGCGTGAAAACGCAAACTTTTGAAAACTGGATTCAAAGTGCAAGTTTTTGAAAACAATACTGTTATCGTCTCGGTGTAAACCACAAAAGTGACGTATGGACTATGTGCACGTTAGCATATGCTAGTTCCGGCTGCGAAACCGATATGGCGTGTCTAGTTTCCGGTAGCCTGATGGACGACGTAGAGGATGTATGTTTCTCCAGATGTCTTGAACATTTGCCGAATATTACAGTCGATTATGTTCATCGACTGGCTAATGATTTTCCTCCAGCTCCCCAGAGCAAGAGAGAAGGGGTTTAAATATTACATTTCTCAGTATTTGCATCATTTTGAAGGGAACGTTAAGTCACAACAACATCCATGCTCAGACTGATCTCATGAAATTGCGTATGTATGACACGTATCACGTATTTTTGGCATGCTATCAACACGCTCTCTTTTCAGCGTTTTTATGAATACCGTTTACTTAACGTTATTATTGTATATATATATATATATATATATATATATATATATTATACACAGTGTATATATATATATATATCTATATATATATATAGCATATGACCTACCTCAACCCCAACCTACCCGTCACTCCTACCATCCTAGGAAAAAATAAATATCGCTCCCCAGATGTAGATCTACATTTTGTTTTGTTTCGCTCGGACATTTGACGGCGTGTACATACGCGGTACACGTGGAATCACTCGGACATTAATGTTGCCATGCAACGTACGTGCTCAAGCTATGCGATTTGGTAACTGTTATATCTCTCTATACATTATAAAATGCGAAATCATGCGTTAGAAAGTGCATTTTCCAGAACAGTTTGTGTTGGCCATTGTTTTGTTTATGATGTTCAGAGGCTATGTTGTTGACAACCACTATCGTCATATAGATCAGTGTTGACAACCACTATACATGCCATACAGGGAGTAAATCCGATGGTTCGTTCGTTATCAAGTTAGGCTGTTTAACACATATTAGGCTGTTCACACATATTTCTAAACAGGTCTCCCTTTCAAAATAGGTTCTAAACCCAGGGGCTTCTCCTGGTTAAAGGGTATAATATAATAAATAATTAGTAGCCTAAAAACTTCCTTCTAGTTGTCATGGATACGCAACGCTCCACTCTGTAAAGCGACTGCTTGGGTGCGGTGACAAAATGTGAAATATCGTTTAACGTACTTTTCACAATGCAGCAGCGCCTGGCTCCACCCAAATATGAGTGAAAACTGTGTTGGTTGACTTGACAATGAACAAACGAACATAGTTTTAGACAAATATATTTAGATAGCTAAGCTTTAGATAGCCGGTCCACTGATGTAGGATGTAAACAACGGCAACCGGAACCGAAGTACCCAATATCCGCCCTCAAGGCGGAAGTTAGCATTTTTCTCGTGCACAGAGTCAATTACGTGTTCAGTCGTGGTTTTTTTACAACATGACATTGCCATTTAGTGGCCTGGCAGCAGAATACAGCGTTTTTAGTTGATTTTGCGGAGATCATTTTGACAACTTTGTCGTCTGTACAAGAAAAACCTTTTCATTTTTAGTACATCATTGTCGTGTAAACGAACCCTTAAATAACTCAGATAAAGCATATGACAAATTAAGCACTAACATACACAACAGGGTCAAGGAAATAACTCCCAAACTTTTTTGCCAGCCAAATCCTTTTGACCTACAATAATTTCCTAAAAAGTGATATTAAAGTTAATATTTCAAAAATTGCATACAAATAGCATAACAAATAGCATATTTAATCTTTTATAATAATCTTTTTATTTTGACCCTTTTCACAGAGCACTTTTCTACAGTTAATATTGTAAATCTAGCTTGTACGTTTATATATATATATATATATATATTACACTATAACACTATATTTTGTTTTATTACATTAAATTAATTATTATGAATAATTTAAATGACAGAAAAGCTGCTGTGTGATATTATCTTATGCAATGCCTGATGGAGTGACTGTGTGACTGACTACTGCAATCGAGCTCTCGAAGGCTTTATTTTTTTTGGCTTTTGGAAAGTCCCAGAAACTCTACTGAAGACTTTTCTTTTGCTATCGGATCAAATGGGAATACAAAAATGATATTTGTTGTAGTTTCTGTTCACCGCTGTAGAAGTTGTGGCAAAATATTTGATGGCCTTTAAATGATCTTAACCCTTTTATTCACAGATCACTGGTCAGGAAATGAGCAAGAATTGCACAATATAGTGTAGATAAAGTAATAGCCGTTCCCAACGTGCAGACAGACTTTTACGGGAAGAAGAGTCAGTGTTGCTCCACTCAATGTTAATGGCTTCAAACTATTCACAAGTAGTTGAACAAATTCTCCCAGTTCGTTTGAGTTTAACGTGAGACCAAATATTCACTATAGGCTTCAAACCTGGACCAAAACATGAGCCTGATGGACTCGATCTCAAGACACTTCTTAGCTGTCTTTGGCCATTGTCTTGTTGACAAATAACATTTGATCATTCCTCTTTAGATAACAACTTTTCATTTAAGGGAAGCAAGCCATTCTGCAATATTCTCCTGTCCTCTAAAGGATTAAATGACTTCATACAGTGAAGTAGCTCACCAATACCAGCAGATAAACTGTCACAGTATGGGTTTGTGTTTCCCTGGTTCACCACTAGAGGTCAATGTAAAGCTAAGTGTTTGGCCATTTTGGACTTGGCTTATTTCTTTCCCAGGAGTGTATGACGTAAGTAACTGTGAAAAGGGCCCATAGTTACAGTGTAAACTATAAAAACACCAATATTTCATTTATTCCCAGTTCTGAAAAAAATAATAATTTAACTCACGCTGGATGGCAATTTTCACCAATTCTGGCCCGATGCAGCATTACTTTGCTAATCAAGCATAACGTTACTAATAATTCAAATCAGCCTTAGAACTGAAAATGCCCAACAAAAGATATCTGGGTATTTAACTCACGAGGCTTCTGCTGATAACAGACTAGAGCTGAATGTTACGAGCAGTGTCAGAAGAGAAGAGGATATCCACCTGTTTCTCACCGCCTCCGTTCCTAAAAGTGTGCCGAAAACCATTCTGAATGGCAGTAGAGATGCCCTCCATGCTGAAGCGCTACACACACACACACACACACAACAGAGGGAAGAAGAGAACGAGACAGGGACAGCAAGAACAGAGTGAACGAGGAAATTAAATCACATCAACTACAGCAAGAGGTACTTGAGGAAGAAAGGGATTGGGATTGACATCGCAAATGTGTTTCCAGACCAGTAGCTATTGTGATTGGATATCGTGTTTCAGGAACATCAAATATATCAAACTAAATCACATGCGCACCATTTATGATGAGCTCTACGTATGTGTGTTGATCAAGGTAAACGTCTAAATTAAATGTGTCCATCATATAAAGTAGAGCCCGACCGATAAAGGATTTTGAAGGCCGATACCGATACAAATATTTTTGGGTTTTAACATCCGATATATCGGCCGATATTTTATTTATTTATTTGAAACTGGACATGATAGTCACACATTTTGTCCTGCTTATTTGAGTTAAGAGAACTGATGGGGATGTTCTTTTAATTGTTATTCAAGCGTTGTATGTATCGTGCCCAACTCAACGAGTGTTCCCAACAGGAACGGTGTAGAGCGCCCTCTGGTGGACAAACTATACAACTCAAACACTCATGACATGGTTTAAGCGTGTTTTGTCCATTTTTATTTTTGAAATATTCATTTATCGGCCATTATAACTGCCGATACCGATAGTTTGGAAAATGCCTAATATCGGCCGATAATATCGGTCTGGCTCTAATATTAAGGGATCGTTTCGATTCAACTTTTAACATGTCTTCTTAACATAAACTTTTTGAAGGTGGATAATTTTGCTTGCGTGGACTTAAATGGACAAAAATATATAAAAAATCCGTGACACTTTACTTGGGGTTTGCATACGACTGACATGACTGCTTCATAATCATGACAGGACACATGTGAATATGAAAGAGGTTTTATGCATGTTTATGACACAACTGTCATTAAGTGTCTTTCGCTCAATAATGACATTTTTAATGCAAATATGACATTGTTTGAGATGTCTTTGTCATGACATCTTGACATAAACCAATACATCATAACCTGTCATAAATATGTTATAAACATGACATAGCAGATTAATTATCAAACTTAAGAAAGCACTTAGCTTTATGGGTTAACATTACATTAAACTGTCAGGTGGTTGGTTTTGACATTGGCTGTCATGAGGCCATTAAAACTTTTTAATGACAAATTCAATTAGTAACACTGTAGATGAGGTCACGAAAAATATTCCTGACACAGTTATAATGCCTCATGACAGCCAATGTCAAAGCCAACCACATGACAGTTTAATGTAATGTTAACCCATAAAGCTGAGTGCTTTCTTAGGTTTGATAATTAATCTGCTATGTCATGTTTATGACATATTTATGACAGGTTATGATGTATTGGTTTATGTCAAGATGTCATGACAAAGACATCTCAAACAATCTCATCATATTTGCATTAAAATGTCATAATTAAGCGAATGACAGTTAAAGGTACAATACGTACGAATGTTGAAATAAAATTTCCAAAAGTCACTTGCACAGTGTGATATATTCCCTGCAGTTGTGTACTTACAATATCCCAAAAGTCTCAAAAGATCTTTTTATTTCAGAGAAATTCCGACTTTAAATAAGTGGCCGTTCCGGAAAAAAATGTCGCCTGTCAATGACGCAATATCCGCGCTATCCTCGGTTTCCATTCATACTGCCATAGCCGTGACGTAACCATGGCGACTGACTGCGTAGTGCGTAACGTTTAGCGGCACCCAGTTCTAGCTAGCGTCCGTGACTAATTTGGACTTCACAGAACTTCACGAGTCACGACTTGACAGCTTTATTAGACGGGTGAGCAAATGTACACAAAACAAATCAATGTTATAACGTTAACTGTGACATGATGGAATGTTAGAATATGGTCAGTATGTTATTCTTATCTTGATCTAGCCATACATATTATCTAAAGGCTAGATGTCTCACGGCGGAGTATTTATCGTCATCACCGGCGGCCATCTTGTCACAGACAGGCTTTCTGGCGGGCTCTGTGGTATCTGATGTAAGAAATACTCTTATCTTGTCGAAATCTTGACGGATTTAGAAACGGTTTGGTTTCTTACAAACGTTATTAACGTGGCTATAATTCTGGATGATTATTTATTTATACACTTAATATTCATAAGTATGCAGTATCATGACTACATCTCTACTGTTTATAACAAACCAAATCGGTAGAAAATTGAGAAAGTTACGGTGATTTAAATAGTACACGCACCATCAAAACAATGTTACGAGTGAGCGAGCTGCCTGTGACAAGATGGCCGCCAGGTGCTGACGTCGACCTCCATTGGCCAGCAGCGCGGACGAGATATCTAGCCTTTATATAGATATCTATGGACCTAGCTGCTAGTTTCGTTTAGCAAACGAACTAACATGTAGTTTAACATTATAACTTTCAACACACATTTAATTGCCGTTTAGTGTGATAGTGTAACGTTATACCAAGTGGAATAGCACTGTATTTCCTTCACAAAGTTTAATTCCCCTAATAAACTGACCTGTGCGAGTAATCCAGCACTTGCGTGTAACGTTAGTTCAATAGGATGAAATGTCCTTATTCCTTTACATCCGCGGGACTCGCGTGTGATATCTGTCTCTTATTAGCAATCGCGCCCTGCTTCATACCACAGTGATGTTAAAAACATGAGTGTTTTCACTAATTCATAAACATTATTAGATCTATCAGCTTGACAGCAAGTCCCATCATTCAGCTCATCACTGCATCATCAACCTACGCCTTTGTTATTGTTGGAAACTGCGTCCTCTTGTGGCGAAAAAAACTACATATTGTAGCTTTAATGACAGTTGTCATAAACATGCATGAAACCTCCTTCATAGTCATGATTGTGAAGGTGTCAAGTCAGTCTTATTGCACACCCCTTCGAGTAAAGTGTTACCCGAATATCTTAATTTGTGTCTTATGTTTGATGGGTTTGAACTAACCCTTTGAAGTCAGCATGAATCTGAAGTTATGAAGTTAAGTGAGTTTATCCACTGGCTGGTTACATAGTAAAAGGTGAGTGTTCAACGCAGTCAGCAAACAGAAACATGCATGATTGAATATATATTTAGTTTTATTAAAAAATATCCTGGCTCTTCCAAGCGTCGGGGCAGAGGTCACTCTTCTGCCGGAACTAGACTCGCATACGGCCATTACCGGAAGCCAGTGATTATAGTTTATAAAGTTATAAATATGGATATTTTTCTTACAAAAACGCATCGCCTCACTTCAGAAGGCCTTTATTAAAGGGGTCATGACATGTTTTATTATGTTCCCTTAAGTCCAATCATAGTATTACTATAGTTTTTTGTACATTTTTTTTTTTTTTTAATGTAGTGATTTATGACATTTTCCCACCTCTGATTCAAACAGTCTGCTGATTATTTTTATGATGGACTGATGCACTTTTTTGGACTTCACAATCTAAGGTAACATTCACTCCCATATTAAAGTTTGGAAGAACCAGGGCATTTATTAATATAACTCAGATTGTGTTTGGCTGAAAGAAGAAAGTCATATACACCTAGGACGGCTTATGGAAAGATTTTCATATTTGGGTGAACTATCCCTTTAAGAAAATAAATAGGGTCAAATTTGATTTTGAAGTGTGTGTGAAATGCCTAAACAAACACACACAAGTGCTTCCACTAAATCTAATGACTCACAGAAGACGGCAGCCTCTCGGATCCAGACCCGGTCCTCACCCTCCTCTTCTTCTTCAGCATCTCTCGCTGCACCTTCTGTCGGTTCTGTACGTCGATGAGAACCGAGATGAAGCTGTTCTTCACCTCCTTCTCAAACTCCAGCTCGTCCCTCATGGCCAGATGCTGGACCAGCTCCTCTGAATATCCCCGTATGAGCGTCTGCACGTCCTCCAGCTCATCGCTCAGCTCCTCGACACACATCAGCTTCACTCCTGCACAGAGAACACACACTCAACACTTCAACACCACGTTTATTTCTATACCGATTTTCTCAATACACATCGTTTCAAAGCAGCTTTGAGTCCGCATTACAATCTAGAGAGACCTGTTATCAGAGCCCAGCAAGCGATAGCCATCATTTCACCGTCTAGGTGAACCATAGACCCGATATTGAGTCTCACTTCTAGCCAAAATAACCTTGAATATGGATACATGTCATTTTTTTTGGCCAAATGTAAGGTATTTCATCATGTAAACAGTGATTACAAGGTCATTTCTTCACTCATTTCACTTTATTGTTATCTAAATGATGACTATAGTCTAAATAGCCAAAATAACCTTGAATATGGATACATGTAGTTTTTTTTTTGCCAAATGTAAGGTATTTCATCAAAGTAAACAGTGATTACAAGATCATTTCTTCACTCATTTCACTTTATTGTTATCTAAATGATGACTATAGTCTATTCTTGGGATATGGTTTAGACGTCTATTAAATTTTCTCTGACAGTCCAACTTTTGCCTTGTTTTAGCCTAGGCTGTGTTTGGACGCTATTAGACGTCTAAATAACGAAAAATAGTAGGGATGCACCGATATGACAATTTTGGCTGATACCGATAACCGATAATTCTTATAGTTGAAAGCCGATAGATAACCGATATATTGGCCGATATATCCACAATAATCCACAATTTTAGACAATTTTTGAGAGCCTGATAATAAAAAAAGTCTCCAAAAGCCAAGATACAAACACAATTATGATTTTAATGTTGTGTAGCCGATATGACATTTTGCACTTTAACTGGATTTTCCTTTTGTAAAGTGATTTCAATCGTATTTCAAGCAATTAAAAAGCATCATGTTGAACAGAGCGCATCTAAAGTGCCTCAGCTGAAGGAAATAATACATTATTTAACGGCTTTTAGATATCGGCTTAATGTTCTTGTTGGGCCGATAACGATAACATTAAAAATGATGATATATCGGCCGATACCGATAATGTGGCCGATATATATCGTGCATCCCTAAAAAATAGCTTGCTGGGAGGTGACTGTCTAATTTATGTATTTCAGAAAATCAGAGTTAGCTAAACATGTATTCATTTAAACAATGTAGTACTTTAATGCGGATACAATGAGCTCAGTGAAGTAATGCGTACTTGTTTGTTAACGAATGATTATGACGAATAGATAATCTAGCATTGGTGGAACACGTCCTCCAGAGGGACGTACTCACTGTCCTCGTAGATCTGGATGCTGTGAGATCTGTGGCTCTCCTGAGAGATGAACGAGTGTGAAGCTTTCTGCTCCGAGACCATCTCTGGAGAGTCCTGCATCAGCTCCTCTATCTCCTCAATAACCTGAAAAGAACCATTCCTTTCAGATATACAGCACTATACTTTTTGTTTTGGATTGGTATGATTTTTGAAAGAAGTTTCTGAACCAGACTCCAGACAGACATGTACAATACTTGAAACGAGCTGAAACAACTGATCCAGTGTTTTGAGGTTCAGTGCACACCTGTTCCGCAGTGAGCAGCGGCTCCTCGATGATGCTGGACACGATGATGGAGTGCATGTCCATCTGCTCCCTCAGGTCCTCATCGTCAGACAGGTCCAGGTTCACAGCCTCCGCCCGCTGAGGGAATGACATTAGGAAGCGTCACCGTGGTCCGAATCCCATCATTGGGAGTTTAAGGGATAGTTCACCCCAAAATGAAAACTCTGTCAGCAATTACTCTCCCATGTTGTTCAATTCACTTTCGTTCATCTTCGCTACACAAATTAAGATATTTTTGAATAAATCTGAGAGCTGGATCACTCCTCCATAGGCGTCTTATGATGCGTTCACACCGGACGCGAATAGCGCGAGTGATTTCAATGTTAAGTCAATGCAAAGACAAGTTATGCGCGTAAAAAAATCTTGCGGCGCGGTAGACGCGAATACGCCTCGTTCACGCGAATGGCACGAATTGAGTGTCTGGCGCATTAAGCGCGAATGATTTAGATACTGCTATTTGTGCATTCACGCGTTTGACGCGAATTCGCGCCTGCCGCCCGAGTTCAAAAATCTAAACTTTGGCGTCAATTCACGCCACGTTAACCAATCAGGAGCCTAGCTGCTTGCTCACGTGGTGAAGTATCTGGATGCTTCAATAAAGAGCGAGCAAATGGTGAAACTCGCCAAACGGTTTACCTCCGAAGGGTCCGGTGGACACAAATACGGCGACGATGATCCCCACGCCGCTGTTCTGCTCTCCAGAGCAAATACAGAGCAGTGACTCTCTCGACGAATGCTCGATCAACATAAAAAATATGGCCACCAATAGGTTTCGATTCTAAATTTCGCTTCAAACTTTTGTTTTAAAGCGCATCAATTTCGCTCGACACGCAAATGGATTCAAAGTGTTCAATGCGTATAACTAGACGCGATAGCCGCGAATTTGATGCGCTATTCACGTCTGGTGTGAACGCACAGTAAGTCATCGAAACTTGCCGGCCCAGAAAAGTTAAAGACATCGTTAAAATAGTCCAAGTGACGACATTGGCTCAACCTTAAATTTATCAAGCAACGAGAATACTTTTTGTGCGCAAAAAACAAACAAAAATAACGGCTTTATTCAACTATTCATTTCCTTCTCTGTGGGCCTCGAGATTTCACATAGTGTAACAGTGCAACGCTTCTGGGTCGTACGTCACACGCATCGTACACATGACCAGCGTCGCCCAATAGTGAGCCTACATGTGATGTACAAAACTCAGTACCCGGTTTCATAAAGCACCTTAAGTTTTCCCCTTAAGAATGATACTTAAGGAGCGATTTCCCCTTACCTCAGAGAACAACTTAAGGGTGTTGCACATAATCTCTTAAACGGTTCTCTTAGGTAAGGGAAACAATTAAAGCTACACTGTGTAACTCTTTTAGTTTATTCTTAGCTAAAAACACTTAGGTCTTTCAAAAATATATGTGCTTATTAATGTATATTTACTTCGTTCAAATAACAAAGTGTTCTCGTGAGTGTATAATATGCCATTGGAAAAACATACGGGTAAGGGGTTCGCCATGTTGCCCCTCCATCTTGAAAGTACATTAGCCAAAGAGGGACAGACCCGTTAATTCAAGCTTCGCCTTTCGCGCTTACGTTTGAGTTAACACTCATGGACGAGGTCGAACTGGAAGCCATGTTAATGTTGGACTACATTGGCCACCGTAGGAGTTAAAACGAAATCGGAATAGAGGGGAACAGAAACTAATATTCACTGGATGGTCATATACATTTTCACCACTAGATGGGGGTAAAAATCACACAGTGTTTCACAACAGCGATCCTGGATTCATGTTATAAAAAGTCTGTTGTTGCCATAGATACGCAAAACACTAACACGGTTTCATCAAATAAAGTAGGCTAGGATATCGGAATGGATAAAGAAAACAAAAAAGAAAGCCTAATTGGACAGAGGAGTAGAAATGTATTCTTCTTGACGAATATGGTAAAATAAAAACAATTTTGAAAAGCAAACTATGGGTTGGAAACTTTTAAAGGGTAACTAAACACCAAAACAACTTTTTTTAGTTAATGATCTGTAAGAATGGAGCTTCATAAATGCTGTTCATTGATTCGAGTACATTTTTTGACAATTGAGTATAAAGTGTTTTGATTTTCAAATATATGGTGTAAAAACGTCTGAGTGCTGCCCTCTTCAGGTTAAACGGAAAGCTCCTGCAGTAGGGGTACTTGCTGACGTAGCGAACTCTCAGACGCACTCTGTCACACCCTTGGTGCGAGCTCACCACGCCCTTGGCAACCCCTGGTATAAAAGCATCTGGTTCCGTCAAAACTACTGTAGCGAGTCAGGAGTTGGATTTATGAGTATTGAAAACGATCAGGATACTATAGCATATAATAGCATCTAGTTAGCATAGCATTTATATAGTTATTTAGATTATTTTTGAAAACGACCAGGATAGAGTATTGTTGCATCTATTTAGCATAGCATTATATAGATAATTTAGATTATTTTGTGTAGCTAGTAGCATAGTACAGTTAGGATAGCTTCAAGTTAGCATAGATTTATCAGTGTTTAGTACAGTGATCAGGATAGTAACGGAGGTGGACATGGGCTTCTCCACACGCAGTGCCAAACACTGCTCGTCCTGCATGGACTCCTCCACCGCAGCGGCGTCTTGATGTGAGTGATCATGGATATTTTAATCACAATTTATGGTTAGGATAAAGTTAATCCTCTAGGGTCGACAAACGAGCCGGTGCATTTTGCTGGATTTTTTCATATAGCTGGCATAATATCAATAGCGTGCGCTATTGAGATCAACTCGACGACATAACTCATCAGATGCCGGTCGCGATGCGGGAGTTAAGACCGCAGTTTGAGCCAGCAGCTCGAATGGATTTGGCCCTGTGTATACATACAATTCACCCTCATCCACTTCAGGTGAAGGTGAAGGTGAGGGAGAAAAGTCATCGACTTCAAATGGCCGCTCTATTGCAAAGGCAGCTACTTGAGTCACTCCAGTCTCGCTCTATTTTAGAGTCTGACAGCAGCTGTCACTCACGGCGGGTCTCAGGTGCACGCCCCCTAGCCCCGCTGGGGTCTGCCCATTTTTTCAGCATTTTTCAAATATTGCTAGTGGGTGGAGTCAGGCTCTGACCAGGGGTTTAGTTACCCTTTAAATGAATGGAAAGAGCTCTCGCAACCCGGTCATCTCCCACTATCGTCTGAAAACTCCCAGTTGCAAAATAACGCAGTGATAAGCAGTTGTAACACCGCAGGTTGTAATGTTCGACATGGTCAAGGTCGCCGTCTAGTTTGTTAGCGATGTCAAATATTGCGCGAATGCGTGTCGATCAAACCGGTATTCTTGCAACAATGATGGTCCAAAGGGTTCTCCCTATCCCTAAAAATTCTTCTTGCCACAGCACGATCTTCAGCTGGTTCCATGAATTCAACCATTTCGTCTTATTTTTGTCCGTGTTACTCTTAAAGTTACGATTTTATTCCGTGTTACTCTTAAAGTTACGATTTAAGGGAAATTACCACTATAGTGTTGGGAGTAACGCATTACAAAAGTAATACATTACAGTAACATATTACTTTTTGCTGTAACGCAGTAGTGTAAGGCATTACTAATCAATTTTCAGTAATATTTTACTCGTTACATGTTCAGTCAGGCTTATATTACAGTTGTATTACAGTGTATTTTACTTCTTAAAGGCAACAGACTATGTGAAAGTTTTAAAGCAGTCTTTTAGTGTTAGTTCAGAGCGGTCGCGTCTGTAACATTGTTTTTTCCTCATAAATGCGAACACGAAAACTAAAATGCCAACCCCTTCTCATCCAATTTGCGCAGTGTAATTAACAGAATTACAAAAAATATATTTTGCCTCCTATTTTTTTTTTGTCACGCATGAATGTGTGTCTTTTCCTTAATATTAAAAATAAAACATAGACTGATATTTGTCTAATGTCTAATGTCTGTCCTTTAAGGAAATAGCCTATATACGTTTCAATACATGTGTTTTCTGAGAATTTTTATTTCAAGTTTTGACTGCAAATGTCACGTCCATAATGCTGGAATTTTAAATACTTTATCCTCAACTAGTTTTGTGGTGTAGGTCTACGTATTTTATAATGTTAACTTCAAATAATACTAATAGCCTAATTTAAAGATAAGGCAGCATTGGATCTGGACGGTAAGGAGAATAACGCTGGAGTTGGAAGAGGTGTGTCGCGATTCTGTAGGTTCGTGGATCTGAGTTGTGTGGTGAATCGCGATTTCGGTTTCAAATTGCATATCGTTACAGCCCCAAAGTTAAGTACTACTTAGTTATTTTGGTGAAAGTAACTCAAAAGTAATACATGAGTAATGTAACGCATTACAATTCTGGGACAGTAATATTGTAAGGTAATGAATTACTTTTAAATAACAGTAACGAGTAATACCTAATGTATTACAGTTTGGAAGTAACTTGCACAACACTGCTGCTAAATAACACTTAACGCTTTTTAAGGTATAACTTAAGTGAAAAAACAGCATTTGAGGGAAAATCAAAGTGTTTATGATGTTTCACTTAAAGAAACCAGATAAGGTTTTTTTTCTGCAACACCCTTAGGTTTAAGGGAAACATAAGGGCAAACTTAAGAGAAAATTACACTTAACCCTCTGAGGTCGAGTAATGTGCCGGCGCATTTGCTGGGTTTTTTTTTTCACATAGCTGCAACATAGACTTTAAACACTCCGTCATTAATGGTCATATAAATAAAATCAACACATGATTATAAACTATAGAGGGTCTTCTTTTTTTGTGTACACTCCTATTAACATCACAACCGTGTGTTTTTGTAAAATAAATAAAATATACAGCGTGTGGTTTCAGCTCACTCTGTCTCCGCAAAAATCTTTTCTGAAACGCGTCCAAAAAATGAACTGTAACTCAGTAAATACTTGTCACAGAGACACGAAATATTTCTCTTCATGAAGCTGAAATTTTCTTCTTTTAAATGAAGTCATTTATATAAAAAAGTAACTATTCTCAGTTGAGGTAATCTATATGAAAAGAGAGAGATGTCAGTATCTTTTCTTTCACCTAATTATTATAGCGTATGACGTGTTAATGTGACCCCGCCCACTGAGAACGCGCGCTATTCAAACGCTAATGTTGAGGTAAGCCATGAAAACGCCCACATCAGCTGGATAAAACATTCAGTTCATAAAATGCTTTATGTGCTTTTGCAACCGGGGACTGAAGCGCTGCGCTGTCACACTACGCGAAATCTCGAGGCCCACAGAGAAGGAAATTAATAATTTAGTAAAGTCGCCATGATAAACTTTTAGATTGAGCCACTGTCGTCACTTTGACTATTTTAACTGTCTTTAATAACTTTTCTGGGCCGGCAAGTTTCAATCCTTTAGACGTCGCCTATGGAGGAGTGATCCAGCTCTCAGATTTAATCAAAAATATCTCAATTTGTGTTGCGAAGATGAACGAAAGTCTTACGGGGTTGAACAACATGAGGGCGAGTAATTACTGACAGAGTTTTCATTTTGGGGTGAACTATCCCTTTAACAGCACAAACACAGGTTCAGGGTTTAGACTCACCGGTCTGTCCTCAAGGCTCAGCGTTGAGAGGTGAAGCGATCGGACTCGAGACTGATTCCAGTCCACTGGTTTGACGTTGCTATAGTTGTCCGTGAGAGCATTCCAGATCCTTCATGGAGGAAAAAAAAGGGTATATGACCAAAAGAGAACTTCCCTCCCACAAAGGCCCTGTTTATGGTCGATCGGATCACAAGTAGACGAGGGACACGTTCCCGTTTACACCTGGTGTTTTAATCCGCCTCTTTTGTCCACTTTCACTTGCACTTCTGTCCTGATTTCTTCCAGGGGACGGTCTCGGGCGTCAAACAACCTCTGGTGTTGACTTTGTGGAGCTCAAACTGTGCCATGTCCGAACCAATCTGTCCTTTACAAACTATCTAACGTTGGCAACGCTCTTCCTTTAGCTATGCTCGTCTTTTTAAAGCTTGCATGGCCATAAAGTTCTTATCTGGGTGTTTCTGTACTTGGGATTATCTCGATGTTCACAGCTGTGGAGTTCTTTAGTTAGTTTAGACATCATATATATATGATGATGGTCATATATATAATCATGGTCATAATGCTTTGAAAAATTGATATTTGAGTACAGAACCTGTTGTTGTTGTTATGTTTTTATTTTATTTTTATTGTATTTATGTGCTGCTGTGGCATATAAATTTTCCCCCTGGGATTAATAAAGTAAAAATAAAGCACAAACTCTATTTGGTCCACATGACTAAGGTCTAGTTGTCTTCATATTTCTGTGGAAACCGGAATACTTTTTTGCAGGATTTTTTGATGAATAGAAAGTTCAATAAACATTGCTGTTACTTTTGATCAATTTTTTGTGTCCTTGATGAATGAAAGTATTTAATTTATTTTGCTGACCACAAACGTATGCATCCATACCTGAATATTTATCTGGTCAGATGCTAAATAAAATTTTATTACATTTTTACTTCCATGTCCTTGCAATATCGCATTAGACAATATAATAACAAACCAAGCAGCACCTACAAATAAATTTTTACCCACCTCTAGTCCAGATAATTACAAAACCTTTTTAAAAGAATCTTCACAGCTTTTTCCAGTCACCATGTCAGATGAAAAACAAAAATAAAAAAGCCAAATACAAACACAGCGTTTTACAGACTATTTTTTCCCCCATCCACTAACATACCGTGTCTTTTGAAATATCATTTCAGTTTTTACTCTATTATGCTTTCATCAAAACTGAAACTTGTGCTGGAACAATCTCTCTGAAATTAGTGACACTTTGTTATTTCGATGTTTAAGAGTCCTAATATTTTCCAACTATACGATTAGACTATTATACTATAACTGTTTACAAGAGACCGTAAACAACATCCAGTCACGTGACCTCCGCTGATGCGCAGGAATTCTACATGCTGTCGTCCGTTAACTTATTAATCTTAATTATTAATCAACTTAATAAACTCTATCCTCAGTAAACAGTGCGATGTAAATGCCACAAGGACACAAATTAAAGCTTAATGCATTTTAAGACAGCATCCTGTCATGCATTCATTAGATCCACGTTGTTATTGTCTCTGACATCATTCGTTCAATGGTCCATTGATGAAAATACAACATTAATGCGTTGTGACGGATTTTACTCTAATGCATGCCTTTCATTGACTTACTCATCACATTTCAGGCTCGTATCCTCATTTATTGGCGTCACTGGATAGATTGCGTCCGGTTTAGAGTCTACATTTTGGAAGCATAATCGTAACTTCTCGTCGAAGTGTTTGATGATCTCGTTCTCAAGCGCGCTCCCGCTGTCTGAAATTCCATCCAGCAACAGCGACATCTCTTCAGTGCTCGCGTGAACGCGCTCCAGGAGAGTATTATTCCGTTGTGTTCCGCCCTTGAACGCGTTGAAATCTTGCCACTCATCTTCATCTCTCTGCGATGAAGGCTCCGCCATAACTGCAAATGCAGAGACGCTCGGCTCTGAGAAGGCACGGACGAAATTACGAACCCTACTAAGGCGAAAGCGTAGCTCATGAATATTAATTAGAACACCGTTGAAACAGCAGCGTGACCTAATTAATATTCATCAAACTACAGCTAGCGTCATGCTTTTCAGCAAATCAGTTAAACTCGTTGAATGAACGTCACTTTGCGTAATTAATATTGATGAGAAACGATTTTCACCATAGTTTGCCTGGTACACTTGCCTACTAGATTATAGTATTTACATTCATGGATCGTTATCACACCGATTCTTAAATATTTGAGTAGATATCAATGCAAGTCATTTATAATATAACGAAGCGAGCATGTTTATGAATACTTTGTTAAACTCGGCATGGGATTACCAGTTTTATTAGACCAATTTGTGAATGACCATTTTTTATTTTATTTTGTTTTTTGGTCAATAAAGAAATTGAAATTGTTGATAAAAGTGGCCTGAATAACTCACGAATCATACTGAATCATTCTGAGTGCTACTCAAACTCACCAAACCGATAATCTTCTTTTTCTGACATTTCTGTTTTATCTTTTTTTTTTTTTTTTTTCGAGAACCGACCAGTAAGAGCACTGGATTGAGAATTTGTCTGATTGGGCGAAAACTGATTAGATCATCATAGCCTACTGAATACGTTATATTCATGCCATTTTGAACGGCAGTTATATTATTATATGTTTTTCAGCTCCATGAGGGAGGGGAAGTTCTTCTTTTCTATCCTCCTTTTCAGTGAAAGCTAAAATACTTACTTTGTTGCAGCTGATTAGAGCAAAATTAATTTATAATAAACAGCAATATTACATAAACGGTCAAGTTTGATTTCATGCTGCTTTTTTCTATTATGAATGTATTTTTTATATTTTTTTATTTTACAAACATTTATGTTTTTGCAGCTATTTAGATTTTTTAATTATATAAAGTAAGTGTTTGTTGAGGCATTTTGTGTATTTCATTCAAGCCATCAGAAATCATTTGTTGTTGAATGATTGGGTTCCGCCAAACGGTGGCGCTCGTGAGATTCAACACTGTCGGTTCAGCGCGAGAGAAAACTCACACCGGAAGCGGAAGAGAAACCGGAAGTGCAGAAATGGAGGCTGCCGTGTTCATTCTATCACTCGTCGACTGTTGTGCTTTAATATTCCTCTCGGTTTATTTCGTATCCTTTATTAACGCTCGGCATGAATGAAGATGTGTTTGATTGACCGCGTGTCAGCAGGGGTGTGTGGTGTTGTGCCTCGTATATTAGCAGGAGCTGCCCGCTCCACACACTGTGATTGCGGATTGTTCAGTTTTTATTAATCATTCATGATGATTTATCTTTATAATGTGCGTTTCACTTTATTACTATGTTTTAATACGATTAACTGAAGCTCAATAATGTGAGATTATAGTGTTTTCTCCTTCTGCGAGTGGAGGGATGGCTCATAAACAGGGTGGCGGATCTATTTGATATCATTTACAGATTGTTATTAATCATTATTTGTGATCTGTGTACTTCCCTAACTCCTGCTCAGATTATCACCCTGTCTGATCTGGAGTGCGACTACATCAATGCTCGATCTTGCTGCTCCAAGTTAAACAAAGTAAGTCGGGATTGTGAAGGGTTAGGGTTGTAAACGTGAACATTCATTAATAACATGATTGTATTAAGTAATGATTGGCAAAAAATTATATCCATAGATGCGTGTGTATTTACGTATGTGTGTGTGTTTTTTCTCTTTCCCTTGGAAGGATTTGTGTAAATTGTTGTGTAATAGAATTTTTAGTTCTAATAGAATAGAGAAAGTTAATTGCGACTTGTTTTCTCATAAATGTGAGATATAAAGTCACAATGGTTAGAACTGTTATCATTAGAATGTAAAAATCTGATTTTGTATTTATAATGGACACAGGGTGGCCGCGGGTCCTTAAAATGTCTTAAATTAAGTTTTTCTAATAAAAGGCCTTAAAAAGTGTTAAAATGTCTTAAATTCAGATTCTTCAATATTTTTGGTCACATTACCGCTAAAATGTCTCCAGTCTGACGGACCCAATGTCCGACAATTAACCAGTGAAGCATCGAATCGCGAGAATGGTTCTGATATTATTACAAACGGCGATTGATAATGATGTGTTTCTGGTAGTGCTATTGAGACTCGCTGTCTCTCCGTGAGATTTCATAGTGAGAAATCAAACAAAACGAGCATAAACAAACTCGCATAAGAAACATACTGAGGTGAAAATTCAAAACGTTGAGTTTTTTATTTATAACATATAATATAGTATAGTTAAGTAACAACATGACGAGAGCTATTTCGCTGAATATTCTCACGATCACATGTAACATTGATTTTAGTTCAATAAACAAGTAGTTAACATTAAATTAGGTTAAATATTACATATACATTTGTAATATAATGTGTATATCCATCACAGGTTTGGTCTTAAATTTCATTCAAAGTGGAATTAAAAAGGTCTTAAAGGAGCATTTCACCCATGGGAAACATTAATCTTTATTGAAAGTGGGCGATATGAAGAAAATAAGGAACGAGTGTTTGTAGTCTCAACGCTTCTACCAAGATATGGGACTTCTTGCTTAGAATGACGCAAATGACGATTTTTACATCATTATAAGCAGGAGGTGCAACACTGAAATCCTTATTTCTCCCGTCTCAGGGAAAAATGAGAGAATAATGCACAACCACTCAAAAATATGACTGGGTTTCTAACGATACAAAGCTCAATGCAAATGTGTGAAGTGTCCTTTTAAAAAGCCTTACGTTGAACTTGTTTATATCTCTGGACAGATAAAGCACAGGAATGTGATTCAAGTTAAATTGTTTCCGCATTTCAAAGAGTCTTGTAGTGCCTCTGCTTGTATAACACGTCCGATATCTTGCCTTGTGTAAGCTGATCTGAAGCCTGTGCTGTGTGTTCAGTGGGTTCTCCCCGAGATGATCGGCCAGGCTCTGGCCACGGTCCTGATGCTGGTGTCCATGCACTGGTTCGTGTTCCTGCTCAACTTACCCGTGGCATCATGGAACGTTTACAGGTGATTAATCTGAATCCCACAGAACACACACAGCATACACACAACTGAGAAACACATCATCATTCATGCCTGTGAACAGATACGTGAAGGTCCCCATGGGGAACATGGGAGTGTATGATCCCACAGAGATCCACAACAGAGGCCAGCTCAAGTCCCATATGAAGGAAGCCATGATCAAGCTGGGCTTCCACCTCCTCTGCTTCTTCATCTACCTGTACAGGTAAGAGATCAGCCTGGAGTCGTGTTGCTGGAGGCGTATGCTCAATCCCAGTTCACCCCTTGGCCCAACCCCTCCGTTTTGGGCGTTCACGTCTAGGGGTAGAGTGTCCCGATTCTTGTTGTCATAGGCCCCTTTTCCATCAAAGCATTTTGAGAACCGGTTCGGAGCCGGTGCCTGCACGCGAACCAGTTCTTTGTGTCTTTGTGTGTGGAAAAACAAACAGGTTCTGAACGGGTTCGCAAGTTGAACCAACTCAGAACCAACTTTGAACCAGCACCAGTTCTGAACCAGTTCTTTTTTGGTGGAAAAGGGGTAACAAAGGGGTAAGGCTACATAGTCCTTGAAACGGAGACACACTCCGAATGGAGGGCTACGAGAAAGTCCCCAGAATGCATCGCTAATTACTGGCAAGATGGCTTTGCAAACGGTTAAACATTTAAATTTTTCGAGGTACTCTCGAAAACAAAGGGTACACTCGACGACAAGGTTTACACTCGAAGACGAGGTACACTCGAAGACAAGGGGTACTCTCGAAAGCAAAGGGTACTCTCGAAGGCAAGGGGTACACTCGAAAACAAGGGGTACACTTGAAGACAAGGGGCACTCTCGAAAACAAGGGAGTACACTCGAAGACAAGAGGTACTCTCTAAGACAAGGGGTACTCTCGAAGACAAGGGGTACACTCGAAGACAAGGGGTACTCTCGAAAACAAGGGAGTACACTCGAAGATAAGAGGTACACTCGAAGACAAGGGGTACACTCGAAGACAAGGGGTACACTCGAAGACAAGGAGTAACTGAAGACAAGGAGTACACTCGAAGACAAAGGGTACTCTCGAAGACAAGGGGTACACTCAAAAACAAGGGGTACACTCGAAGACAAGGGGCACTCTTGAAACAAGGGAGTACACTTAAAGACAAGGGGTACTCTCGAAGACAAGGGGTACACTCGAAGGCAAGGGGTACACTCGAAGACAAGGGGTACACTCGACAAGGTGTACAATCGAAGACAAGGGGTACATTCGAAGACAAGAAGTACACTCGACGACAAGGGGTACACTCGAAGACAAGGGGTACATTCGAAGACAAGGAGTACACTCGACGACAAGGGGTACACTCGAAGACAAGGGGGAATCTTGAAAACAAGGGAGTACACTTAAAGACAAGGGGTACTCTCGAAGACAAGGGTACTCTCGAAAACAAGGGGTACACTCGACAAGGTGTACACTCGAAGACAAGGGAGTACACTCGAAGACAAGGGGTACACACGAAAACAAGGGAGTACACTCAAAGACAAGGGGTACACTCGAAAACAAGGGAGTACACTCGAAAACAAGGAGTACACTCGAAGACAAGGGGTACACTCGAAGACAAGGGGTACTCTTGAAGACAAGGGGTACACTCGAAGACAAGGGGTACACTCGAAAACAAGGGAGTACACTCGAAGACAAGAGGTACTCTCTAAGACAAGGGGTACTCTCGAAGACAAGGGGTACACTCGACAAGGTGTACACTCAAAGACAAGGGGTACACTCGAAGACAAGGGGTACACTCGAAGACAAGGTGTACACTCGAAGACAAGGGGTACACTCGAAGACAAGGGGTAGTCTCGAAAACAAGGGAGTACACTCGAAGACAAGGGGTCGGGGCAAGGAGTGAATTGGGATTGAGGCGTATGGCATAGTGTGAGTGTGATCAATCAGTTTATTGTGTAAGTTGGTGTTAGCGTTAATATGAAAGTGCTACTTTTACACACACGGTGTTTCCTTGGTTCACAGTAAACACATTTGAACATGCAACGTGCCAATCACTTTACTATTGGAGTTTGGGAAAAATGTTGTCATTAGTTTAGAGAATAAAACAAATGTTAGTTTTACCTAAATTGTAATATTTATTGATTTGTAAATAGTTTTCCTGTTTTTTGTCATGCCTGTATACTAAATTCAACAAAACACTATTAAATCATGTAATCTAAAAAAAATGACCTATCTAGCGGTGTATTAGTTGACAGATTAAATGTGAACAGGCAAGTGGGTAGCGTGTGTGTGTGTTTCATCATCTCTGATGTGTTTTTCAGCATGATCCTGGCGCTCATCAACGACTGACCCGCAACCGTCTTCTGAACACAAACTGCCAAATCATAAACTGGCCTTTACATTTTGAAAAACTTGATGAACCCAGTCAGAAGCTAAAGCCCTCATCACTCGTTCCCCCTGACCACGAGCTGTCACGTGACCTTCAGTCGTGTGTTTGTGTTTCCTGTTTCCTGCACTGACTGCTTCTCAGGGCTGAAGCATCGAGACAATCACACACACACACACACACACATATGCCCATGTCACATCCAAACCAAGAACAAATATTCACGTGAAGATTAAGCCAGTTTTAGGAGCATTGGTATTATTTTCATGGCAAGTATTATTAATGTAATGTGTACGGTTGAGGTTTTTTTTTTTTTTTGAATTACAACACTCCATGCTTGTTCTGTTTTAAAATAGAATATGTTAAACAGTACAACAGATATTACTGTAATGCACAACTACAGTCTTACATATTTTCTCTCTTTATTGCAATGCGAGCAGGAATTTTTTTTCTAAATAATCTTTTTGATTGTGTGATTTATGACCTGGATATGATATTCTGTTCCACATCCGTTTTAAAAGGAGTGTGTTTCGTTTTGTGATTCAGCGGAACATCAGCTTCCCGATTTCAACATGTCAGTGGCTTGTGATTGTGTGGATCTCAGTGCTTTTGTGCCTCCTGCTCTTCAGATCCGTCAAGCTGAAACTGACGTTTAGAACCTTTACGATTATTTTTTACGCTATTTTAATGAAAATTAGGAACATTTCCACCCAGTATTATCATCATCATCACTGCATCTAAATGAATGTTTTCTAAATTATTCTAATTACAGTAATAATTCTCAAAACTCATGTAATGCATATCGTAGTGTTTACGCTGCCTACTGATTTCTGGACATATGAATTTTTAATGGTACAAAACATCTTAAAGGGATAGTTCTCTTGGAAATTCATTTTTGGTATGTTTTATCTTACCTCAAGGGCATCCAAGATGTAGGTGTCTTTGTTTCCGCAGTAATTGTCAATTTTGATATTTTTAGGTCAAACCGTTCGTGTCTGTCAGTCATATAATGGAGGTCTATGGTCACCACCCCAAAGAGCATGCACAGAGAAGTCCAGATTAAACATGATTTAATGACTCGTAAATGTAAGTACACATTGATGGCCTAAGACACGAAACAAATGGTTTGTGTGAGAAAATGAACAGTATTTATATCGTTTTTACCTCTTGTAATCACAGCCACATCCACGTGATCTGAGGGCACGGGCGCTTTGTGGTTACAAGAGGTAAAAACGATATAAATACTGTTTGTTTTCTCCCACAAACCGTTCGTTTCGTGTCTTAGATCATCAGTGTGTACTTACATTTACGAGTCATTAAATCATGTTTAATCTGGACTTCTCTGTGCATGCTCTTTGAGGTGGTGACCATAGACCTCCATTATATGACTGACAGACAAGAACGGTTTGACCTAAAAGTATCAAAATTGAAAATACTGCGGAAACAAAGACACCTACATCTTGGATGCCCTTGAGGTAAGATAAAACATTCCAAAAATTTATTTTAAAGTGAACTATCCCTTTAATGGTGCTTAAAATGGATGTCTTTTTTTTTTTTTTTTGGAAAAAATCTTTACTTAATTGATTTTGAAATCACCTTTAGTAGATGCTGGTGTTTGTTCCCTCGGCTCAGTCAAACTACACTACGCTGGTCCAGTGATGTGTCCAGCCAAACAGTGCATCACATGACCGTAATCCAGTTGCTGATGAATGGTCATTCAGTGGCACGTCTCAATGTACCAGTCATCTGAAAGAGGGATAGGTTTGTAATCATGAAATCTGTTGTTAGTTTTGTTTTTTATGCATATTTGCGGTTGTGGGGTTTCTTAAATAAAAAGATGATTAAAATATCAAGTTTTCACAATGCATTCATATTCAATTAAACGCATATTATACATAGCAATCAAGTTGTCCTAAAACTACATTTTGAGTTTTTTAAATAGAAAATGGAGAACAAAATCATTAGATATTTTCAGTTTAAGGTCCAATTTGGCATTAAGGCATTAATTTGTGCTTTATAAGTACTAATAAACAGCCAATATCCTAATAATATGCAATTGGACCTGTTCTTCGTGACCCCATGTTTCAAACTTTAGTTGGTGTGTAATGTTGTTGTTAGAGTATAAATAATATCTGTAAAAATACAAAGTTCAATGCCAAGCGAGATATTTTATTTAACAGAAGTAGCCTACATCGAACGACCCGTTTGGACTACATCCCTCGACTTCCTTCTTTAATGACGTCAGTAGATCAGTTTTTTGACTAAGGTCCGCCCACAGGAATGCTCCCTCAACTTGCTTACTTCTTATAACTTACTGTGTTTACTCAGCTCTTACGGTGATTTTCTTAAGTAAAACTGACGCTTCATCTTTTGTGTGACGCAAATGCAGCAGGACCCAGATCAGATGTGATGTGGAGCCTCTAGCTCAACTATGTATTGAAAATGTCTGCCTTATCATCCATAATTCAGTTTGCATATAAGAGCCACACAGAATTCATGTGCAGTAATGTTATGTGAAAGAGCACTTACTGATAGTAATAATTGTAAGTAATAATTATAAATAAATTACCTTTAAAACACTCTCTTTGGTCTCGGTCTCGACTCGGACTCGACTCTCTTTGGTCTCGGTCTCAACTCGGACTCGACTCTCTTTGGTCTCGGACTCGACTCTCTTTGGTCTCTCGACTCGGACTCGACTCTCTTTGGTCTCGATCTCGACTCGGACTCGACTCTCTATGGTCTCGATCTCGACTCGGTCTAGACTTGATTCTCTTTGGTCTCGACTCGGACTCGACTCTCTTTGGTCTCGGTCTCGACTCGGACTCGACTCTCTTTGGTCTCGGACTCGACTCTCTTTGGTCTCGGTCTCAACTCGGACTCGACTCTCTTTGGTCTCGGTCTCAACTCGGACTCGACTCTCTTTGGTCTCGGACTCAACTCTCTTTGGTCTCGACTCGGACTCGACTCTCTTTGGTCTCGGTCTCGACTTGGACTCGACTCTCTTTGGTCTCGGACTCGACTCTCTTTGGTCTCGACTCGGACTCGACTCTCTTTGGTCTCGGTCTCGACTCGGACTCGACTCTCTTTGGTCTCGGTCTCGACTCGACTCGACTCTCTTTGGTCTCGATCTCAACTCGGACTCGACTCTCTTTGGTCTCGGACTCGACTCTCTTTGGTCTCGGTCTCAACTCGGACTCGACTCTCTTTGGTCTCGGACTCGACTCTCTTTGTCTCGACTCGGACTCGACTCTCTTTGGTCTCGGTCTCCACTCGGACTCGACTCTCTTTGGTCTCGGACTCGACTCTCTTTGGTCTCGACTCGATTCTCTTTCGTCTCGACTCGGACTCGACTCTCTTTGGTCTCGACTCGATTCTCTTTGGTCTCGACTCGGACTCGACTCTCTTTGGTCTCGTCTCGACTCGGACTCGACTCTCTTTGGTCTCGGTCTCGACTCGGACTCGACTCTCTTTGGTCTCGGACTCGACTCTCTTTGGTCTCGACTCGATTCTCTTTGGTCTCGACTCGGACTCGACTCTCTTTGGTCTCGGACTCGACTCTCTTTGGTCTCGGTCTCGACTCGGACTCGACTCTCTTTGGTCTCGACTCGGACTCGACTCTCTTTGGTCTCGGACTCGACTCTCTTTGGTCTCGGTCTCAACTCGGACTCGACTCTCTTTGGTCTCGACTCAACTCTCTTTGGTCTCGACTCGGACTCGACTCTCTTTGGTCTCGGTCTCGACTCGGACTCGACTCTCTTTGGTCTCGGACTCGACTCTCTTTGGTCTCGACTCGACTCTCTTTGGTCTCGACTCGGACTCGACTCTCTTTGGTCTCGACTCGGACTCGACTCTCTTTGGTCTCGGTCTCGACTCGGACTCGACTCTCTTTGGTCTCGATCTCGACTCGGACTCGACTCTCTTTGGTCTCGTCTCGACTCGGACTCGACTCTCTTTGGTCTCGATCTCGACTCGGACTCGACTCTCTTTGGTCTCGGTCTCGACTCGGACTCGACCCTCTTTGGTCTCGGTCTCGACTCGGACTCGACCCTCTTTGGCCTCGGACTCGATCCTCTATGGTCTCGGTCTCAACTCTCTTTGGTCTCGGTCTCGACTCGGACTCTGCTCTCTTTGGTCTGCGTATCATCTCGGACTCGCCCTCTATGGTCTCGTGCATTTAAAGGGCACACACTCAAACAGCGCATTTTTCTGAGCCCCCCAAAAATGACAAATTAAACATGCTGTAAAAAATGATCTGTTGGGTATTTTGAGCTGAAACTTCACAGACACATTCTGGGGCCATCAGAGACTTATTTTACATCTTGTGAAAAGGGGCATAATACAGGACCTTTAAACTAAATTAACATTTATTTCTATGAAGAAAAAAAAAAAAACAGTTCCTAATCACGGCAAATTCCATCGTAGCACCTTTTGGGAACAGAAGTGACGACTTACGCCAGATAGTTTAAAACCCTGAATGCTTTATTGAAAGTATGTATACATAACACCTCTCCTACAGAACATTACATAATAGTACAATCACTTAGAATAATAACACACTGAAATGCAAATAAGATCCTCAGATCCTGACTGCAATAAACGTAAGTCTCCACCTGAACTCCACCCAGGGCGTGACCGTCGCCCCGCGGCTCAAGCACATAAAGTCAAACTAAGACTGAAATGAAACACAAATATCCAGAAGAAAAGGAAAGCTCAGTTGCATAAACCAGAACGTACAACACCACAATTGTGTGATATCGCCACATGTGTGAGGGTGTTACTGCATGCACCTGTTCTTTCTTTTCGCTTGCGCGTCAATCCTCGCTAGCGGGACAGGTCTGGCTGGTCAGGGTACGGGTAACCTGTACAAGGACTTTACCTGATGCAGGTGAGAAACGCTTAACATTTGTACGGGAGGATAGATGGCAAGAAATACACATGTGTTTTTATATATATACACATACAAGTGCTGTCAAATTAATTATAAAAGTTTGTTTTTTTATATTTATATAAGCGCTGTCAAATCGATTAATCACATCTAACAAAAGTTTGTTTACAAAACGTATATTATTTTTATGTTATATATGTCTGTGTGTATACTATGTATACACAAACATGCACACACACATAATATATGTAAATAATAATATATATTACACATGTTATATGCGATTTAATCGTGACTAATCAATTTGACAGCACTAATTTATATATGTATATACACACACACGCATATATATATATATATATATATATATATATATATGGATACTTATGTGTATTTACATAGTGTATAAACAGACTTGTGTTAGATGTGATTAATCATTTTGACATCACATATATATATATATATATATATATATATATATAGATTCCTTATATACATGTATATGAAGAGCATATAATAACAGAATAAATCATAGTAGGCAAAGTTTCTTTCGCTCGACTGATACCTAAATTATTTCAGGGTACACCTGCGTGTACTAATGCGTAATATGGTACGAAAGTATATAAGAAATTCACAAATAGAAAAAAGCATTTAAGAGGCCATTTGCCAAGACATCCTTTATACGATAATACAAGGGAAAAAAGCTAAACAAATTATAAATCAACCCAAAATAAAATCAATTAAACTAAGAAAATCATAGCTGATGAATAATCCTATACATGTCTAGAAAAGCATTAAAAAAACATAAAAAGACAAGATGTGATCATATGAAAGAGGAAACAAGACCCAAGAGGAGAATATGACGCAACGAACACAAACTCGAGAAACGTATTTGAGAGTCCGTTCACTCGCTCAATATTCTGGTGTACTTACCGTCACAAAATCATTTCTCATACACTAACAGCCCGGACCGAATCGCAAACACTTACGAGCCACTTGCGTAAAGTCAAGGTCTGCACGCTGATATTTACATGTGGATCGTGACATCAGCACATGTGTGTGTGTGTGTCATTAGCAGGACGACTATAGCAAGCCTATATGGGTCGCAGGAGCGTTACCAAAAAATAACCATGTTCTTCGTAAATATTAATCGGCTCGTCACAAGAATAAAGATTAATAATCCGTCACCTCTAGAAAACCTTCCCCCTTTCATAATTAGAATAAAGTACCATAAGCAATGAAACAAAATCGGGGTCATGGTTGGAATTTTCTAATCAAAATGAATATCTAGCTGTTAAAAATGTCAGGAAATTTAGTCATTTAAAAATGTGGTGGGTCACAGAGGGAAAGGAAAACGATATCTTATATCTCTGCTGGTGAAGACACTTACTTTCAAGCATACAAATTGGCTTAAAGAAGTTCATGCTGAAAAATAAGGATATGATTTGTTTGCTCTCCGTTAACACGTGCGTCTTTGAGACCAAGGAGAAGTTCGCACATGCCGGAAAAGCTTTCTTTTTGTCCCCTTGGCTGAGTGAATATTGTACAGAACACAAAGCAAGCCTGTGGCCTTGATTCATTCACAATAATAAATTAAAGCCGCAATAAATAACGTTGTTTGTCCGTGTGTGTGTGTGTTTGTGTGCGCATACGGGTTCAGGAGGCAGTCGTCCACTCAGGATGCAGTGTAGAAAGGAGGAAGAGGGGCGTGTCCGTTTAGGATTTGAAGTCAGATGTTTGAGGGCAGCGCCCGGCTTCATGTTGTTCGAGTGAAACGGCGTGGGGGAAATAACATCCATCTGCCGTACGATTTACTTCAATTTTCATTCTTCATTCATATAGTCTATAGTGTGTCTCACTGTATGTTTTCCAAAGTGGACATCTGCTCCAGAGTCAACATCAACTGTCCATGCTAAAGCATTCTGCAGGAGGAGAGAAGCAGAGAAACCAAAATCACAAACCAGTCCTCTTTCTAACATGTGCTATTCAATTCAGCTCAGGTTAAAGTGCCATATTGTGATTTTTTTTTTATATTACCTTTCATGTAGTGTGCAATATAGCCGTTTGTGAATGTAAAAGATCTGCAACGTTTTAAAAATCAAAGTACAGATAAATGGAGTTAATGTCTCCCAAAAGAAAGAATCGAGAGAGTGTAGCCCAATCATAACAGGCTGGATAATCTGAGCAATCAGAGAGTGTAGACCAATCACAACAGGCTGGGTCATCTGACCAATCAGAGAGTAGATCAATCACAACAGACTGAGTCATCTAACCAATCAGAGAGAGTAGCCCAATCATAACAGGCTGGGTCATCTGAGCAATCAGAGAGTGTAGACCAATCACAACAGGCTGGGTCATCTGACCAATCAGAGAGTAGATCAATCACAACAGACTGAGTCATCTAACCAATCAGAGAGAGTAGCCCAATCATAACAGGCTGGGTCATCTGACCAATCAGAGAGTGTAGACCAATCACAACAGACTGAGTCATCTAACCAATCAGAGAGAGTAGCCCAATCATAACAGGCTGGATAATCTGAGCAATCAGAGAGTGTAGACCAATCACAACAGGCTGGGTCATCTGACCAATCAGAGAGTAGATCAATCACAACAGACTGAGTCATCTAACCAATCAGAGAGAGTAGCCCAATCATAACAGGCTGGGTCATCTGACCAATCAGAGAGTGTAGACCAATCATAACAGGCTGGGTCATCTGACCAATCAGAGAGCGTAGACCAATCACAACAGACTGAGTCATCTAACCAATCAGAGAGTAGACCAATCACAACAGACTGAGTCATCTAACCAATCAGAGAGTAGACCAATCATAACAGGCTGGGTCATCTGACCAATCAGAGAGTAGATCAATCACAACAGACTGAGTCATCTAACCAATCAGAGAGAGTAGCCCAATCATAACAGGCTGGGTCATCTGACCAATCAGAGAGAGTAGACCAATCATAACAGGCTGGGTCATCTAACCAATCAGAGAGCGTAGACCAATCACAACAGACTGAGTCATCTAACCAATCAGAGAGTGTAGACCAATCACAACAGGCTGGGTCATCTGACCAATCAGAGAGTAGATCAATCACAACAGACTGAGTCATCTAACCAATCAGAGAGAGTAGCCCAATCATAACAGACAAAGAGGTGATGCTACAATGTATAAAATAAGAAAATGAAAGAGTTTTTTAACTGTGGATGCATGTAAACCTGTTATAGGAGACTCCACAACAAAACTTGGAACGTTTAAAGGGCACGTATTATGGAAAATTCACTTTTACATGGTGTTTGAACATAAATGTGTGTTGGCAGTGTGTGAGCAAAACCACCCTAGAATGATAAAAATCCACCCAGTGTTTTTTTTTTCAATCTCAATAAATCATCTGCACTGTCTGAGAACGAGCTGTTCTGAGATCCAGCACTTTGTGACGTAGAAGTGAGAAAGGGGTTTGATTGACAGTGTGGCTGTGGCCTAGACCCCGCCCTCTGTGATCTGTACATCCTCCATTGTTTCAACGACAGCCGGTAATGTCTCTTGAAAACATAAGTGTTCTGTCGTGGGTTAATCCTGTTGTTGTGGCTTAAAAGTTAATCCTCAAGTGTGGATCGTCGTCTACTGTTTGCGATCCACCGTCACCTCCAGTAACAGTAAGTGTGTTTTATGAATTTTGAACAAATAGTCTTTTCAGTCGATGTCAGCCAATTCAACAACAAATGCGTCTAAAGTTGTTGTCATCGTCATCGTAGGATGTCTGTGTATATAATTTAAACCTTGTTTGTATAGTGTGTAACCTCACGTTTATAAATATATATATTTTTAAAGATACTGTATTAAAAACTGCATAGATGTTTTTGTTCTGTAAGTTAGCCATCTTCTCACATTTGCCACAGAAGCACCCGTATGACAAGTAAACATGACGCCACAGCTCCCTCGCATAAATGTAATTTCGCTTGTACGTCAAACTTTATCACAGAATGTGTATGTAGTTTCACAAAATTGCGCCAGCGTTAGTGTTTATGCGTCTCTGTGTGTGCGTGTTGCACATGCCCATCATTTCAAAGGGGACGCAATTACAACTCTATAAGTTCATAAATGTATCAAATAACCATACCGAGACGTACTGGTCCATTCTTATGTGTGTTTATTCTGCCGGAGTCTCTTCATACTATTTATATATTTCGATTCAAACGTACGCTGAGTGACATTCAAAACAGCGGTTTCTCTCAGTCTCTCAGCCCCGACTGCCATAGGTATCATGTTACACCCTCATCCAAAGGCAGGGCGGGATATGCAGCTCATTTGCATTTAAGGTGGTATACCCCCGAAACAGCTCATTTTTAAGCAGGCCCCAAAATAACATTTTCAAATGGTTATAATAAATTAACTGTGGGGTATTTTGAGCTGAAACTTCACAAATACATTCTGGGGACACCCGAGACCAATATTACATCTTGTAAAAAGGGGCATACTAGGTGCCGTTTAAAAAAGCAAAATGGGGCACTTTAATTCTGAATTTGAACTAAACATTTAACTTCCAGAAGCATATTAAAAAGCAATAGTTAAGAGTTGTTCAGATCATCTATATGCATTATAAAGTCCAGATTAGATGCCTACTTTTTTAAAATTAACTTAATTATTAAGCTAAGGTAGCTGCTCCAGTTCAAGAGGGTTAAAACACTAAATATCAGCCATAACAAGCTCCGTTTTTGTGGCGCAGAAACTCCACATTGGTTTAATCATCTGGTATTAATTTCTAAATATTATTGAAAACATATCAAATGGGTGGTTAAAGCCATTTCCTACTGAAACAGATTGTTTAAAATAGCTCTGATTCACATTAATTTTCCCCATAGGGATTTAAAACAAAAAGTCTTTGTTAAAGCGTCACACAGCAACTGGGTAGTTGACGTTAAAATGTTAACAACATTCAATGAACAAGAAACATTTATTTGAAAGTATAAGCTAAAGTGCATATTTAACATCGTATAATTGATCACTGAAAAAAATGGCCCCTTTTTTCCCTCCTATTTTAAATGTTTAAAATAGTACACATATTCCATATAATCTCTCACTTCACATGAGCTCATAAAATCTGCATGCAATATACAAATAATAAAAAAAAAATATTAAAAAGCTAATTATATTTAGATTTAGTTTAGCAAGTCAAATTTCTAAAGTGTTCTATGTCAACTACCCACTTACATCAAAACTAGGAGCACATTCCAGTCAGACGAGGAGGTTCATACCAGTTAGGCCCTCGGGCTCCTGGGAGTCCAGAAAGGGGGCGGGACCCCAGACCCGTATGGTGCCGTCATCCGAGGCGCTGGCCATCAGGCCCGGCAGCGCCGGGTTCCAGCTCACGCAGTTCACGGTGCGCGTGTGGCCCGTCAGCTCGGCGATGGGCAGCTCGCTGCGCTTGTGCCAGATGTAAACTTTGTGGTCTAGAGACACAACACCCCATTAAGCTCTCAGCAGGAACTCATTCAGTCTGTTATTCGGAGATCGACGCACTCTTACCTTCACTGCCACTCGCAATAAAGTCTTCGTTGTAGCCGCCAAAACAGGAGTGGATGGTGTAGAAGCCCTGAGTCACACCTTGGTACTTCCTGACTAATACCCGGTCCTGCAGGTCCCACAGATGAACTCCCTAAACACGGCGAGAGAGTGGAACGTATACTGAGACATTATTTGTAGGGCTGGGCAATAAATATCGATTTCTCGATATTAATCGATTCTCATTTTTACCAACCGATATCGATTCTTAAATCTCAAGAATCGATTAGTCATCCTGTTTCATTTGTATGAATGGGACATTGTTTTGCGGCTGTGCGCATCCAACAAATCGCAATAATCTTTGTCCTTTGTTACTATTGATATGAAACAAACTCTCAATTTTCAAATTACGTCCATTTTCTTTAGAAATTCAAAAACATAAATTGCATTTTGCCGTTTTTGCGCTGTGGCGTGAGATCGCTCTGGAGAAGCAGCAGCGCTGATCTCTCTTCCGGCTTAATAATACCAGTTACAGCGCAAAATAAACATGAATGAGCATCTGAAAGTGTGTTAAGATAGAGTACAACTTATCGAAATTCATATCATGTCACATTGATTCGCTCAATCTGCGTTTCAACCGTGGAAAGACGTCAGTTAAACAGCTTGTAATCAATGTCATGTATCTTCATATTTACCTCAGAAAACTCCACATAAACTCGTTAGTCCACACTCGTTAGTGTTCTTCCATATTTAATGCATATTTGAATAAATCTGGCAAGTTTTTATGACAGCCACCATTTAAATGTTTATATTTCATATAATCTTCTTATTATAAAAATAAATAAAAGTGTAATTTAAGTGTTTGTATAGCTATAATACAACTAGACTATATATATATATATATATATATATATATAGACCATAGTTTACAGCATTTAAGAGACTTGATTCCCTTGAGAAAAATTGCCATTTATTGTAACTGATATCCAAAATAATCGATATCGAATCGAATCGTTATCGAATTGCAAGCTTGTGAATCGAAATCGAATCGAATTGTGCAATTTGTCTCAATACCCAGCCCTAATTATTTGTATTGACGTGAGTAATAAGTCAAAGATTCCTCCTAGGGTTTAGCGCCACAGACAAAATCAAGTCCCGCGCCATATTTTTTCTCATTCCAGAAGCGTTTCACTCGGATATACGTCACAATGGGCTATATGCACGCATAAATTCCGCATTTGAAGCAAGAATGCTCGTCCATTTCCGGTTGTGGAGACTGAAGCGGAGGAAAACCGAGGAAAACGGGATTATGGCAGAGTCTTCAAAATGTACTGTCCTCCCGTCTTTGAAACGAAACGTACATACGTTTAGATGTAATTTTATATATTGTTATGTTCATTTAATATAATTTTAAAAAGAAGCATAAACACAACGAGGGGTGTCTGTTTTTTCTGTTTTTGTGACTAACGTTTCTTTAGTATAACCATGGAGTATAAAATTCAATATAAATTCTCGGTATTGCATTGGACTCTACGATCGCCGGAAGTTATCGAAATACCGCCGTGCATAGAGCCCATAGAGATGAATAGACTATCGGAACTTCCGCTTCATGCTGACTATAAAGCTGCAGAAGGCAGTTTTTCCTCTTTGTCGCCATCTCTGTTTGAAATCTGCAATTGCAGTCATTCGCGGAATTATCAACTTTACGTGAGTTGTGCCTCGGCACGGCACAGCGCGGATGAACACAATGTTTGAGGAGAGTGTGTGGCTGTCAGTCGCCGCCGGTGTGGATACTGGCATTCAGAGTCACAGATTATACTTTTGGGAAATATGACCAACATAATGATTTTCACCGGAAAATGTCTGAACAAGTAACATCCACTTTTGTGGGAAAAAAGGGGGAAAAAAGCATTGCAGATTAAATCTAACGATCGCTTATCATATCACGTCAAACCATGCAAATTATATGTTTTCCACAAATTGTTAATGTTCAGCATCAGCATTGCGTGACTACATTTAAAGCCCTTCCGTTATTTATCCTCGTTTCACATTTTTGCAAGTCGTAATTACGAACTCAAGGACCTCCGCACTACTTCGGAAGTTAAAATCTGTAATTCGGTGGTTCTGTCAATGGCGTGAATGCACTGTTAAACCTTTCTAAAGCTTTATGGAAGATCAGATCAGATTGTTCATAGCAAAACAAGTCTGGCATCAGTACAAAAACAGCTTGACATTATGAAACGCTTGAGATGAAATATCAGCTTCGCCTACTCACCTGAGTTGCGACATTTAACAGAGCTAATCTTCCATTCTTTGACACGGTGAAGGACATTACAGGGTGGTCTTCTTGAACTCTATAAGAGACGACAAGCAAACACACACCAGCACATCCACATAACTCGTACAAACACTGGCAGAAAAAAAATATAACAGGAAATTCACAAGTAGAGCTTGTGAGTAGGGCAAAAACAAAAACTTTTCGATTAATCGGCTTTATTTCTAAATGTGGCGGATTCTCAAAGGCGACAAAACGATTATTTCCATATTTATTTATCGATCGCCCAAAATCCAGTATTAGTTTTCCTCCATTTTACAGCTAATGCTGTGGGATTTTATGTGTTTTATCTTAAACATAAAATAACCTGATCGTGTTTGATCAAGGCATTCGACTGGTCTGACTTGTCCAATTTTCAGCATCAATTATTCATTTGAAATATAGAGTTGGTAACCACTTGTAAACTTATGTTCACTGTATTTTTTATAAATATAGGATTTAGATTATGTTCATTGAGTCGAATCGAGAATATAAAAAAAAAAGAATTTAGAATCGAAAAATCGACTGGATACGCAGCCCTCGTCACAAGTGCAGTCGACATACATGTTCCTGTCAGTCAGATCTTCGAAGTTGTATCCACGGATGCGTTGGTGTGTATCAGAGGCCAGCACCGTTCGTCCGTCATTCAAACACCACAGACACTGCACACGAACACCTTCCCAGGAGTCCAGCAAGTTCCCGTCCAGATCCTGTCAAGAACACGTTCCTCATTAACCAACATCACTAATGAACATGTGTGATAATCGTGTGTTAACTAATCCTGATTTCTGGCAACAGCAACTATTCAAAATGCTTCTTAATGGGTGAATCTCCACATATCAAGAGTGTGTCTGGGTCATATTTCATAGAAATAAAATTTAAAAAACACAATACCGTTAAAAAGTTTGGGGTCAGTAAGATAATAATAATAAATTAATACTTTAATTCAGCAATGAGGCACTATATTGATCAAATGTGACCGTAAAGACACGTTAAATAAATGCTGAAGAATCCTGATCCTCCAAAAAGTTGATTTCCACTAAAACATGAAGCAGCACGACTGTTTTCAAAATTGGTAATAATTAGAAATCATCATATCAGAGTGAATCCCGAAGGATCATGTGACACTGAAGACTGGAGTAATGATGATGCAAATTCACAGGATTAAATTACATCTTAAAAAATACATAACAATAAAAAAACAGTTTAAAAAAAAAAGTTTTTCCTGTAATTTTGATTAAAAAAAGATAAATAATTAAAAAAAAACTTAAAAAGTAGTGTATATTTTTAATTGAGACATTATCAAGACAATAAAGCACATACACAGCCAAAATTCTCATTCCTTTATTGCAAAAAAAAAATGCCAAGTATGCATCATGGATGTTTTGGTTTTACTTAATTCAAATGTAAGCCGACTTTGCGAAATATTGAGAAGACTCACTCGGTACAATAGAGAACAGTTATAGCTGAGAGCAACACTTACACACTGGTAGAACTGGCCTCTCTGACCTCCGGTAACGAAACGCTTGCCGTCTGGATTCCAGGCCACGCTGGTCAGGCTGTCCTCATGGGACTGGCTCATTTTGGTTCTCAGTTCCCCTGTCTGGGCGAACACAGAGAGGATTTAACGGCGAGACGAGCTGCTGGAGAGAATCTGAGAGCCGCCTGTGGGTCGAGACCCTCACCTGTACGTTCCAGAGCCAGAGCTCAGAGCAGTCGTCCGGGCCACAGGCTATCAGATACGTGTCATCCGGGCTCCAGGCCAGATAGGAAACCCCATAGGCATGACCCTCCAACGTCTTCAGCTGCTTGAGCAGGTGCGTGTCCTGTCAAAACACCTCAAACCGTCACACTCTTGGATCAGGAGCGTTATTTTAATGGTGAAGGGGAGGGGGAAGGTCACTCACGGGGTCAACCTGCCATATAATGACTGTTGTGTCTTTGGATCCTGACGCCAGTTTGGTGCCGTCGTTGGAGAACTTGCAGAACCAGACTTCGTTGCAGTGCTCGGTCAAGATCTGCTGGGTGTAGCAGGGGAACTGTTTCCTGGAGACAACAGTCAATGTGTTTTAGAGATGGCTGTCTGGAGAGACCTTTTGCACTCATGCATTAGGCTATATTGACAAACCTTAGATTTTTTTTCACTTATACTTTATTTTGATAGTTCACCTCAGACATTAAAGGGTTAGTTCACCCAAAAATGAAAATTAAGTCATTAATTACTCACCCCCATGCTGTACCAACCCCGTGAGTCCTTCGTTCATCTTCGGAACACAAATGAAGATATTTTTGATTAAATCTGAGAGGTGGATCACTGCTACATAGGCTGTCTAAGGGATTGAAACTTGACGGCCCACAAAGTCAATGAAGAAAATGTTTAAATATTCCATGTGACTACAGTGGCTCGAGAATACGAGAATACGACTTTATTCGACTATTCCTTTTCTTCCTTGTAGGCCTGAGACGAGAGTTCAAGAGATTTCCACGACGCATGCGCGAGAATTGAACTGAAGTAGTTGAAGAAGAACACAGTTCTCGCGCACGCGTCGTGGAAATCTCTTGAACTCTCGTCTCAAGCCTACAAGGAAGAAATGGAGTAGTCGAATAAAGTCGTTATTTTTGTTTTTCGCACAAAAAGTAGTCTCGTCGATTGATAAACTTATCGTTGAGCCACTGTAGTCACATGGAATATTTAAACATTTTCCCTATTGACTTTCTGGGCCGTCAAGTTTGATCCCTAATGCCGGATTCACATATAGCGCCTAAAAACGCGTAGAAAAAGCTGGGCGCGCCACATTCTCCTTTTTCCAAAGCGCTACAGCGGTTACGCTCCGTTTGGTTCTTGTCACGTGACCTACAGTGCGCTTATGGTGCGCTTGCGGCATTCTCGAAAAGTTGAGATGTTTTTATCTCGATGCGGCGCGGACACGCTTGGAAAAAACGAGCGTGTCGCACTGCGACCGTGTCACTTCCATTATGAGCGCACATACCGCGAGCCTACCTTTGAAATAACGAACTTGAGCGCCCAAAAGACGCGATATGTAGCAGTGATCCACCTCTCAAATTCAATCAAAAATATCTTCATTTGTGTTCCGAAGACGAACGAAGGTCTTACGGGGTTGGTACAGCTTGGGGGTGAGTAATTAATGAATAAATTTGGGTGAACTAACCCTTTAAGTGTGACTAGATATAACTTTGCAACAATAAGTCAGCATAGCAGACAGTCTAGTAATACTCTAATCACTGCTAGTTGACATGTAGTTGCAAAGTTACTTGGTTAGTAGTGTTAAGACTGAAGAAACGGGAAGATAGGGCTACTCTCTGAGAAAACAAAGGAAATTAACATTTGAACTCTATAGAGAGCCTAAGCCCCTCAACTTCCGGTCGACCACCATGGGACCTTATTTCGGAAAAATATTGAATGGTAGTCAATGGCGAGAGACGACAAATATTTTGATCTCGTTTGAATTATGCCTTGAATTACACATATGATGTTTGTCAATTTAAAAGATACATTTTAAAGTAAAGAAAGTCACAGTTTGATGTAAAACCGTTGAGGTATATGACTGTGAAAATACGTAATTACAAAGACTACAAACCCCAAAGGCGCACATTTTCTCTCAATGAATGAAGCTAACTTTACTGAGGCTATTGTCTGTCATTGTTTCTATAGTCTTACGTTATAATCGTAACGTTACGCCGTCATGCCTGAGTGTGTTGTACCAGACTGCACACACACGAGCAGCGGATCTCGCTCGTTGTTTCCCGGGAGATGTAGTTCATAGAGCGATTTTCACATAAAACTAAACGTTACTCTTCTGTTTTATGACAAACTGTGACGTTTTTGACTTTCAGAATTATCTTTTAAATTGACAAACATCATATGTGTAATTGAGGGCACAGTTCAGACGGAATAAAAAGATAAGTTGTCTCTCGCCATTGACTACCATTCATATTTTTCAGAAATAAGGTCCCATGAGCCGGAAACGAAGGGGCGGGACTTAGGCTCTCTATTGTTATATTACCATCCCCATTCAAGACACAATCACACATCATTTTTTTCACCCACATCTACCCGAATTCACCCAAAAATCTATATGGTTTATGGTATACATGTTTGGTATCATTTGAAATGTCCCATTCCCACAGAAGTAAACCAGACAGGCAATAAGATGTGGAGAGTTTAGAGACATCTTGTTAACAGTTTTGGGTGTACGCCCATGTAAATCAGCGTCTGTCCTCAGTAAGTCTGAGACGGTGATTTATGCAAATCCCCACTGTGAACCCCCACGGTTTGCATTTGAAACGAGTTTTCTGCCTTGGTCTGAGTATTTAAGGAGATGCTGAAGAGGCTGTAACTCAGATCAGCCGGTGATGCGGAGAGTGGCCAAGACTCTCAGCATCATGCATTTTAAAATGTCAGAATCGCATCTTTTCTCTTTATTTCAGAGCATTTGATGTTTTGTATTTATTATCGTTGAACTGATTATTAAATTGGCATGATGCATTTACCTGACAATAAATTGTTACATTGACTGCCATCGTTTTCCCAGGTAGATTAAACGGACTCATGTTACCTCAAATCTGCGTCAGATTATCGACGACTAATATTTGGTGCTAATTCAAGTGTACTTGGTTTTGCAAAGGAAAAGGATATGAATGAATATCTATCTTTGTAGCTATTTTCTTTGTTACCTGATAATTCCATATAAGTAAATTGATGACACTGATTTAATTTGTCATGTTTTCAGATAAGAGTTTCGGTCATTGTATTATTGTTCTGATTATTGTTTATTTGCTATTATTTACAGTTTTACTCCTAATTCATAATGTATCTGGCATCTTATTAAACGGCAAAGACTAAGATGAATCCTGACTCATCTGTATTTTATGGATGGAGTTGTTAAATTGCATCTGTACATGCGAGGAGAACAGTACAATGTCAGAAGGTGCGACGCTATAAAGGACCGAATGCTCAGCTGTTCTCATCATGAGTTCAATTCAGGCATCAGAACCGCGTCTCCTCACAGCCGATCTCGGCTTGTGTGACGAAAGGATTCCTGCCGCTGTTTTGACTCCTTTACACATTTTTTTTAGCTCTTCACGAGTTCTCAGCTGGTCAAAATACCATCATATGTAGCTACGCACATACAGTGAGTGCATTATCTGGACCAAAATATTGCCTTTAATATGGCACACTACCAATAAATTCAGTTGTCAGTTCACTTTTTAGTGCCTAATCCTGTTCTGTACTAGCCTGACGTCGTCATACTCGTCAGGCTAGTACAGACTGGTGCCAACAAATGCCTTGATCGCGGTTCTCTGTTCCTCTTTTATAATGAATGCGCTGTCTACATCTATAACAGACGCGACAGCTAAGTCTACACAACTCAGTTCTCCAGCGGCGGCCATCTTTGTTGCAAACAAATTCAACCCAAGCGCTCTTTGGTGATGTGATGATTACGCTACGGTTGATCATCTGTCCATCATCGTATAAAGCCCGCCCTGACAATTTGATTGGTCCGAACAGCTTTGGTTTGAGTATAGTTGCTTCTCAACGGATCAAGTCCAGACCGAGCTTCCCATCCTCAAATGTTGTAGGTACACACAGTTCAGTAATTTATAGGAGTGTCAGGTGCATTTTATAATCAAATTAACTTGACAAAGTGGCAACTGCATTTACAAACATTTTACGCAGTTTGTACAGAACAACTAGTTGTCAATAACACATTTAAACGTGCATCAGAGATGTGTCTCTCTTCTGTGTGTGTGCAGCGCAAGAAAACCACAGGGGAACAGGCACGAGATTTGACTCATTCAGGTTGCCAGATCTTGCTAAATAAAGTCCATAATAAACCAAAATAAATGCAAATGCTTTATATTGGGAGTGTAACGGTACATGCATTCACCCCGAACGTCACGGTTCGGTGCATACAGTCAGACAAGAATACAGTCAATCATGGAAGGGGTGTGTGCAGCAATGCAACGCTGTCTGATAACCGCCACAACAAGAAGAAACGATCTATGCAACCCAAAGTTCATGTGGCACTTTATACGGTAGGTGGCGGTAAAACTCCTAAGCGGTGAGCAGCCGGTAACAAAAAGTAGACGAATGAGAACATCCTCGTCTCAGTTCTCGCGCATGCGCCCATAAGGAAGTAATGGAATAGTGGAATAAAGTCGTTATTTATGTTTTTTTCGCACAAAAAGTAGTCTCGTCGCTTGATAAACTTATAATTGAGCCGCTGTAGGCACATGGAATATTTAAACCTTTTCTTTAATGACTTTATGGGCCGTCAAGAGCAGCGTCCCTTAGGCAGTCTATCTAGGACTGATCCAGCTCTCAGATTCAATCAAAAATATCTTTATTTGTGTTCCGAAGATGAACGAAGGTCTTACGGGGTTGGAACAGCATGGGGGTGAGTAATTAATGACTTAATTTTCATTTCTGGGTGAACTAACCCTTTAAATGCTGTAAACTATGGGTGTCTAGTTGTAGCCTACTAGGCTTCATTAGCCTAATATGAAGGTAATAAATAATTGATTTGTAGCTATACAAACACTTAAATTACACTTTTATTTATTTTTATAATAAGAAGATTATATGAAATATAAACATTTAAATGGTGGCTGTCATAAAAACTTGCCAGATTTATTCAAATATGCATTAAATATTGAAGAACATTAACGATTGTGGACTAACGAGTTGATATGGGTTTTCTGAGGTAAATATGAAGATACATGACATTGATTACAAGCTGTTTAATTGACGTCTTCACACGGTTGAAAAGCAGATTGAGCGAATCAATGTGACATGATATGAATTTCGATAAGTTGTACTCTATCTTAACACACTTTCAGATGCTCATTCATGTTTATTTTGCGCTGTAACTGCTATTATTAAGCCGGAAGAGAGATCAGCGCTGCTGCTTCTCCAGAGCGATCTCACGCCACAGCGCCAAAACGCCATTTATGTTTTTGAATTTCTAAAGAAAATGGACGTAATTTGAAAATTGAGACTTTGTTTCATATCAATAGTAACAAAGGACAAAGATTATTGCGATTTTTTGGATGCGCGCAGCCGCAATACAATGTCTCATTCATTCAAATGAAACAGGATGACTAATCGATTCTTGAGATTTAAGAATTGATATCGGTTTGTAAAAATGAGAATCGATTAATATCGAGAAATCAATATTTATTACCCAGCCCTACTGTCTGCAATGGAAAACGGTGCAAAAAGCGAGTCAAGCCGAGCCGAGTTGAGCCGGTACTGGTAATGGAAAAGCGCCATTTTTCTCCTTCTTGCTCATCCTTGCATTATTTTTTTGAAAAATTCTGCATCGGCGCAACTCTCAAGTTTTATTTTTCATTATTCTATTTATTTTGTATTTTTATGACACAAGGGATGCTTTTCAGTTTTGAAGCTGATTGTGACCAAATACCTTTTGTTTTTTTGTTTTTTTATCAGCCCTGCAAAAAATAAAGACCTATGCAATAGTGCATTCTGTACATGAGTCCTCTAAAGGAGGCTTTACTGCACCATCAGCCTCAGGAGGGATTAAATAGCATTGGGTGGAACAAACTAATTTGCACTACTGTCCATTCAAAATCAATGAAAAGAAACCAAGCATCAATGATTTGTTGCTTTTTCCTGTTGTATCGAAACGTGACTCCAAAACCGAGGTACGTACCAAACCGTGACTTCTGTGGGCCGTTACAACCCCTGTGGGGTGGTGATGGCGCAGTGGATAAGACACATGCCTTTGGTGTAAAAGACCCGGGTTTGAATCCACTGTGAGACACCAATGTGTCCCTGAGCAAAACACTTAACCCCTAGTTGCTCCAGAGGCGTGCGACCTCTGACATATACAGCAATTGTAAGTCGCTTTGGATGGTGGTTGTAATCGTAGGGCTTCTGCACTCATTGATTGAAAAAATATATACGATGGAAGTCAATGGGACCAGAAACTGTTTATTTCCAAAAAAATTGGAGTATCCATTTAAAGGCCCGTTCACACCAAGAACAATTTTATCTATAAAAATAACTATAATGCTAAACACATAGGCATCCACACCAATGCACAGTAATGTTCTGTTTATTATAAGTGTGAACTGCAGTTTTGTCGCCTGTCGCTTTAAATATTCATGGCAGATGGATTCTGATTTGCTGATTTCAACAGGAAAACATTGTTTTAAACAGTTATTTCAGCGATTTCAACTACTACTTGCATGTTTAAAATGATATTTGAGGTGAACGTCTGGATTTACTGTAATTGGATAGACTGTAATTACCGCAAGACTAATCAAATCTTGCTCGACTCGTTGACCAACGTTTAGTCGACTATCAGGGGTCAGCCGTAGACAATGCATCTGTGAACCCGTAAGTTTGCTCATGTACCTGCTGCACACGTGGTCTATGAGCAGAGACACACTGTCCAGTCCACTGTCCAGCTTGGTGTTGTGGTAGAGACAGCGATCTCTCTGCAGCTCCACTGCCTGACGCAACAGAGTCTGCAGGCGCCGGGGCGGCAGCATCACGGACGGGGGCAAGTACGCTGAGAGAGAGACAGAGATGGAGCATAGAGGTCGTGGAGGGTTAGACTCAGTTTCACCTGAATTCAGCCAACACAGGACATAAAGTGGACTTGAGACTACGCGGGTCCGTCACGCTCTTTAGGTTACCGCCCCCAATTCAATTCATCTCCTGAATTGGCTGAACTGAAATAGAACTGACCCAAACCCTAGCTGAAAAAAAGAAAAACAATTACATGAAACTGTAAAAAAGAAAACAAAAGAGGGAATGAAGAGAGGAAGAAGTAAACAGAATAAATGAAAAAGTGAATAATAATGTTTACACCGATAATAATAATAATAGGTCACACTTTATTTTAAGGTGTCCTTGTTACAGTGCAATTATAGATTAGTACTAATTATAATTAACTACATGTACTAACTGTAGGATTAGGGTTTGGTTTAGGGCTAGTTGCATGTCCGTAATTATGCATAATTTAAAGTATTGCTACATTTAAAAAGGACACTGTAAAATAAAGTGTTACCCAATTATAGTTAATATTAATAACAATTAATAATTCTGGGTCACTCTTTTGTTTTGTCAGAGACTATGGGCCTGATTTGCTAAATTAGCACGAGAGCACAATCCCATAAAAGCACTGATGGGAGCGTAAATTTCTGCTCGTGATTTACAGACAAATTAAGGAAAACAGCCAGATCAAACTAGCGTCTGGTTTAAGGCGTGCTTTTTTTATGGGCGGTGAATAATGGTGCAAATACCAGTAAACTGATGAGCGCAAACCTTAGTAAATCACCCTCCATGATTCATTTAAATTCTAACATCCCAGAAATGTTTTGTCTGAAAGGGAAACTCCTGCAATAATATCAGCTGCAAAAATAACCCTGTCCACAACTTTTTGGCACTCATTTTTCACTGTGTGTCTTTAGTAAATCCTGAAAGTCGAGTTATAAAGTCAGAATTACGTTATATATTCGCAATTGCGTGTTATAAAGTTAGAATTACGTGACATAGTCGCAATTGCGTGTTATAGTCAGAATTACGTGATATAGTCGCAATTCTGTGTTATAAAGTCAGAATTACGTGATATAGTCGCAATTAGCCTTTCGCCGAGCCCCGCCCCCCTTAGTTACTGCTGCTACCTCCGTCAAACAAATGGTCAAACACGGGCAGCGCGACAGATTGCCATGACGGCAAAGGGTATTCCCGTGCGTGTCAGTGACCTTTTTTGGAGCAATACCTCCGCGATATCAAGCAAGATCGAAGCAAAAGGGGTTACGGTATGCGCTGGAGGGATTTATTCCAAATATAAAATTAAGAAATTAATGAGACACGACTACTATTGATGCTAATGCTTACCAGTCTCAAGAAAAATCAGAAAAACCCCATGACCATGCCAAGTTACCTCAAATGCAACCAGCACAGCCTTGAAGATTTTATAAACTGGTTCAGTGGCTAATTGTTTGGAGTTCGAAATATATAACTTGCGCTGCATATTTATTCATTTTGCCTCCGATAAAGGAGTAGCACGTTCGCTTTAACAAGCAGGTTGTTCATTACCACAGCAACCGATTGCGTGTCATGCTCATGCTGAATGCGATTTTCGTGTTTAAAAAGTAACTAACGTTATGCATAAGAGACGGAAAGAGGCAGAGAACCATACATTATTTAAGGTTATTTCTATTCGTTACGATATTGATATATGAACTGATGTTGTCATGTAAGCTTCATGCTTTCCCCGTTGCGAACGTAAACTGTAGTCTACGGTTCTGCACTGCTAACTTAGCTGACTGCTGCTCATTTTCCCAGAGAATATCATGGTATGTTAACAACAACCCTTTAGAAAATGTACAGTAAGTCCTTTGTGGATCCTCTTGATCTGCTTTCTCCGTGCTTCTTTGACTAATCTCAGTCGCACGCACGCTGCACGCGAGACGAGTTAACCATGTTCGACACATTTAACTGGAATTGGGGCGTCCACACTGTTTAATACATCTTAGGCACCGCTCGTGTTGTGTTTTGGGCTTTGGAAAGGGAAAAAACACAACTTCTCCAGACAATCTCTCGGGGTATCATGTGTCCGATTTACTAACGCCGTGGGCGCACCGCTTACTGTTTGACGGAACAGCTCACACAGTAACGGTTGCTATGATGTGTGATTGGACAATGGCCATTTTGTGGGAGGGGCCGGCGAAAGGTCAATTGTGTGTTATAAAGTCAGTATTACATGATATAGTCGCAATTGCGTGTTAAAAAGTTAGAATTACGTGATAAAGTCGCAATTGCGTGTTATAGTCAGAATTATGTGATATAGTCAAAATTACGTGATATAGTCGCAATTGTGTGTTATAAAGTCAGAACTGCGTGATATAGTTGCAATTCCGTGTTATAAAGTCAGAATTACGTGATATAGTCGCAATTGTGTGTTATAAAGTCAGAATTACGTGATATAGTCGCAATTGTGTGTTATAAAGTCAGAATTACGTGATATAGTCGCAATTGCGTGTTATAGTCAGAATTACGTGATATAGTTACAATTGCGTGTTATAAAGTCAGAATTACGTGATATAGTCGCAATTGCGTGTTAGTCAGAATTACGTGATATAGTCGCAATTGCGTGTTAGTCAGAATTACGTGATATAGTCGCAATTGCGTGTTATAAATTCAGAATTACATGTTATAGTCGCAATTGCGTGTTATAGTCAGAATTACGTGATATAGTTGCACTTGCATGTTATAAACTCAGAATTACATGATATAAAGTCAAAATTACGTGATATAGTCGCAATTGTGTGTTATAAAGTCAGAATTACATGATATAGTCGCAATTGCGTGTTAAAAAGTTAGAATTACATGATAAAGTCGCAATTGCGTGTTATAGTCAGAATTATGTGATGTAGTCAAAATTACGTGATATAGTCGCAATTGCGTGTTATAAAGTCAGAATTACGTGATATAGTTGCAACTGCATGTTATAAACTCAGAATTATGTGATATAAAGTTAAAATTACGTGATGGTCACAATTGCGTGTTATAAAGTCAGTATTATGTGATATAGTTGCAATTGCATGTAAAAAAAGTCAGAATTACGTGATATAAAGTTGCAATTGCGTGTTAGTCAGAATTAAATGATATTAAATCAAATTTACGTGATATAGTCGCAATTGTGAGTTATAAAGTCAGAATTACGTGATAGTCACAATTGCGTGTTATAGTCAGAATTCCGTGATATAGTTACAATTGCGTGTTATAAAGTCAGAATTACGTGATAGTCGCAATTGCGTGTTATAAAGTCTGAATTACGTGATATAGTCGCAATTACGTGTTATATTCAGAATTACGTGATATAGTCGCAATTGCGTGTTATACTCAGAATTACGTGATATAGTTGCAATTGCATGTTATAAAATCAGAATTACGTGATATAAAGTCGCAATTACGTGATATAAAGTCAGAACTACGTGATATAGTTACAATTGCGTGTTATAAAGTCAGAATTACGTGATATAGTTACAATTGCGTGTTATAAAGTCAGAATTACGTGATATAGTCGCAATTGCGTGTTATAAAGTCTGAATTACGTGATATAGTTACAATTGCGTGTTATATTCAGAATTACGTGATATAGTCGCAATTGCGTGTTATATTCAGAATTACGTGATATAGTTGCAATTGCATATTATAAAATCAGAATTATGTGATATAGTCGCAATTACGTGATATAAAGTCAGAATTACGTGATATAGTCGCAATTGCGTGTTATAGTCAGAATTACCTGATATAGTCATTGCGTGTTATAAAGTCAGAGTTACGTGATATAGTTTTAAATGCATGTTATAAAGTCAGAATTACGTGATATAGTTGCAATTGCATGTTATAAAGTCAGAATTACGTGATATAGTTGCAATATATACAGTATATAAAATACAGCTTGTCGCGCTCAATATTGCAAACTGCTATTTATTATCATATTATTTAAATGTATTGTCATTATTACAAACACACTGGTTTGCAGTGCAAATAGTTTGTGTTTACAGAATTTTGTTATTCTTAGTTATTTCCCTTTAGCAGTGAACGAATCAGAAGTCTGGCACATCCACAGGAAATAGCTAACTTCTGCATCGAAAAATAGTCATATATAGCACAGCCTCTCATACCTTTTGCTTAAGCATAATGCATAAATATCAAACTCACAAGTTTTCTTATCAAAATTAAGTGAATATAGAAGAGAATCTCAAATAATTCGAGCCAACGTTGACATTTTTGTCATGGTGTTATTAAAATAAGACCATTATTACTACATATTTTTACGTTGTTATTCATTTAAATGTTTTAGGAAATACATTGTAATAGAAATATTTTATATTTTATAGGTTTTCCTGTGCCCAATATCACATCTAACCTATCTTTTATAATATTCGTTAAACTAACAAAAGTTCCTGAATGCCATCAATGACAACTTTTCTAAAAGTTTTAGCAGTGGACTTTATGAACTGCGTAATGTTGTGGAATTAGTTGGCCTGTGTTTTTATTTTATTTTTACTGTGCAAAAACTACATAAAGAAAAAAAAGCTCACAGGATAAAACATACATTTACAACAACATGATCAGTTCATAGTATTTCATTGGTTCTTTCTTGTTTTTGCATGCGTTCATAATTTCATAGCATGACAGCTGTGTCAAAAATGATGTCGGCACAATTTCATTGTGTGATCACAAATAAACACATTTTAATAATATTTGAATAAAGAGTGTCAAAATCCCTTTTGGCCACAACTCTATAAGCATAATCAACACATATTTCAATGCTGATTTACTCACTCAAAGCAATATTTCCTTAAATAACAACACAAGCATATTCAGTTTTCAGTGGCAGGATTTAAACGGTAGCATAACCGGAATGATGCAGCTGGTGTTTGTTTATATGTGTTTCGAGTAACTCACTCTGAAGTTTGTCGAGGAGTTTGGATCGTGAGGCCGTCCCTTTCCCCTCCCACTCGGCTTTCGCACGCAGGTCATCAGAGTTACTGCACATCAGGTACCTACAGATCGAAAAATAAAATAGGGAATTGATTTTAACAGCCTTTTTTTTTAATCAAAAATGTGTTTTAGGTGGACAGATCAATACAGGACACATGTGGAATGTTAGAAAATATCAATGTCTTTTCTGTTAACCAAATACTTTCACTATTACTGCAAGTGAACAAGCGCGCCGTTATTTGTTGCATAGTAACGCGTGTGTTCAAGTAAGCCAGAAATGAGCAGATTCTGTATTTAATACATCATGAAGGCTCACCAGTTGCGTATTTGCGTTAAATTCATGCAGATTTGTCTTTAGCCTGGTTCACACAGCAGAATTATTAGGTCGATTTGTAGCCCCGTTTCACCCCTTCCGACAATCTTAAGGATGCTCCGATTATCGTAAAATAATCTGCTCAGATATACCTGCCGTGTGTGGTGTGTTAAGACTGCTCTCGTCTGCTCGGAAGAATGCCGGTACCGCTCTGATCTCAAATCGGGGATATCCAACATGTTGGATTTTTTTGGCCCGATTTCTCCTCGTGTGTGGCGTCCCCCCCGGGGACAAACGAGCACACAGCCTGTGAACTGTGGCGTGTAGCCAATCAGAGGAAGCACCGGCAGGAAACTAAAATCAAAACAGCCGGCACCCGGCGGTATGGCGCACCAGAAAGTCCGGTGGAAGTTTTTTTTTTTCTTTAAAAATAAACTACACACTATCACCACTGCATCCTCTTCGTCCGCCATGATTGTTCACTCTGAAGTCACGTTTGATCTCGAGGGATTTCTCGAGATTTTCCGTCTGTCCTGGGAATGCTTGGGAGTCAAATCGGTTTGTGTGTGATGTGTTGATTTTGCGTGTGGCTGCGCAACACACACTGTACGACGAAAACTGTAAGAGCCGTGATTTTTTAATCGCCGTGTGCGGAGTCTCAGGTTTGGAAAATCGGCCGACAATTTTAAAATCGTCCAGTGTGAACCAGCCTTTACACAAACTTCCCCAGCAAAGTGAGTAAACATAGAAACGTGATTTCACAGCGTTTCCAGCCAAAGTTCATTAAATAATTGTTAATTTCAATCCCTGAATGTTGCACTCCTGTTTTAGCCTAGAAATCTAGACGCACCCTAGCGGCAGCAAAAATTATTTTGCAGCCAGTGTGGTCTAGCAACTCTCCGTTGGCTTTCGAAGTGGAAAAACAAACTCTGGTCAGGCCAATCACATCGTGTATAGAGTAGGTGGGCAGGCTTAAAGGAGAACTCCGGCGCCACTTGGATCGGCGTTCGTAGATCGACTGGTAGAGACTATTTTTCAAAGATGGCTACTTCCTGTATTCGCGAAGTTGACTGTGTGTATAAAATATCTTCTTATTAAACTGTTTGGACACTGACAAAGTTCCCAATGCTTCGGTTTGAATGTAGGGACCCTTATTATACTGTCGTGTTAGTGTGGGGCTATTTTGAGCCTTGTTAGTGGTAATAACAAGCGATTTTTATTTGTCATTACTCTATGCCCCATATACTAGCATTATACTAGCGTTATAGGCTAAACTGTTTTTAGAGATAAAACTATTTACATTCGGCAATCATGAAAACAAATCTCAGATAACGGTTGAATAGGTAACAATGTGTAATTAGACCAAAGGTTCATTTTGCGCCGGAGTTGTCCTTTAACACAATGACGGCAGAGTTGTGACGGTGATTTCCCTGCTACTTGAAAACAAACAAGATGCTGCTGGCAAACAGTGGTCTTTCGATTCGGCTTTGGCCGCGACTCTGGACGACTTGGAGAGAAGAGAACGTCACTTAAGTCATTCTTAAAAAAAAGGAAGATGTGTTCGGAGTTTTGATGAACGGATACGGCAAAAGTTTAATATATCAAAAGCTCCGCTGGTGGGAAAACGCATGGGACTCACTCAGCCACAGCCGTTCGTTGCTCTGGTTGGTTAGCGCTATCCTATGGCGTGCAGATAGATATTGAAAGACAACTTTTAATCCCGCCCCTCGGATTGAGGTATGCCAATTGTGAGTTCCCAGACCTAACATCTGGATGTAGGTCTGGCTTGCCAGGCTACTCCTGTTTGTCATTGTGCACAAAATGTTTTATAGGGAACCTAAAAAACACTGAGGAAATTGTTGCCCCCAAAACAGGACTGAAGTGTGTTACCCGCTGAGGATGTGGATTCGTTCGGTGTTGTACTTCAGCGGCGTGAGCTCGGCTCGGAGGACCTGAAGTGCTTCGAGAACCTTCCCGTCCTCCAGATACTCCAGATACTTCTGTTGCAGGAGCAAGAACTTCATCCGCTGAACAACACAGGACAAAATCACATTAAGAAGATTCATCAAACTGATGGTGGAGATGTTGAGAGGAGTTTGGACTCTTACCACCACAGCGCTCGGTGAATGCATCAGTGCTTTCAGCTCGTTGAGGTCACTCTCAGCCTGTTAGAATAAAACACACACAGATTAACTGAGTTTCCTCAAGTTGAACGACCCTTATCTGTTTCTTGTTTGGTGTGTTGATGACCATTAAATACACCAAAGGACAAAGTTTAGAAACAAATCTTGTTAGATATTGATGGGGATTCTGATTCCACTAAATTATTCTGTAATACTTTACTTAATGTTTTTAATGTTGTTAATGTGTCTATGTCGTGTTTTTAATGAGCTTCAAGACGTGCAAATTCATAAGTCGACAGCATTGCTGAGTATTTTCTGCAGTGAACCAAAGACAGTCTCAAAAACACGGTTTGAAATTGCTGGTGTTTCTGACGTCACAAACTAGCTTGTAACCAATCAGATCACGAGGGGGCGGGATTTAGCAAATCATTAACTGTTTGCAAAGCATGAGAGTCCCAAGAGAAGCCAGGTTATCCCAGTATATTTTCTGTTGATATGAAAAATCCGCCACATTTAGCAATAGCGGGTGAATCATGTGTCTGATGTTATGATGGTTCTCCACTGATGTTCTGAGTTGTTTAAAGTGTTTCTAAGGACGATAGAAGGAAGCTGTCGAACGGGAACATTATTCGTGTAACATTAGCAGCACGTTATCTGTTTGATAAGTAGTCAAGGCAAAGGCTAATCATATTAATTTCTGTTATTGTGTCCGACATAGATAGCAATACAGCCATCCTATAGACAAGCCTGTATAATTCACTCTTCCACTTCTTCTGAATCAGTTTCTGGTTCAAACATATATGGCTGAATGAAACCAGTATTTCCTCTTATCACTGTGCCGTGTTTACTACAGTAAAGTTGACAGAGTGGATCTCTGAGCTGCTGCGAGTGAGTGGAGGTGGGGCTAGTTAGCATATATATATATATATATATATTTTTAAAATATTAATTTAATTTTATTATTGTATTAATTTTTTATTAATTTTATTAAATATTAATTTCGGTGATCAAATATGAGTTTTGATACCTGTGTGTAAATAATCATATATTTTCATAAATAGCTATAACTAAAGTTAAAATGCATTATAATATTTGCAGATTCCTTGTAACACCTGACATTGCAGTGTTTCCCCCACCATTGTTGGCCGCCCCCCTTAAATGCTGACGAAATCCAGTCACAAAAAAGGAAATTACTGTACATATTTTCGAGGAATAAATAGAAAGTAGATCCAGACCGGTTTATCGGCAGGCCGATATTTGAGACAGAGACAGTGTAAAACAATTTCTGGACCAAAATAAAACACCGAAAAATTCATTTTTTTGCGTCACATTTAAACTTAATTGCAAAATTAATTTTGTGAAGAAAGTCGTCAAGCCATAAACCCAAGTATTTAACTTTATCAACTTCAGTCAGAGAAGTAGAAGTACCGTCATTACACATTATAATTAGATTATTAGTTTTTTTTGTTCCGAAGATAGAATAAGATTTAGTTTTATTGAGCAGTAGTTTATCAGATAACAGCCATTTCTGTAAGGTACTAAAATCCAATTGAAGAGCAGTTTGGATTTGCAATAAATGTGATTTAGATGTATAAATGACGAATTAGAACACATTCAAGGCAGATCATTAACAAAAATAGTGAAAAGAAGTGGACCCAACATCGAACCTTGGGGTACACCTCTTTGCTGCACAAATAAATCAGATCTACTCCCTTTAAGAAAAACACATTGTTTTCAATTATGTAGATAAGAATTAAACCAAGATAATGCATTTTGAGATAAACCAATTGCAAACAGCTTATCTAAAATATAACTGTGGTTACAATTATTTATGAGACCATTCAATGCTTGATAAAAGTGAATTACAAGACATAATTACTGCAATAAAATACTTTTATAATGCATGATACATAAAGACTTGATGAACAAAGGTCTAACTGGTTTGGAACGACATGAGGGTGAGTAATTAATGACAGAATTTTAATTTTGGGTGAACTAACCCTTTAATCTTTTTAATCTACTCTTTAAGCTTCTTTAGTTCTATACTACGGTACACAAGTCAATCACTCAGTAACATGGCAATAAATCTAATGCCACCAGTGTCCCTTGGTACCATTACAGTTCATTTTTCTAATGATTGTCTTCATTGTGACATGTCAACAGTAAACAAAAACATACAATTAATATTTTTTTCCCAATTCCGTTTCATTCAAGTACAAGTACAATTTCTACAATTTCAATAACTACAATTTCTAGACAGGCCATGTGAAGACTCACCTTTTCCCACTCTCCCTCAATCACATGATTACGAAACTTGGTAGCAGCCGGATGCTCAAGTCTACAGCCCGATTCCTGCATCAACAGGTCCACCGTTTGACTGGAACATGACAAAAAGAAATATGTTAATTAACAATGTGAAGTGGATTCATATTCCTTTCACATGATAGACTTAGGATTAGAGAACACACACACACACACACTTCCAATCTCCTAGCAACAAGAAGTCAGTGTTTGACTCATGAAAGCAATAATTAACATATAAACCCTGAATGTTTCACTTCCTAGAAAGGAAGACCTCTCCCACTGTTCACTATAAATTGTGTGGAGCACCAATTCATCTGGATTTCTACACCAGAAGAGACCAAATGGGGTTGACACTCCTAACAAAGACTATGTTAGGAAAGATGCATTACTGCAACAAGCTATTTTACTTTGCTTTTACCTTGTCAATATGAACTGGCAAACTAATAGACTAGATGTGCATACTAGATCTGCAAAATATTGAAGAAAAATGTGATATGCGATGCAATAATGCTTTAAAGGGTTAGGCTAGTTCACCCAAAAATGAACATTACCCCATTATTTACTCCCCCTCAAGCCATCCTAGGTGTATATGACGTTCATTTGTCAGACAAATACAATCAGAGTTAAAATGTTCGGGCCAGGGCTCAACAGTTTTCACTGCAAAATTTTCACTGGCCCCACGAAACAACAAAAAAATTATAAAGTAAAAAAAGAATGAGCCATTTAAAATAATCCTAGTATTGTTTTTGATATTTTTGATACCATAATAAACAAGGTTATGAGGAAACCAAAAGCTACTAGATTGACTCATTTAAACAGCAAGTAATTCAAAGGAGCAAATGGTCAAATTACGAGCAAAAGCACAAATAAATACAACAGAACAAACATATAATTGAAATAAACGGTGCTTTTATGGTAGGTTTACAGATGTATCCAGGTACAGAAATTGCGATCTAATTAATTTATATAATTTATAATTTAATTGTAATCTAAACAACTATATAAATATAGATCAACCTTTATTCAAGTTAAACAGTAGGGTTGGGTATCGTTTGAATTTGAACGATTTTGATTCCGATTCCTTGTTTCGATTCCGGTTCCTAACGATTCTCGATTCCGATTCTTTTAAGAGGCAGGGTCAAAAAAGTTTAGCTAACCTTGCTAACCAACGGCCTTTCTGAAGGAAATACTCCTTCTGTAAAAGTACTCCTTTTGTCACAAATTTTGCATTTTGCCGAGATTTCGTTATTTTTAGAAAAGTGAAGCCGGACTTTGGATCGCCGACGTAAGCTACTCATGTTCGACTCGCGCGGTTATGCCAACACTTCCGGTAGAAGCTTCTTCGTTGGTGTTGTTCAGCGGTTTCTTCTTCCGCTCGGCGGACTGTGAATATCGAAACTAGGAATCGAAATTTTAACTTTTGAACGATTCCAGGAAAAACGAAAAGTTAGTCTCGGTTCCAATCGATACTCGATTCTCGATACCCAACCCTATTAAACAGTGTAGATCAGTTAAAGATAATGTTTTGAAATGTTGAAAATATAAAACGTTAAATACTGTTATTTTAAATTATTTAGAAATCAAGATACTTCAAATGTGATATTAAACCCACCAGGCGGTGGCAGCAAGTCACAGTTAATGAGCGAGTCATTGAGATTCAATTGATTCATTCAAACGGCTGATTCATTCAGGAAGGAAACATTTTACTGTATTATTGAGTGAATCGTCAGTAAAGATACACCACGTATGTTGCTCAGTAAAACAGTGGACTTAGTGTTTCAAACTATTTTCGTTGGCGGAATATAGCGAAACAGGCGATTTTTGTCTAAAATGTAAGTCTCCTAATATTAACTTGTATATTAAAATTTAATTTGTATAAAATCAATATCTTGAGGAGAAAACAGCTCTCTTCGTGTAATATTGGTTAACTACATTAAATGACATACAGTATAAAAGACATACAGGGGCATTATAATAGACCAAATCACACAGTTAAAGTACACACTCTAAAGGTGCACGTGTGCTAGTGTAATCTACTGAACTACATCACATAATGTATGTGTGTACTCAATGGGTGTGTTATTGATTATGTCAGTTTGTTAAATCAGCAATTACGATATCACAGACGATATATCGCACACCCCTACAGCACTGGCCCGATAATGGCAATGAATGGCCATTTATGTTTTGAAGTCCATCAAAGCACATCCATCCATGATAAAAGTGCTCCACACGGCTCTGGCGGGTTAATAAAGGCCTTCTGAAGCGAAGTGATGTGTTCGTCGAAGAAAAATTTCCATATTTAAAACTTTATCGATGAAAATAACTAGCTTCTGGCAGACGGCTGTACGCATCGATTTACAGCAGAAGAGTAACCTTTGACGGATTAATAAAAAAGGAAGTGCGAATTAGAGTCTAAAAGGAGATTTTTTCAGAGAAATGTGGGAGGGGTAGGGCTCTATAAATTCCACGATCACAGAAACGGACGGAATTGCGGAATTGGCAAATTAACGCGGAATCTAGTGTTAACACAGAATTTTGTGGAATTTACATATTTGGTTTGAAATTCAGTTTTTGTGTAAGAGAAGAATGTATGTCTGGTGAAAATGCAGACCGGCGCAAGCAAATCTGGGCGACACAAACTCCCCACTCAGTCATTTCAGCTGCAATGCCGAAATCAAAACAATTGAAGCATGGCGAAGCAGCTCGCCACAGCTCTGCTTTCGTCTGCAAAAAAGTTAAGAAACTCTACGCTATTAGCCCTCAGTGCCATGCCAACCCGGTCTCACGGCAATTCGTAAGAATTTTACAAGGGGCTAATTCGTAACAATTCATACGACCTCACTCGTACCTAAATCGTACTATTTAGCATATTTTACGAGTTGGCCAATTCGTATGAATTCGTACAAATGACCTACTCCTGACCCCGCCCCTAAACCTACCCATCACGTGGGTTTAGACAAATCTTACAAGTGAGGTCGTATGAATTAGTACGAATTAGCCACTTTTTAATCACTCGTATGAATTCGTACGAATTGGTCGTGAGATAGCGTTGGCCGTGCCGAAAAGCTCGCACGTGACCTATGCAGTGTTTCCCACACATAGACTAATTCGCGGCCACAAAATCAACTCTGGCCGCCACATATTGCGTTTCATTCATTTTTTTAACGCTATTTAAAACACGTAGCATATTCTTTCAGTTGTGTTTCCTTTCCCCGCTCTCCCTCCGTCTCCATCACTCACGCATCTCTCTCACATAGACACACACACAACTCCGTGCACACCGCGTCTGTCTATGAGGCGCCGGACTGGACTAAAACGAAGCGAACTCAACGAGCGACACTGGGTGAGAGAGAGACTGAGTGTGACTTTATTTAAACTTATATAAACTAATATAATTTATTTTACTGGATAGTTTAAAGGTCATAACCATATTTTGTTGTTAGTTGAAGAGTGCAGTATTTGTCTTAAAATGGCTACTGTACTGAGTAAATGTCTGTTACCTCAATAAATTTAAGGTCATTCCTATTTTATTTGTATACATTTTAATAATTAATGTTAAAAGCACACTCTTTTTACTACTTAAATAACAGTAAAGGGTTAAAAAAATGAATTCCCAAAAATTAAAACAGGAAAAAATAAAACGGAATTTGGGAAAAAATGAAACGGATTTCATGGGCCCTAGAGGAGCTTGAGTTTGTTTGAAATGCGAAAGGGATCTAAGCTTACGCTACTCCTACATCTACGCCACACATCATCATATAAATCCATGAGTATGGCCATCTGCCGGAAGCTGCTTATTTTAGTCGATAAAGTTTTTAATATGGATACTTTTCTAACACGTCACTTTTCTGCTGTCACTTAGCGATCCGATATACTGTTACACACGCGGTTTCTTTCTCAACTCCATTTAAGACATAACTGACTGTGTTTGTGAATATTCACCAACAAAGGAACTTTGACATTATTTTGTGTGTTTTTGGCCAAATAAGCTGCAGAAGAGAACTGATGTCGGGATCACGTGCTCTCCGAGAGGCGCATGAGTTCTTCGATTATTGCATTTAATGACATTAAGCATGTCACACGTTTGTTACCATTACTTTTTGTGGACTTTTGAAGTATTAAAATCGTAAGTCATTGTCATATGCATATCATGATATGCGATACATTATACATTTGCGATATTTCGATAGTTTCGATGCATCATTCAGTCCTAATACTTTTCTATATAGGCATAGGCGTTATTTCAACTTTACATTTTTATTAAAACTGAGAATATCAGATTTTGTTAAAATTCTGGGTTTTATTTTGTTATATTAGGTCTTAAAAGGATTTTTGTACTCAGTGCAACCCTGGCAATTTATCAGTACTATAGCAATATTCAATTATAACTTATATTTTGATGTACACCACTGACATTATCAAAACACAGACATATTGCAAAAAAAAAAAAAACACTAATGTGAAAAATCAAAAACTCCATTGACAACATAAAAGCACTAAAACACCACTGACATCATTATAAAACCAATAATAATACTGACAAATTACACAAAAATCCCACCATGAAAACACAAACTCTACTGGCACCATAGAAAATAAAACACTGGGGAAAAAATCCACTAACATGTTACAAAACACCATTGACACTTATGAAACCAATAACAGCACTGACAAGTTAAAAAAACAGCAATATTCAGAAATGCCTGAAATCGGGGTTAAATCGGCACTCTCAGTACTAAAACCGGTAAAATCCACATACGTTACAAAAACACCATTCACACCATCATGAAAGCTCAAAAACACCACTGACACGGTCATGAAAACATTGCTAAAACCAATAAAATCCACTGACACCGTCATGAAAAAACAAAAACACCACTGACACCAATAAAATCCATTGAAACGTTACCATCATAAAAAACACTACTAAAACCAATAAAATCCACAGAAATCTCCGCTGACACCATCATGAAATCACAAAAAACACCACTGACACTGTCATGACAGAACAAAAACACCACTGAAACAGTCATAAAAACACAACTAAAACCAGTAAAATCCACTGACAGTCATGAAAGAACAAAAACACCACTGACACCAATAATATCCACTGACACATTACAAAAACATCCCTGACACCCTCATGTAAACACAAAAGCACCACTGACAGTCTGACACTGTCATGAAAAAAATATAACACGACTGACACCATCAAAAAAACACCACTAAAACGAATAAAATTCACAGACCTATTACAAAACCACCATTGACATCATCATGAAAGCACAAAAATACCACTGACACCATCATAAAAGCTCAAAAACACCACTGACACCACTAAAAACACCACTGACAGGATCATGAAAGCTCAAAAACACCACTGACAGGATCATGAAAGCACAAAACACCACTGACACCATCATGAAACCTCAAAAACACAAGTGACACCAGTAAAAACACCACTGACAGGATCATGAAACCTCAAAAACACCACTGACATCATCATGAAAGCACAAAAACACCACTGACACCATCATAAAAGCTCAAAAACACCACTGACACCACTAAAAACACCACTGACAGGATCATGAAAGCTCAAAAACACCACTGACAGGATCATGAAAGCTCAAAAACACCACTGACACCATCATGAAACCTCAAAAACAGCACTGACACCATCATGAAAGCTCAAAAACAGCACTGACACCATCATAAAAGCTCAAAAACACCACTGACATCACTAAAAACACCACTGACAGGATCATGACTGCTCAAAAACACCACTGACAGGATCATGAAAGCTCAAAAACACCACTGACACCATCATAAAAGCTCAAAAACACAAGTGACACCAGTAAAAACACCACTGACAGGATCATGAAAGCTCAAAAACACCACTGACAGGATCATGAAAGCTCAAAAACACCACTGGCAGGATCATGAAAGCTCAAAAACACCACTGACAGGATCATGAAAGCTCAAAAACACAACTGACACCATCATGAGAGCACAAAAACAGCACTGACACCATCATAAAAGCTCAAAAACACCACTGACGCCAGTAAAAACACCACTGACAGGATCATGAAAGCTCAAAAACACCACTGACACCATCATAAAAGCTCAAAAACACCACTGACACCATCATAAAAGCTCAAAAACACCACTGACACCATCATGAAAGCTCAAAACCACCACTGACACCATCATGAAAGCTCAAAAACACCACTGACACCATCATGAGAGCACAAAACCACCACTGACACCATCATGAAAGCCCCAAAACACCACTGACACCATCATGAAAGCTCAAAATACCACTCACACCATCGTGAAAGCTCAAAAACACCACTGACACCATCATAAAAGCTCAAAAACACCACTGACAGCATCATGAAAGCTCAAAAACACCACTGACACCAGTAAAAACACCACTGACAGGATCATGAAAGCTCAAAAACACCACTGACACCATCATAAAAGCTCAAAAACACCACTGACACCATCATGAAAGCTCAAAACACCACTCACACCATCATGAAAGCTCAAAAACACCACTGACACCATCATAAAAGCTCAAAAACACCACTGACCATCATAAAAGCTCAAAAACACCACTGACACCAGTAAAAACACCACTGACAGGATCATGAAAGCTCAAAAACACCACTGACACCATCATAAAAGCTCAAAAACACCACTGACACCATCATGAAAACCCAAAACACCACTGACAGCATCATAAAAGCTCAAAAACACCACTGACCATCATAAAAGCTCAAAAACACCACTGACACCAGTAAAAACACCACTGACAGCATCATGAAACCTCAAAACCACCACTGACACCATCATGAAAGCCCCAAAACACCACTGACACCATCATGAAAGCTCAAAACACCACTCACACCATCATGAAAGCTCAAAAACACCACTGACACCATCATAAAAGCTCAAAAACACCACTGACACCATCATAAAAGCTCAAAAACACCACTGACACCATCATGACAGAACAAAAACAGCACTGACACCATCATAAAAGCTCAAAAACACCACTGACAGCATCATGAAAGCTCAAAAACACCACTGACAACACTAAAAACACCACTGACAGGATAATGAAAGCTCAAAAACACCACAGACACCATCATGAAAGCTCAAAAACACCACTGACACCATCATAAAAGCTCAAAAACACCACTGACACCATCATAAAAGCTCAAAAACACCACTGACAACACTAAAAACACCACGGACAGGATAATGAAAGCTCAAAAACACCACAGACACCATCATGAAAGCTCAAAAACACCACTGACACCATCATGAAAGCTAAAAACACCACTGACACCATCATAAAAGCTCAAAAACACCACTGACAACACTAAAAACACCACTGACAGGATAATGAAAGCTCAAAAACACCACTGACACCATCATGAAAGCTCAAAAACACCACTGACACCATCATGAAAGCTCAACACCATCATGAAAGCTCAAAAACACCACTGACAACACTAAAAACACCACTGACAGGATCATGAAAGCTCAAAAACACCACTGACAGGATCATGAAAGCTCAAAAACACCACTGACAGGATCATGAAAGCTCAAAAACACCACTGACACCATCATAAAAGCTCAAAAACACCACTGACACCATCATGAAAGCTCAACACCATCATGAAAGCTCAAAAACACCACTGACATCACTAAAAACACCACTGACAGGATCATGAAAGCTCAAAAACACCACTGACAGGATCATGAAAGCTCAAAAACACCACTGACACCATCATGAAAGCTCAAAAACACCACTGACACCATCATGAAAGCTCAAAAACACCACTGACCATCATAAAAGCTCAAAAACACCACTGACACCATCATGAAAGCTCAAAAACACCACAGACACCATCATGAAAGCTCAAAAACACCACAGACACCATCATGAAAGCTCAAAAACACCACTGACACCATCATGACAGAACAAAAACAGCACTGACGCCGTTATGAAAACAATAACACCACTGACACGTTACAAAAACACCACTGCCACCATAATAACAACACTATATCAGCAGTGCCAAACACGAAAACATCACTGTCACGGCACAAAAACACCAGCGTGACCCTCGCGAAAGCCCAAACCCGCACCACTGACACTGACAGCATCATGGCTTCAACACTCACTTGAGTCCTAACCCGTGTAGATGTTGACCGATGAGCCTGATCACGTCCTCGTCGCTCTGGGACAGTCTCTTCTTCTTCTTCGCGCTGCTGTCCGGCTCCGGGCTCTCGGTGGACGGCAGCCCGTTATTAGCGGAGGGCATCAGCCCGTTTGAGTGCACGGCTCCCGCGACGGACGACGAGGACTCCCCGTTTCTGCAAGACATCTGCGGCTCCGGCTCCTGGCCTCCCGTCCCGTTGGCCTGCATGTTATTAACCGCGTTTGCAGAGGCGGATCTGCGCGACTGCGAGCTGTTGTTGAGGCGGATGGCCGAGTGCTGGTGGGGGGTTGGGAGAGACGCCGCAGAGAGGCCCGTGATCCCGGTTACAGAAGCCCCGCTCTCTCCTGCTCCCTCCGCCGCCGAGACTCGGCTTTTCTTCCGCGGGGGCGGCGAAGCTCCGCCGGTGTCCGAGTCGGAGGAAGTGGCAGCGGAGGCCAGAGTTTTCCTCGCCGACAATGTCAGAGTCGAGATGCCTCACGGGCTTTTAATAATACCAGCGCGATTACAGACACGGAAGCCGCTCGCTCACTCGCTCGCTGCTCTTGTTATTGTTTGTCACTGAACAGCTGCAAGTCCATTATGGACGTCGGAGCGTGATGACGTCACCGGAAGCGCCACAACAACCTTGAACTTGCTCTTTTTGTTATTAGTAAAATTAAACGTCAAACTAAAATTATTAAAAAAACAATTAAATCGACTTTCTCAAAACCCATGTTTGCTCAGTTTAAAGCAGCCTTTAAAATGTATTTAGAGTCTATAAAGTTTTTAAAAGATCGAAAAGTCCAACTGTATATCTGCTAAATAAGTTGTTTGTGATGCCCTGTTTTACGTTTCCTTTGTGTTGTTTCTTTTTTTTTAAATAATTGTTGTGTTTCAAGTTTTACTTACAAAAAGAAATGTGTCAAGAACTTGATATTGAATTCTGTTTTGAATTTTAAAAAGTTCAATAAACTTAATTTTAATGTTTTGCTTGTTGAAGTACTACATTACTTTGTGACTATCTTTGACTCTTGTAACAAGATGGCTTTAAAAATAATTGAAATACGTCAGTCTTTTAATAATTTCCATTGATATATAATCCTTTCTGATTAGCTATACCCCTCTCTTGTATTTTTTCTTTCGTCCGTTTCCTTCTTTGTTTAGCCTATATAATCTTCTATACTTAAAAAAAACACTCCATTGTGTCCAGTCCGTCACAACAACAATATGTAATAAATGCAGAACATACAGATTTGACTTGTTTATAATACAGTTTGTGTAATTTTTGTTTATGAATGAATGCAGAAAATACAGACTTGAGTTAAAAATTACCTTTTTAATAATTTGAAAAATATAAGAAAGATGGCAGAGAAAATGAAAAAATAACATGCGGCCAAGAAATTAGTTTAGGGGAGAGCGGGGCACAACCTAACGCATTTTGGTTTTGGCTCAATTAATTAAAAAATAATTAGGTTAGATTAATAGCCTACTTTTTTACACAAGCAACATACACATCTGACCACATCTGCCACAAATGAACACTTAAAAGTATTTTTCTGGACCTACCATTTTCATACAGTTGCAATGAAGGTGACAGAAGTGCAAATGTTACAACTTACCACATATGCGGGGTTAATTGTAACAGATGGAGGGGTTAGTTGTAACACTTGTGTGTAACACATAAATCATAACTATTTTATTTGTATAGTTTGATATTCTTTGTGCATCTGTACAGGAAATAATTCAAACTGGAATATATATATATATATATATATATATATATATATATATATATATATATATATATATATTTGTGTACACTCGCAATATAACACAACATTGTGCTTGTGTCAAACTATAAACTCTTGTCAAACTGTAACCTACAACTGTCAAACAACCAAAAACCAATATCTCTCTCTCTCTCTCTCTCTCTCTCTCTCTCTCTCTCTGCCATCTTTTGGACATTCATCATGTCACATTGGTTTTAATTTCTTGTCCTCGAACAGAGTCATAATCTGTTTATTTTTCAGTTACACATTTGATTAAAAAAATCAAATCTGTTCTTATTTTATACAGAAATAAATTATTTATAATTCAGCTGAAAATAAAGTTGGTTAGTTCAAATTTTAAGAAAAACAAATATATGATCTGAATATAGCACATTCATTTTAAATTCATTCAGGTTCAATTACCCAAAATACAATCTTAATTTAATTTAAAGCAAATAATAAATCTAAAATATATAGGTTATGGAAAGTTATGCGTTCTTTGTCGCATAAAGCTACATCTACATCTAAGCTGGGCTTTCTTGTTTGTTTTTAAAAAAAACAAAAAGTTATATTTTTTGTGTGCCAAACGTAAAGGCCCTTTCACACCAAAAGTGAAATGAATAAGCCTCAGACTAAAGGAGATACAGATTCACGCCTGTACAGTAGAGGGCGCCGCTCAAACAAGCCTTTCAGCTGTGCTGCCAAGAGAAGTTCAACATTTTAACTTTAACAAAAAAAAAAAAAAAAAGAAAGAAAAAAAGTGATGTTTATCTAAGTCATCTTTGCTTATTAATATGGTTGAATTGGATCAACGAAGGTCAGCAGCAAATAAATTGGTCAATAAAGTGAGATTAAGTACATAAAGTATATTTGTGTAATTTAACATTTAATTAGTGTATTGCAGGTTTGCATAATATTCAGAGTTTGCATTTAACTGTTTTTATTTATTTTGAGGAATACTGAGTGTTCTGTGCAAGTGAGATGAGTAAATGCTAACATTTACTCTAGATCTACAATACTCATCATGTTCACAGAGCGCACACACCACTTCTGCACTTACTCATGATTACCCAACATGGCAATAGGAGAGCTGTCAGTCAATAAATGAGAAAAGAAAGTAACTTGCGTCATTCACAATTTGAAAAAATAATTGATTATTTGATAAATTTATATTCTATTGAAAATGTAAAAGTAATAAGATAAATCTGTTTGTTATACTGGAGTTGCCAGTTTGCTAAGTTTCGAATGATTAATAAATGGCACAAACTGTGTAAAACTGTGCACAAACTCTGCTCTTCCGGTGCCCTCGGTATCCCAATTCACTCACTTGTTTTCCTTCACTCCCTCAAGTGAACTAAATTAGTGGAGTGATGTAGGGAATAGTGAATAGGCGAATTCAGACACAGCCAGTGACTATTACCAAAAAAAATAAAAAATAAATAAATAAAAGGTTAATCTTTATTTTAAGATGTAATTTTTATTTTTACAGAAATAGCAATAAACAACATGTAAAGTAGTTACTTTAGGGCCAGGGTTTGGTTTAGGTGTTAGTTTCATGTAATTATGCCTAATTTAGTTATTACATGTAACGCGAAACAAGAACACTGTAAAATAAAGTGTTACCCAGTAAAACAACATACACTCACCTAAAGGATTATTAGGATCACTTGTTCAATTTCTCATTAATGCAATTATCTAATCAACCAATCACATGGCAGTTGCTTCAATGCATTTAGAGGTGTGGTCCTGGTCAAGACAATCTCCTGAACTCCAAACTGAATGTCAGAATGGGAAAGAAAGGGGATTTAAGCGATTTTGAGCGTGGCATGGTTGTTGGTGTCTGAGTATTTCACAATCTGCTCAGTTACTGGGATTTTCACACACGACCATTTCAAGGGTTTACAAAGAATGCTGTGAAAAGGGAAAAACATCCAGTATGCGGCAGTCCTGTGGGCCAAAATGCCTTGTTGATGCGAGAGGTCAGAGGAGAATGGGCCGACTGATTCAAGCTGATAGAAGAGCAACTTTGACTGAAATAACCACTCGTTACAACCGAGGTATGCAGCAAAACACAACACACACAACCTTGAGGCGGATGGGCTACAACAGCAGAAGACCCCACCGGGTACCACTCATCTCCACTACAAATAGGAAAAAGAGGCGACAATTTGCAAGAGCTCACCAAAATTGGACCGTTGAAGACTGGAAAAATGTTGCCTGGTCTCATGAGTCTGGATTTCTGTTGAGACGTTCAGATGGTAGAGTCAGAATTTGGCGTAAACAGAATGAGAACATGGATCCATCATGCCTTGTTCCCACTGTTCAGGCTGGTGGTGGTGTAATGGTGTGGGGGATGTTTTCTTGGCACACTTTAGGCCCCTTAGTGCCAATTGGGCATCGTTTAAATGCCACGGCCTACCTGAGCATTGTTTCTGACCATGTCCATCCCTTTATGGCCACCATGTCCCCATCCTCTGATGGCTACTTCCAGCAGGATAATGCACCATGTCACAAAGCTGGAATCATTTCAAATTGGTTTCTTGAAAATGACAATGAATTAACTGTACTAAAGGGTTAGGGTTAGTAAACATTTTCAGAAATGATGAGCCTACTGTGTTAGGTATTTACAAACTTTTAAATGTTAGTGTACATTTGTGCTTTTGGATGCTGTGCTGGCTAAGCTTTTTGCAGTGAGTTTGCGAGGTGTCCAGGTACAGGACACGGGACTTTAAAGGGTTAGTTCACCAAAAATTAAAATGAGGTCCTTAATGACTTGCCCTCATGTCATCCCCAAGCCCGTCGGACCTCGTTCATCTTCAGAACAGAGTTTAAGATATTTTAGTTTTAGTCTGATATCTTTCCGTCCCTCCATTGAACATGTTTGTACGGTATACTGTCCTTGTCCAGAAAGGAAATAAAGACATCATCAAAGTAGTCATGTGACATCAGTGGGTTAGTTACAATGTTTTGAAGCATCGGAAATACATTTGGGTCCAAAAATAACAAAAACGACAACTTTATACAGCATTGTATTGTCTTCGGGCGACATGAGGGTGTCATAAATGACAATGTTTTGGGGAACTAACCCTTTAAAAGGCTCTCCATTTAAGACCATTCAAGGTCTTAGCTGGTCTTCCAGGACAGTCCTATAATGTAATAACACTTGGAATTACACAGTTGACCCTTCCCTAACCCACCCTTAAACCTGCCTAGCACTAAACTTGTCTCTAACCGTAACGTTACCCCTTTCCTACCTCAATAGCAGCACAAGGGTTTTTTAATACAGCAACATAATCAGTACATTGTATCTACATTCTTTATGTAAGTACATAAATAAACTTAATATAAAGTGTGACCACCAGTGCCTAAAACTCCTTTAAAACCAGACCAGTAGCAAACCACCTTAGGCTGGATGTAGCTAATGTGGTATATTGAGGGAGTAAAGCAAAGATAATTAACCATTTGCCTTTATCGTTATCGTTGTGAAACATTCATCAGTATCAGATTCCCTCGAAACAGCGTTATCTTATTTTATTGATTACAGTGTTGTAACACCATGTGACCAACATTTTATGGTAGAGCCAATTATTGGAGTAGCTCTGGCGTTTGGTGAACCATTATGTCGAATAGGAAAAGTGTTTGTAAAATTGAAAATCATAGTAGGAAGAGTTACTGTTTTTTTAATCCAAAGAAGGTTCTTTGTAACATAAAAAGGTTCAAATAATCAATCTCACACAGCATCAGGTAACAGATCATTCAAAGTGCCATTTTATTCCATATCGAAGGATAATTCAAAAATATCAAATTTTAGTCTGGTATCAAACCACAGAGATCGGCCACAATGTCATGCCTTCATAAACCATTTGAGCATATCAAAGTCGAAATCAGACGTGACTTCTGCTTTCTGACACTGGTAATAAATGAACCGTTTGGCCAGTTTTTAAGACACGCCGTTGCATCGCTCGGTCTCTTCGCACAATCCTCTTTAACTACAACTTTTACATCTTAATATAAAAATATGACTTGCTGGGAGAGGAGGGCTATTTTTCAAACTGTACTGGAGAGCAGAATGCCGTAAAAGAATAAAACTATTGCACATTCATCTAATCTTTGAGGAAAGACACCATGGGGAATATATTCTGAATTAAGAAACATTCATCCCTGCAATACTGCCATGGATGTGGTGCAACAAACCCGTTCACAGTGATACTCCTACACCCCGCGTCCTCAAGAGTACCGCAATCTGACGTATTTGGCACGTGAGGAACACTTTCTGGAAAAGCGGGGTCCAAAAGTCTGAGACCACCAGTGAAAGTGCTTGCTTTTATTTGTAGAACATAATACAGTGTTTTTACAATCGTAAATATACTTGTAGTTAGTGCTGTCACATCCATTTTAATGATATAAAAGGGGCCTTCCTACGAGTCCACACTTTTATGAGATTACGCCGCTTTGATCGTTGGGTAGAAGATTGGCAAAAATGCGAATTAAAGGAGTAGTTCACTTTTTAAAAAAAACTTTTGCTGAAAATTTACTCACCCCCATGTCATCCAAGATGTCCATGTCTTTCTTTCTTCAGTCGAAAAGAAATGAAGGTTTTTGATGAAAACATTCCAGGATTTGCCATATAATGGACTTCAATGGGGTCCAAACGGTTCAATGTCCAAAAGACAGTTTTAGTGCAAACTGTTCAAAGGGCTTTAAACAATTTCAGATGTCAAGTCGCTTGATCGAAACGATCGCTCATTTAAAAAAATAAATTAAAAAAAGTTTACGTTTTATAAGTACAAATGGTTGCCTTGCTTTGTTAGGGTTAGGGTGTGATGCGCATTCGTGACTCTCCTCTTTGAACTCGTTCATCAAAATAAACAAATCTTTTCCTGAGTCAACTCGTTCATTTCGTCGTTGAATGAACCAAATGACACGAAAAAAGATTTGTTCATTTTGCTAAACGAGTTCGAACAGGAGAGTCACGAATGCGCATCACACCCTAACCCTAACAGAGCAAGGCGAGCATTTGAGCTTATAAAACTTGAACTTTCTTTTTTTAAATGAGCGATCATTTTCCAAGATAAGACCCTTATTCATTGTCTGGTGTCGTTTAAAGCCTTTTCAACAGTTTACAGTTTGCAGTGAAACTCTCTTTTGGACCTTGAACCGTTTGGTTCCCATTGAAGTCCATTATATGGAGAAAAATCCTGGAATGTTTTCATCAAAAACCTTAATTTCTTTTCGACTGAAGAAAGAAAGACATGAACATCTTGGATGACATGGGGGTGAGTAAAATTAGAAAAAGCAAAAGTTTTTTTTAAAAGTGAACTACTCCTTTAAGGGGGCAAAATATCAGCAGCAAATATTTAAATTAGCTGTAAAGCAATTTTTTTTGCCATAACTATAAATATATATTTGGCAAAAACAACTTGGACTCAAAAACAAAAGCCATATCTCTACCCAGACAGCAACATAGTGTCGGTCCAGATCTGGTACGAGTTAAATCCACATGTGGCCCGGATCTGGGTTTTGATCCAGATTTTGTCTTTGGGAATTGATTGGATCGTAGGAAGTTGCTAACTCAATGGAGGGAGATCTGAATGTGAGTTGTGGAGGATTTTTTGGACAACATCCGTCATTTCAGGGGGAAGGGGAGGTGAACGAGGGAGCATTTGTCCACAAAATAATATGTGGACAAATAAATAATTTATTATTAAAAAACGTTGTCAATTTTAATTTCATGGTGACATTAAAGTACCATTAAACGTCCAATTTCAAGACGGTTTTAAAGGACGAATTTTGTGTTTAAACTTTCCAATGATACCTAATTCATGATGACTGCTAAAATATCTGATAGGGGGAAACGGCACTAAAAAAATAGAATTATTTTTTATGAAGTTTTTGAAATCCAGGGTTAATCTGAATAAAACCCATGATTTGATGTGGCCTCAGACTTTAGAACCCCATGTTTATCTATTATAAAGTCAACAAATAAAGAAAAGGTGACTAGAGACTATAGAAATGCATGTCTACACACACACACACACACTATGCAAAGGCAGTCAGTATGCTTTCCTACACAGGCATTCAGAGTAGCTTTTCAATTGCAAACAACATTCAGTTATCTGGACATGTCAGGGTAATCTTTAAATAATAAAGGATTAAATAATAAAAGGATTTCAAATGAAAGAACAACAAAAATAGGTTCCTTTGAGCAGCGCATTGTGTAATATACAGTAGAGTTCATTGGATTCTGTGCGGTATGAGTTTAAAAACAACCTCCTCTCAAACTGTATCACTTCAGCAGCCTATTAAAATCATTCAACTTTTGTTTCATTCATTCGCGGCTGTGCACACTTTCAAAACGTATATTTTATAAACAGACAGTCTGTCTCATTTTCCCGCCAACATTTCTTTCCTCAGGCTAATAAATAGAGAAAACACATTTGAAAGTACTAATTACTGGAGCACATGTACTCGGCAGAAGAGGTATGACGTGAGGTTCGCGCGAGCAAGTTTGAAGAGTACGACAGAGTGTGTGTGTGTGCGTGCGTGTTGGTCAAGAGCTGTCCACCACTTGGTGCGGTAGGGTGACAAAAGAGCCGTTAATGAAGGAGCCTTGTTTTTCACGTCCCTTTAAGAAATAGGTGAGCAGCTCTCCTTTCCCCTTGACAAATATCGGCCCCCTCCTCACGAAGCGGAAGCCGTAGTCCTTCAGGATGCAGTAGCAGTCCTCCACCACCTGGGGGGAGCAGAGTGCGTTTAGGGTTAAAGTTAGAGTCTTACAACCCGGAAATAAGTTCCCATTTTTATTCCAACTTCCGGTTCGATCATAATGAAGTCAAGGTTTTTGATAGATAATGTCATGTTTTATTCCACAACATAAAATATATTAGTAACACCCAAGTGATTATTAAAGTTTTATATGTCTTGCAGAAAAAATCGACTACAAGACAATAAAGCTTGTTTTGTTTTTCACAAGTACAAGCAACACCAACTACAATACATTTCTGTTTATTTAAAGGGTTCTGTCCTCATTTACTCACCCTCGTGTTGTTCCAAACTCATAAGACTTTCATTCAACTTTGAAGCACAAATTAAGATATTTTAAGGAAATCTCAGAGAGAAATCTGTCCTTCAATTGACAGTCTACGCAACTACCACTTTAATGCTACAACAAGTTCATAAAGAGATTTAATTTAGGCTTTTATTCACATTAAAACATTGATCAGTGAACATAAATAGAAGCTCAACCGTACTTGATTGATGGGCGAGAACAAACCTCATTGGTCCTTGAAGAAGCTCAGTGTTGGGTGTAACTAAATACTAAGTAATTAGTTACTGTAATTTAATTACTTTTCCCTTGAAAATGTAAAGTAAGGGATTACTCTTAATTGATCTGTAATTTAATTACAGTTACTTCTGATGTAATTGAGGTAAATATTGTGTATAGATCAATCCGATCTCACAGCGATTCGTATGAGGTGTCTAAATATTACGACCGCACTCGTACAAATTCGTATGAATTATTGTAAAATATGTATGAAAAAAGTGTGAAACGTCATGAGATCAGACATAAATTAATAGTGGGTTTAACATCAAAATGTATTGTCTGATGCTAAAAAGTATGTTTTATAATGTAACCTTCTCCACCTTGGTCAGTTTAAGGATAATTCATGCAATTTTATAGTATTTATTTGAAAGAATTAAAACAGATTCATGTCTATCCTTGTATTATTCAGCTGGTTGAGATTGATATGGAATTTTGAAAGTAATTTTTTTTTTATTTTGCTTTTTATTGAACATGAAAATCAGTCAAAAGCATCAGTGAACATCAGTGTTAACAATGACATTTTAGTTCCTTTTTATTCTCCCCTTTATCCCTTTAATGCAACCCCCCACCCAGGAAAAAAAACAAACAATAATTGTAATGATAAATGAATTAAATTATAATAATAGTAACTAAAAAAAACAGAATAACACAGATAAAAGGGAAAGTAATTAACAATTACACACAGCAAGTTAGATCTCAGAGAAGACAATAAATAAACAATGTTTAGACTTTACAGGACTAGTAAGTTTACACAGAGGTAAAGGACATAGTAGGAATAGTTTCCCTTTTTTAATATAAACCTCACTTTTTATATTGCTTTCTCAATTTGGGAAAGAAAGGGACCCCATATTTTTTTTAAAGTAATTATTATTTAAAAGTAATTAAATACTTTTTAGAGAGAGTAATTAGTACAGTAATCTAATTACACTGTTGAAGAGGTAATTAGTAACTAGTAATTAATTACTTTTTTAGAGTAACTTACCCAACACTGCGTGTTGCGTAATACGAGAATGAACCTCATTGATTCTCGCACAACACAGGGCTCCAGACTGCGACCAAATAGTCGCATTTTGCGACCAAAATTTGAGTGTGCGACTGAATTTTACATGTGCGACCGGTAAATTTGCCACACGTTAAACGCATGGTAAACGTGGAAGGGACGCGTCAATGAATCCGTGACGAGAATAGCGCAAATAAACGTCTGTGGGAGGGAGACGGAGACAAATATCACAACCTGATGTTCGTCTGAGCAATAAGCGATCTATCGACACATTACCTAGCAGCGAATACAAACGAAATGAAAGTGGAACTAAAATACGCAACTCATATAGGCTATGCTTCACGGACCGTTGACGTTTTTATTAGGTTGGACCAGTAATTCTCAAAATGTGGTCCGCCATCGCCCCCTAGTGGTCCGCGAAAAGATGACCTAAACTAGGCAAGTGTTTACAAAAATCGTCACTTTTTCGCACGTACCAGTGTGATCAGTCTTCTTGGCTGATCCCTGGAGCGTACGATCACACCGGTGTGATTAGAACGTTCAGTGCATCACGTCAGCAACTGTTAAATTCAAACTTGCTCTCGCGCGCTGGCTGGCGCTAAGCCAGAGACGGACGCACTCAGAGCTGTCATATAACACAGCTATTGAGTGTTTTCAATGTTTATTTTAGGTTTTAGACATTTAAATACACATAAGTAACTTACTAGAAAAACAATGATTTTGAGTTTGTAAAATACACACTGATGGAAGCGGCAATAATCCTTTCAGTTATAATAAGACAACAACACGTTTTATTCATATCAGATACACATTGTGTAAGTAGCTTTACATTTGACCCTATTCTTCTCCCAGTTCACCAACTACTTACTATCATGTATTTCGTGAGAAGTGGAGGAATTGACGTTGTAAATCCAACAGATCTGATTCTCTGAACTGAAAAAGAAACTAAAATGGCACCGCCCGTTGTGCATACAGCTCAACTAACGCGATCGTTATAAAGATGTTTAAACAATGTCAAACCCATCCACTTGCACATATTTGACAATCGGAATATCAGTGTTTCATGTTATAGCTAATACATTTATGAATATTTTAACAAAAAAGGAAAAATGACATAAAAGCAGATCATCCTTCATTCAGCGCCGTGTTTTGGTTGTGCTGTGTCACGTGACAAGCAATGACGCGGCGTCACCATGGAAACATTAAAGTGGCAAGTTCTAAATAACGGTCGCCTTGAAAAACTCACGCTGGGGGGGTCAGTATTAACTCACGTGTGAAAGGGTTAATAAACTTAATTACCAAGCTTTGGCTTTCAGTAAATAAAAAAATTATTCATAGGCAAAATCAACCTATATCAGTTGACCCTATGTTTACTTTCTTCACTGACAGAAAAATGAAAAGCCTATATCAGTCAAAGCTCAGTTAGGAGTTAAATTTAAACTTAAATTTAGCTTATCCTTACACTTTTGTTGTTTTTTGGGGGCGTGTTACAGTGGGATTTTGTTAGGTGGTGGAAGATAAAGTGGTCCTTGGGCTGAAAAAGTTTGAGAAACACTGGGTTGGACCAATAATAGACAGAGCAGCGCATAGTGGAGCCCCCCGAACCACCGACAGTAGGCTAATAAAGCCCCGAACTTGCCAGTCGCGGGCCGATCTCGATCACGCGACACTGTTACTAGCAGATCCAGTGAATAAATCCATTGAATTCGCCTCAGAATTAATGACATCATCGCTACGAGAAACCACAGATATCAGATCAAACAGCGCGGACGTGGAAACCAGGAGAAACACTTACAGAAGGCTTTCAGTCCACAAATCAGCAACATTCACCATGAATTTAGGCTAATGTGGTAAGTTAACTCTAACCATAAATATGATGTGACAGAAATACGGTAGTCAAACACTTACAACACATCTTTGTCCTGCTCTTCAAAACTATAATATCATATAAAGTTAAATGTTTTATTTTTTGTATTTTTTTGTGATGATCAACACATTTTTTGTTCATCCTTCAAAGATTGTCCTAAAACGAAAAATTTTAAGATGTTGGAAAACTCTTATTTAAACATTAAAATTATTTTTTTATTATTATTATTATTATTATTATTATAAAAAAAAACAAAAAAAAAAACATTGTAAACAGTAGGATGTTTATTGGCTATTTTCACTCCAAGTCCTTATACATACATGTTTTCTCTCCTTTTGTTTTTAATTAATATTACGACATTATAAGTGATAATAACTAAAGTTAACTTCATCTACACCCTAAATTAATCTAAGTGATTTATTGTCAGCCCCAGTGCTACCAGTTTTTTTGTTTTTTGTATAACTTGCTGTGAGTTCTGATTTGAGGTGGTGCTGCCCTCAACTTTGAGTCTGGAGCCCTGTGAACTTAAAATAAAACAGCATATCATAATGTTAAGTCTATTTATTATTAAAGGATTTTCTCAGTATTACATTATTTTGGGGAAAATTTGAATAATTGCATTGCGAGCTGATTTAAGGTGTGCCCCTAAATTTTCTGCTTGCGCTCCTAAAATTTTCAGTCAGGGGCAACAGCGCTCCTAGTAAAAAAAAAGTTAGTCTGGAGCCCTGCAACATTTATTGTCATCAATGTTTGGTGTGATGTGTGAGTTGATGAATGTTTATGTGAATAAAAGCCTAAATTCAATCCGGTCATCATTTAAAGCGATCCAGTGTCTTTAGAAAATTTGGACTAAACCTCTCGATTCATATGGATTAGTTTTACGATCTCTCTATGACCTTTTTGAAGCATAACAGTGATAGTTAAAGGGACACTATGCAGTTTTTTTTAGCCAAACTGAACTGCTTCGGAGTTATTGAAATGGTTATATGACTTCTTTCAGGTTTAATGGTGGCCGTCTCGCCCCCCTCAGTTTTGATGAGGAAAAAAACTATACTGCTAAGAACCCTGGACCTCTGACATGCTTGGCAAAAATTCTGCCTCTGGACCATTAAAGTACATGGGGATAATAGTCGGATCTATGTATTTAATCACATGAAAATTCTCACCTCTAACAACATATATTTGATCTCTTTAAATGACAAATTAAACACAATGTAGTGAACTATTGTACACTATGTAACATGTCACGCTCTGCGTGAGTGGTATTAAAAGTACTCCACAGCAACTCTAGGGGTCGCTGTTTGACAAAAACAGAATTCCTGCATAGCGTCCCTTTAAATAGACTGTCAATGGAGGGACCGAAATCTCTCAGATTTCATTACAAATATCTTCACTTTTGTTTTAAAGGCGAACAAAATTCTCACGGGTTTGGAACGACTTGAGGGTGAGTAAATTATTCATTTTTGGGTGAACCTACACTTAAAAAAGTATTTGACAAAATGTAGGAAATGTGTGTCCAGATCATTAATACAATGTGAAACCACTCACCTGGATGTTTCCCATCACCCCTGTGGACTCCATGCGACTGGCGACATTCACAGTGTTTCCCCAGATGTCAAAATGAGGTTTACGGGCACCAATAACACCAGCTAAAACGCCCCCTTTATTCAACCCTGTGGAGAAAAGATTTCATAATGCACACAGCAAAACATTCAGCATAATCGTTTCAGCATAAACATCGCCAAAAGGGATGTTTAGAAGGGATATTTGTGTTTAATGGCCCTAAAAGTTTGATTAAACCATCAAAATATGATGATTTTTTTTAAATATTGTAAATATGAGGGAAAAACAAAACACTAAACTTGGTTAAGGTATTTATCAGACAAAATTATTTGCCAAAAAAAGGCAAACTTTAAGACGAGGAAAGGCAAAACAAGGCACAATATGCTTAAAAATCTTGAACTAGTGTTTAATATTTGAATAAAGGGTAAATATGAAGAGTTTGGTTCCAAAACGCGATAAACGCCATTTAAAAAAAAAAAAGAGTTACTGCAAAAATCTGACTTTTCAATACCGACCAGATACAAAACAATGTTTAATTTTTCGTAAAATGGGATATCCGCCGTGTTATTATGTAATGTTTTCTCCCTTTCTTTCCAAACCGCGACAAACGCCAGTCTCCCTTTTCTGCAAAATGCCACATATCCGCTAAACCAATCACAACGCACCATTCCACGCAATGTAAACAGTAACGGCAGCGCTTTAACTAACCCGGCTTCCTAGGTTTTCTCTATTTTGTCCTTTCGATCAACAAACAAACAAAAAAATGAATAATTTTGACAGCATTGGTGAACCTGCGGAGGGTAAGGCATCCTGCATGGGTAAACGTGACATCGAAATCGAATCATTTACGTGAGGAGATTAAGAAGATGAGGCACTCGGAAGGAGGAAATGCCGGCTGTTGCTTGTTCTCACACGACAGCATCAAACTTCTGTCACGCTGACACACTGACCCCAGAGGATCTATTGGAAAACTTTCAGTTGTTTTATTCAAAGTCAACGAAAACCGAGCAGGACCGAGACAGTTTACAGCTGATCGCCGTCAAAAAAGTTCAGCGGCGACGTCCCAAGGTTGACAACAGCGATATGCATAACGTTAGATCATGCTTAATAAATCATAATTCATGATGATGTGCTCGTCTTAGTTAATGTTTTAATTAAGGTTTTGTTCATCCATGAAGTCATGAATGAAAAACGTTGAACTGTTAAAAAAACGTTGTTAGTTCCTGATGATATTAATATGAATTAATGCATAATTCATTTAACCATGAATTCATGACATGTACCGTTAAAGTGTTACCGAATATTGTTATATTAAAGCAATGGATTTATAGTATGCACAAGAAATTCAATGTGTATAAAATTTTATTTTGATTAATTGCATTTTGAAAAAAAATAAGTTATTGGATTTATTGCATTTTGGGGGAAAAACGATCTGTTTTTATAATAAATCTTTGGAAATCAAAACCTGGATTTCATTTTTTATTGTTATTATAACCTACAAATGCTATGTGAAAATTTGAAACCGAAAATGGTGGTTTTCATCTTCCCATTTTCTTGCTAAAGAAAACACAGTTTTACTCAAATTCATCAAAATGGATTTATAGCGTTTTGGAACCAAACTCTTCATATATACATTTTCCTAGGCCACTACTGTAGATGGATGTCGGCCCACTAACCGATGCGAAGCATGAAGTTATTGAAGGACTGGTAGTTGATGTTCATCAACGTGACTTTCATGGCCAAAGCAAAATCAGCAAGATCTGCCAAGTGCTGCCACCGTTCCCTGTCTGAAACTTCTTCTTTCTGTTGGGAAGGACACAAAAAATTCCTCTTTACCATTGTTATCAGCACTAGATGGATATATTGCTTCTAGAAAGATCCCATCTGCACCTCCTTTACCTTCATGCAAGCGTAACCGTTGGTGTTATTGTCTGGAGTGACTCCTGATGCTGCCATGTAGGTGCTGCCAATAGTCTTGATCTTGGTTATAAAGCGAAACTGTGGCTCATCCAAAAGCTAAAGAGCACAAAAGCAAACAAGCAATGGTATGAAATCTCTACTTCTAATTACAATTGGAAACAACGGGAGACATTTATACTGTAAAAAAACACTTCTTACACTATCAAAGTCAGAAATGATTTCATTGAGGAACCTCAGACACTCAATCCCGCCGTTGTTGATGCTTTCCTCCGTATAGAAATCAGAGAAGTTTGGGATGGAAGCGAACATGACTCCAATCTCATCATAGGATTGGCTGTAGAGCTCCTGAGAAACCAAACCAGAGAAGTTACAAGAGTTATGTAAAACATGGAAACTCTCTGAAATGCTTTCGAGATGCATTCAAGTGTAAATGCATCAGAGGCCCTGTTTACACCTGGTATTACAAAGCATTTTAGTTGATCGGATCATAAGTGGATGACGCCAAATAAAGGTATAAATGGGGTCTAAAACGGTTTGAGTTTGTCCACTTTCGGCCACTTCCAGAGGTAGTCGAAAACGCATTCGACTGGATTGCTTTCGTAGAGTAGAAACTGAAGGACTGAAGATCCAAGTTTGGTTTGAAGACGAAAAACGTAACAAGCACAATGTTCTCTCGTCTCACCGTTCCTGATTTCTAACACTCACTCACAGCGTTCAGCTGGTCTTGAGGCTGTCAGAGCTGATTCTCTCCACATGTTTCCACTTTCATATGGAATTGCGCAAACTTATTTCATCCATTAGATTGAAAGATCTGAAAAAACATAAACATTTACCCGCCCCTTGAAGAAATCAGGACAGAAGTGGTTAAAAGTTGACACAAGAGATATTAAAACACCAGGTGTAGAGAGAATGTGTTTGCCTCGTCTACTTGTGATCCGATCGCATCTTAACCCTTATCCTTCCCTTGGGTTATTTTGACCCAGAATTGTTTTTTTTTTTTAATTAAAAAAAATTGAGTTTTTATCAGGTCCAAGACCCAATGACTTTTGTCGCGCTTGAACCAAGAATACAAAAACAATATATATTTTTTAACATTTTGTGATTGAAATTTTAAAAAGTAACAAATCTTTCCCTCACGGGTCAATTTGACCCCCATAGGAATGAATGGAATGAGAGGAATGCTTCAATATGCATAGAAAAACCTAAAAATGCTCAAAATTCTAACTAAAAATGCTAAAACTTTACCAAAAAATAATTTACATTTGTATCTGAATGCATCCTGAAAAAACTGACACCCAATCTAAGATATTCTGAGCTGAATTAAAAGGTTTATGCATGAAATTGATGTGTGGAATGTTCTTAAATTACTATTTAAATATTATTTATCGATTAAATCTAGTAATTTAGCATTAAAAAATATTATCAAAATGAAATAAAATAAGCTTTCTGAAAAAAAAACTATTTTAACTTTATTTTAAACTATTTAAACTATTTTATTTTATATAAACTAATTTTAGGGCTTCGGGTCATTTTTGACCCGTGAGGGAAGGATTTGTTCCAGGACGTGAGGGAAGGATGATTGCACAGGGCCTTTGATTGTTGAAGCCACATATGACAATTTTACTCCTCCTAAAATGGTAGAAAACTAAATGTGTGAGATCCTGTTGTCCACAGATATGACCCGTCGCAGATGAGTAACTGAGAATCTCTTCAGCAAGCCCACGCGCAAACTGCTGCTAATCAAACTGAAAGTTTTAAAGGAGTAGTTCACTTTAAAAAAAACATTTGCTGATAATTTACTCACCCCCATGTCATCCAAGATCTCATCCAAGGTCTTTCTTTCTTCAGTCGAAAAGAAATTAAGGTTTTTGATGAAAACATTCCAGGATTTTTCTCCAAATAATGGACTTCAATGGGAACCAAACGGCTCAAGGTCCAAATGAGTTTCAGTGCAGCTTCAAAGGGCTTTAAACGACACCAGACGATGAATAAGGGTCTTATCTAGCGAAACGAGCGTTCACTTCAAAAATAAATAAAAAATCTTAATTTTTATAAGCTCAAATGCTCACCTTTCTCTGTTCTGTGATGAGCTCGTTCATCAAAATGAACAAATCTTTTTTCGAGTCATTTCGTTCGTTAAATGAACCAAATGACTCGAAAAAAGATATGTTCATTTTGATTTTGTGAAATGACCGCTCGTTTCGCTAGATAAGACCCTTATTCATCGTCTGGAATCGTTTAAAGCCCAGTTTGAAGCTGCACTGAAACTGTCTTTTGGACCTTGAACCGTTTGGTTCCCATTGAAGTCCATTATATGGAGAAAATCCTGGAATGTTTTCATCAAAAACCTTAATTTCTTTTCGACTAAAGAAAGAATCGACATCTTGGATGAGTAAATTATCAGCAAAAGTTTTTTTAAAAGTGAACTACTCCTTTAAGTTTAACACACACTTATCTTCGTAAGTAGTGAGACTAAATGTGCTGATGCCACTTTCTCTCCTATTGAAATGTAAAATACAATCGTATAGAGACACCTTTATGTGTCCAAGAGTTCATGGATCAAATCCGATAGCTATGCGATCAGTAAAAAGGCCTGAAGTGACCAGGTGTAAACCGGCCGCGGGATTCTCACCTCATCCCTCTTCTTGGAGCCCAGGAAATGTCGGGCCACATGCTCCGGAAGCATATTAGTGACCAGAGCCTCGTTCCAGCGCCTCATCTCGTACACCTTCTCCTTCTGCTCATGCACTTCAATCTTCCACAGGAACAGTGTGCGTGCGAGCTTCTCCACCTGAGAACATACACCGCTCAAACAACCGCTCATTCAACTTTCTATTCATCAAAGAATCCTGGATTCTGGTTTCTACAAAAATATGAAGAAGCACAGCTGTTTTCAACATTAATAATAATCAAAAATGTTTCTTGAGCATCAAATCGTCATATTGGAGTGATTTCTGAAGGATCATGTGACACTGAAGACTGGAGAAATGATGCTGAAAATATAAATTAGTTTACAATATATTCACATAGAAAACAATTTAACCCTAAAACCGTATTCTGGACAAATGTGGGCAAAGTAGTGTTGATTTATTTTTTAAAAACACTTGCCTTAATCTGAGAGGTACAAGAGTTTGCCTCATGAAACACACACATTTTTTTTTACTCAATTCTACAATGTTAAGTGGGTGGACAAAAACTGCTTAATCTTGTATTTGGGTCAAAAATGGGCACCCATAGAAATGAATGGGAAAAACTGTAATTTAGAGCACTCTAAAATAAGCCACAATAAGACACAAGGTGACAGCAAAGTCACTTCATCTTTAGGTTTTAGCTCTAAGAACTTATTGAAATGATATTTTATTGTAGTTAAAAAAGTGAAAAAATAAAACATAAAAATAAGCATAATTTACATAGAAAATATGGTACGTTTTGAAGTAAATAAATTCAAAAATACCCCCAAAATAAAACAAAAACACCATAAATGGATAGACAAAACTTTATTGAAGACAGTAATATAACATTTATAATAAATAAAAATTAGGAGTCCTCTGTGCCCACATTTGTCCACAATTACAGGATTAAGGGCTATAAAGTGATTACAGTTTGAGGGCTACAAGATTATTATGATTTTTTATCTCACAATTGCAAGTTTACATCTCGAAATTCTGAGAATTGGAAGTTATAAAGTCAGAATTGCATGATATGAAGTATATAAACATTGCAAGTTTATTTCTCGCAATTCTGACTTTATTACGTGCAATTGTGTGAAATAAAGTCAGAAATGTGAGATAAAATGTCGCAGTTACCTTTTTAAATGTTTATTCTGTGGCGGAAATAAGCTTACATAGAAACAGCTATTTTAAATAGTAAAAACATTTCCCAATATGACTGTTTTTACCATATATTGATCAAATAAACGCAGCCTTGGGGAGACTTTAAATGAATATTTAACACAAAAACAAAATTATGTTACTATTTGCCCAACTTCATGTCATTCCAAATCCATTTGATTTTTTTTCTTCTGTGGAACATAAAAAGTGTATTGTTGACTAATATAATTTTTTTCCCTTTATTTATTTATCAGGGACAATGCACAAAATACATTAGTCTTGCGAAGAGATGCTTTGTGCCAGAGTTAGCCGAAGCTAATTTTCATAATTTTAAGACATTAAAACATTGCAAAACAACTATCAATAGTAATATCAGCTACACATATTAGTCTATGAAAATCATAATAATGCCAGGAAATGGGAACTGGTATGCCAAGCTCGAAAATTAAAATATAAATGGCATAAAAGTACATCAAAAGTAATTAATTAATATGACTCATAAGTCCTTTAAAGCCTTATGCTATTACATGAGGAATAGCCTTAAAGGGATATTCACCCAAAAACTTTAATTCTTTAATTATGTTGTTCCAAATCTGGAGGGTATTCCAGAAAACACATTCTGTGACATACTATCTACATACATGTCTTTAAACCATATGCCATGTGCCATATTTGATTTGATATCTTTGTTTATTTACGATTTTCTAACTAAAGTTTGGCGTGTTTCTCAAATCAAGCGATCGTACGGCTTCAGAGTCCTATGGGCGTAACGATATTTTTAAGGTGATTTCACATCAGTTTGGTGATTTCATTTCAAGTGAACAAAGCCTTTTAGAAACCGTTCGGAAAGAGATAGAAAGATAAATCTTACATGTCGGGAGAAGTAGTAGAAGCTGACCATCATGACGAAGATCATCACACTCATCGTGTATTTGGAGGGCACAAGATAAAGTCTGTAAAAAAAGAGATAAAGCCTGACATGAAATAACAGGAAAATGGAAGTGGAGTAATATATCCAAGTAAGATGATATCTAAAAGCTTAGTTTAATGATCAAAGCTGTGCTTTTAAAGCATATAAATCAATGCAATACAGTGATGATTGAGAGAAATAAACCTTCCTCAAAAGCCTGATGGATCATATTTGATGCATCTTAATCAAGTAAACCTAAGGTGCTTCAGTCTAATTAGTGTTTATCTTGAAATATTACTAACAATATAAAAGTTATCAAGTTTGCTTAAGATTTCACAGCAAAAAGAGATTTTTTACAATTATACTGACTAAAAAAAAATATGAACTATCAATCAGACGGCATGTAGTAGATTGAATGCAACAGCTTTTTCAGTAAAGTTTGATTATTTAGAGGCCTTATTACGTATCAAATATGATCCAGAAGGCTTTGGTACGTTTTATCTCACCTCAAGGACATCCAAGATGTAGGCGTCTTTGTTTCCACAGTATTTTCAATTTTGATATTTTTAGGTCAAACCGTTCTTGTCTGTCAGTCATATAATGGAGGTCTATGGTCACCACCTCAAAGAGCAGAGAAGAGAAGTCCAGATTAAACATGATTTAATGACTCGTAAATGTAAGTACACATTGATGGTCTAAGACACGAAACGAGCGGTTTGTGTGAGAAAACGAACAGTATTTATATCGTTTTTACCTCTCGTTTCTAATCTGAGGGCGCGGGTACGTCACTCATTGTTTACACAGTGATTTCGTAAGTGTAACCTTCACTGTGAAGATCACAGGAAATCGCAATGGAAGACGATTTCGATATATCAACAGACAATGTTGAATTTTTTTCACAACCGCGCAAGAGATCACTTCCACCGCTTTTTGCCGACCGCCCTCACATCACTTGGTTACAAGAGGTAAAAACGATATACTGTTTGTTTTCTCACACAAACCGCTCGTTTCGTGTCTTAGTCCATCAATGTGTACTTACATTTACGAGTCATTAAATCATGTTTAATCTGGACTTCTCTGTGCTGCTCTTTGAGGTGGTGACCATAGACCTCCATTATATGACTGACAGACAAGAACGGTTTGACCTAAAAATATCAAAATTGAAAATACTGTGGAAACAAAGACACCTACATCTTGGATGTCCTTGAGGTAAGCTAAAACATACCAAAAATTAACTTCAAAGTGAACTATCCCTTTAAGTACTGAGTAATAATAATTACCTACATGTATTTACTATATAGTTAGGAATAGGGGTTGGTTTAGGTTAAGTAGCATTTAATTTACTATAGTAACAAGGACACTTCGATCAATATTAGTTTGTTCATTTTATCATCCAGTAGGGGAAATACTGACAGCTAGTGGTCAGTTCAAGTCCTAATGCAATAGTGACAGTGATTTGACTCTGACGCACCTGTATTCCTTAAAGCGAGCCAGATCGTAGCGGTCGAAGATGTCCGTCCAGCTGTAGATGTTGACTACGCCTGTAGCCACAGTGATCAGCAGCATGAGCGTGAGCTTGACCATGTGGCTGACCTGCACCAGCATGGTGGTGGCCATGAGAGCCAGGACTGCGACGTAGCTGTAGTATTTGGGATTCTCCGAACAGTTCCTGGCGGGCGCTGAGACTGAAGGGACTGTGGTCGCCTCATTGGTGGAGGGCTGAGGAACCCGACAGCTTAACTACAGGACACATCAGGAGTCAGACAGAGGCACAGTGTTCAATCGCATCATCTACAGTGGATTTTTAGATGATTAAACATTATGGTTGTCTATCTGTTTCAACTCATTGGTGTTATAAAATGTTGGTGTTTCACTACTGATTTTTAAAGATTTTTGAATGTTTGTGAAAGAAGTCTCTTATGCTCACCGAGGCAGCATTTATTTGATAAAAAATACAGTAATGTTGTCAATAACTGTTTTAAAATGTATTTTTTGTTCCTGTGATAGCAAAGTTGATATTTTTTATTATTATTAGTGTTGAAAAGATAGATAGATAGATAGATAGATAGATAGATAGATAGATAGATAGATAGATAGATAGATAGATAGATAGATAGATAGATAGATAGATAGACAAACTTATATATATATATATATATATATATATATATAGACGGACAGATGGACAGATAGATAGATAGATAGATAGATAGATAGATAGATAGATAGATAGATAGATAGATAGATAGATAGATAGATAGATAGATAGATAGATAGATAGATAGATAGATAGATAGATAGATAGATAGATAGATAGACAGATAGACTTTTATAACTATATATATATATAGATAGATAGATAGATAGACAGACAGATAGACTTTTATAAATATAGATAGATAGATAGATAGATAGATAGATAGATAGATAGATAGATAGATAGATAGATAGATAGATAGATAGATAGATAGACTTATATATATATATATATATATATATAGACAGACAGACATATATATATAGATAGATAGATAGATAGATAGATAGATAGATAGATAGACAAACTTATATATATATATATATATATATATATATATATATAGATGGACAGATAGATAGATAGATAGATAGATAGATAGATAGATAGATAGATAGATAGATAGATAGATAGATAGATAGATAGATATACAGACAGATAGACAGATAGACTTTTATATATATATATATATAGATAGATAGACAGACAGACAGACAGACAGATCGATAGATAGACAGATAGACTTATATATATATATATATATATATAGACAGACAGATAGATAGATAATAGATAAATGATAGATATATAGATAGATATATAGATAGATAGATAGATAGATAGATAGATAGATAGATAGATAGATAGATAGATAGATAGATAGATAGATAGATAGATAGATAGATAGATAGATAGATAGATAGATAGATAGATAGACAGATATTTCTTTATTCACTTGTTTCTCACCATATCCACTATGTCGGCCATTGTGACTATGAAAATGGCTGCCATGGCCCAAGTGTTGCGAGCCCAGCGCGTGTGATCAATCCAAGTGGAGAACGACACCAATCTCTTTGGAAAAACCTGAACGCAAGACGAAAAATCTCCTTACACTCAGAGATCCACACACTAACATCCAGCCATACGAAAAGGTTTTAACCTTGTACACACATGACCTGTTATCACAGTAAGTGACCAGTAAAGTCAATCGAAAGGCCTGTGATCTAATCACAGTGTGTATGCGTTTCCTTCAGCCCTGGGGTGGCTGGGTGAACAGTGTTTGTGGAAACAATTGATTTAATCCACAACAACATGATTTTTAAAATCAATACATTTATATGTCCCGGTTGCCTAGTGGATGAGTGTGTGACCGCTTCTCCTTTCAAGATCACATTATCTGTGCGCTTGTGAACCTGTGTGTGTATGTGCGGCTGCGAGGGAATCAATACTGGTAACGTTATGTTGACCTAACTAATGAGGATGAATCAAATACACTGGTGCATGCTGGGACAATAACTGGAAGAGGATGAGCCTCAGCAACAGCATTTCACTCATGTAACCCGTCACGTTAATATTACATAAGAAGTCGACAAAGATTAGCATTAGATACAGAAATATTGACCCCGGAGCCTAATGGAAAGCATAATCATGCAATTTTCAGGAAAATCTCATTACAAAGATGGAACCTGGACACAAAGGGAGTGTCCAGATCAGACCCAGTGATTTCATTGGTGTGGCAAAGAACGCAGCACATGTTAATCAGGTCCAAAATGTTAGTAATAAGATTCATTAGAGATTGCTGACCGACTTTACAACTCGTGACAGCTGTGTGTGATTGGTTAACGGAGGTGTCAGAACAGTAACTCACCCGTGGGAAAATGGCTGCCAGCGAACAGATAGTAAGAATGAGCAGCAAGACTTCTCCCACGGCCAGAGTCACGTAGTTTGCGACCAACCTGTGCAGAGCAAATGAAAGAAAGACATCAGAACATTCCAGAACACACACTAATACAGCAGTGGCGTCACACTGGACGTTCCTACCCGAATGCTTTTCAAGCCCTAGTGGAAAAGCGTGCTTAATCTGTGCACTTTAAATCTGAAAACTAGGACACTTAAAGGATTAGTTCACTTTTGAAAAAACTTTTGCTGATAATTTACTCCCCCCCCCATGTCATCCAAGATGTCCATGTCTTTCTTTCCTCAGTCGAAAAGAAATTTAGATTTTTGATGAAAACATTCCAGGATTTTTCTCCATATAATGGACTTCAATGGGACGGTTCAGGTCCAAAAGACAGTTATAACAGTTTCAGATGCAGCTTCAAATGTCTTTAAACGACACCAGACGATGAATAAGGGTCTTATCATGCGAAACGATCGGTTATTTCAAAGCTTATTCCAAAAATGTAACTTTTATAAGGACAAATGCTAGCCTTGCTCTATTCTGTGAGGCGCGTTTGCAACGTCACGTATTACGTAATTACGTTCAAAAGGTCACGGGCGACGTAGCCGGAAGTACAGATTCAAAACTGTCCGACTTTGTTGTTTTTCCTTTTAATTCCTTTTTTTGTAAACGGCGTTTGAGTTAGTTTGCACGTTCAACCTATGCATTCAAATTGTAAACACACTGATTCTGTACTTCCGGCTACGTCGCCCGTGACCTTTTGAACGTAATTACGTAACACGTGACGTTGCAAACGCGGCGCGCCTCATAGAACAGAGCAAGGCTAGCATTTTTCCTTAGAAAAGTTACATTTTTGGAATAAGTTTTGAAATAACCGATCGTTTCGCATGATAAGACCCTTATTCATCGTCTGGTGTCGTTTAAAGACATTTGAAGCTGCACTGAAACTGTTATTAACTGTCTTTTGGACCTTGAACCATCCGGTTCCCATTGAAGCTCATTATATGGAGAAAAATCCTGGAATGTTTTCATCAAAAACCTTAATTTCTTTTCGACTGAGGAAAGAAAGACATGGACATCTTGGATGACATGGGGGTGAGTAGATTATCAGCAAAAGTTTTTTCAAAAGTGAACTAATCCTTTAAGTGTACTTAAATGAGCACACACTTTTCCATTACCATCTCGACTCGCCTCGACTCGCTTTTCGCCCTGTTTTCCCATACGCACAACCGGCGCTGCGTCATAGAACGTCTCTGAATAGGTTCACGCCCACTTTTGGGGGAAAACAAACTAGACTCCCCATAGACTTCAATACAAAATAACGGCAAAAACCAACGTCTGTACACAGCCGACAGCCGTAAATAACTTAAGAAATCACTTATATAAAACTTGTCAAGTAATTATATGTCACAACCCCACCCAGTGGCCAGAGGTGTCTCACCTGGGCATTTACTTGTACCTAATCGAGTCACCAGGTAAGCCCCTGAATGATTTTATTTCGTTTTTTAAAGTAAAAAACCTTAATGTATACATTATGAATTTATGATTATGTTGGCAGGTAGCCTGGGCTAGTTGATATAACGGGCATAAAACATGTATTTTTCACGCTCTATGAAAGGCAGGGTGGACATAATTACTTGACATGTTTTATACAAATGATTTCTTTAGTTGTACGGACGTTGGTTTTTGCCGTTATTTTGTATTGAAGTCTATGGGGAGTCTAGTTTGTTTCCCCCAAAAGGGGGCGGGGACAAAATTGACAGTTAAGTTCCCGGATGTGCCGGTTGTGCGTATTGCAGACAGTACCGCCACAAATAGTACCCGGTCGTCATAGCGACGCATTTCGTTCCTCGTTACCCCATCAAGCTCTCGCTGGATCCTCTCTCCGCCAAACCAAACAAAGGAAAGTCTGCACCTCCTCGTTTGACCACCGAGTTGCCATAATAATATTAAGTTTAGTAACTATCTCTGGCCAAACTATTTAAAAATGGCGGCGTTATTCTGGATACTCCATCTGGCGCGTGCAAAGATGATTCTCTCTGACCAATCAGCAGTCGGCATTGTTTTTGTCACACGCTCGCCATACGCCGATTTCACGCAACCGCTATTTTGAAATCGAAAGCGAGGCTCCGGTGGGAAGAACCCCCGAAAGTACAGATAGACAACAATGCCTTGGACTACCAACCTGAAGCTAAAAAAAAAATGCACCAATAAATATATTAGAAATCAAAACGTTTTTTTTTTTTATTAAACCATGGGTGATATAAATTGGCAAAAGGCAAATACTATAAAAGCTTTTATTGACACCAGGCTCAGCAAACGACTCATTTTTCAAAGTGGGGAACTATGACGTCAAAGAGGATAAAACCCCACCCCCGCAGAAAAAGAGCAACGCCTACTTCAACACGGCCGGTTTAGCTCCGCCCACCGATTCGCACATTACACGCATAGCTAAATAACATAGATGCCTACCTCGTGATGACAAACCGGATCCAGCTACGGAGCAATAGACCCCTTTTCAGTTGGTAAACGTGGTGACGTTTTTATGTGGGCGGAGCTTAGGTGGAGGCAGAACGAGCTTGTTTTTTTAACAATGACTGGAGAAAATCAGATTTTATCTTAATGTGTAAGGTCACTCACTGTCCAGGACAACGATTGTTATTTTCAAAAGTTAATTTTAACGGACGGAACCAGATTAGCCGTCCCGTAGCCTTCACACACTCACTTAATGCATGGATTAACGTACGTTACTTCGTTTGAGTGGCCTGACTTCTACACCTACCTATAGAGAAACCGATCGTAAAGAGAAACTGAGGGTATAAATCTTTAGATGCCTACATGGTCCTGTACAAGACTTGTGTGTATGATCTGCAGTTCTGCCGAGCCAGCGCCGAGAAGACGACAATGTAAAGAGTGACATTACGGTGCGATTTTAATGATGTGAATATTTTCTAGAAATAAAAAGTCCAGATACAGCATACTCATTTTTCATCAATTCTTGCGCCAAACAACACAACAAGATGACATTTAATAATAGTAACAATTATTTAAGCTCCTTATTATGTAGCCGAATCTGTGCTGGTTTGTATTGGCCGCCTCCAGTTTTCACTTTGTTTTGCCTCCAGCTAGCGCCGTGACGAAACTGTGATGTCGGCGCAAAAGGGGTCTATAGAGACTATTGTGCAGTGCCTGGTTGTGGAAGAAGACAGTCGCTGCATAAGCGCACCTCGTTCATCACACTCTTATGCTACGTTCACACCGGACGCGAATCGCGCGTCAAATTCGCGCCTGATGCGTCTAGTTTGACGCTTGACCACTAGTGTTAATTCGCATGTCAAGAGTGAAACTGCCGCGCGTAAGCGAAATTTAGAATCAAAATCCGTTGGCGGCCATTGCTTTTATGTCGACCGAGCATTCATCAAGAGAGTTACCGCTCTGTATTTACTCTGGATAGCAGAACAGCGGCGTGGGGATCATCGTCGCCGTATATTTGTGTCCACCGGACCCTTCGGAGCCGAACCGTTTGGCGAGTTTCACCATTTGCTCGATCCAGGAGCTGCGCTGGATGACGGCCGCTGTCAGCGGTACTTCCGCCTGTCCCGCGCCCAGTTTGATGACCTGTTGTCCCGCATCTGAGCGAGGATCACCCTCGCCCTCATCCATCTAATCTAGCTGTCATTTATTTTTGTTTTGATGATAAATAGAGCCAGCCTTCAAAAGTTATTAACCTGTCCTGTGATTTTTTTCTCTCTCTCACGTCCAGACACGAATTTATGCACATATGTTGATTGTCTTTACAACATAATACTATTTCTAGATATGGAATGAATAACATTTAATACAAAATGAACATGTCTCGTATATAGAAATAATGTAGTATACAAAATAATTTATTGAAGCATCCAGACACTTCACCACGTGAGCAAGCAGCTAGGCACCTGATTGGTTAACGCGGCGCGAATTCACGCCAAAGTTCAGATTTTTCAACTCGGGCGGCAGACGCGAATCCGCGTCAAACGAGTGAATGCACAACGCTCAATTCGCGCCAACTTGACGCGCGAATGAGGCGTATTCGCATCTTCCGCGCCGCGCTCCACGCCTCATTCGCGCCGCAGGAATTTTTCACGCGCGTAAAGCGTCTTTGCATTGACTTAACATTGAAATCATTCGCGCCTGACGCCCTATTCGCGTCCGGTGTGAACGTAGCATTAAAGGGTTAGTTCACCCAAAAATGAAAATTAAGTCATTAGTTACTCACCCCCATGCTGTACCAACCCCGTAAGACCTTCGTTCGTCTTCGGAACACAAATGAAGATATTTTTGATTAAATTTGAGAGCTGTATAACTACCACATTGGCTGCCTAAGGGACTGGCTCTTGACGGCCCAGAAAGTCAATGAAGAAAATGTTTAAATATCCCAAGTGACTACCGTGGCTCAACTACATGTTTATCAAGCGACGCGAATACTTTTTGTGCGAAAAAACAAACAAAAATAACGAGTTTATTCGACTATTTCTTTTCTTCCTTGTAGGCCAGAACGAGACTTCCTTAGATTTCCACGACGCATGCGCGAGAATTGCGATCTGAAGTAGTGTAAAGCAGATCGCAATTCTCGCGCATGCGTCGAATAAACTAGTCGAATAAACTCGTTATTTTTGTTATTATTTTTTTGCACAAAAAGTATTCGCGTCGCTTCATAAACATATAGTTGAGCCACGGTAGTCACTTGGGATATTTAAACATTTTCTTCATTGACTTTCTGGGCCGTCAAGAGCCAGTCCCTTAGGCAGCCAATGTGGTAGTTATACAGCTCTCAAATTTAATCAAAAATATCTTCATTTGTGTTCCGAAGACGAACGAAGGTCTTACGGGGTTGGTACAGCATGGGGGTGAGTAACTAATGACTTAATTTTCATTTTTGGGTGAACTAACCCTTTAAAGGGAATGTGATATGACGTTCTGATTGGTTTGTTTCCCGTTACGCCCAAACCACACCTATGAATAATGAAGCTATTTCTGACCAACCCCTTTTAAACTTGCGTCGGGCGCAAGAGTCATTTATCCCGCCGGTAAAATAGCAACACAAAAGTTACTTGATACTTGCGTTTCAGATCGTTACAATAGGGCCCATAGTCTTAAAATGTATTATTTCCTTCTAAAACTAGGCTAAAGTGGACTTCTTTTCCACAAGGGTCTGCTCAGATGAATCAGAATCAAATCACAATCCGAATCTAATTGAATCAGGAATGATTCCCAGCCTTGAATGAAGATGGACATTTCCAGAGACAAAGGGAAACACTAAGTAGCAACAGGACCTTATTTTTAGAGCAATAAACAGATGGTATAATAACTGTAAATAGATTATGGCCAACCTCGGTTGACCTCGGTAGTGTTTGTGTGGTGATTTGTGAATGTTTAACTGACCAGGGGTCAATGAGGGCCTCCATGACCGCAGTGAAGAGCAACACCACACACGAGCAGCTGAAAGCGGCCCCGCTCTGCTTCTCCTTCTCCACGGAGAAACGCGTCTCCAGCTCCGGGTCGGTGAAGCGCAGAGACAGGCGATTAGTGTACTTCCCTTTCAGCCTGAAGAACACAACACACACAAGTGTGTAATATAATGTAGAAAAATATAATGGAGTGTACTGCATTTTTCCACATTTCCCTTACCATTTTTATTTTCTAAAATGCTGACGAAATCCAGTCATAAAAACTGAATTTACTGTATAATTTGTACATTTTTTGAGGAATAAATAGAAAGCGGTTCAGTACACTTGAAATCAAATCGCTATGTAGACTAGTGTGTGTGAATATTAAACCACAAAGACTATTTAAATAAAAATCCTCTCCAGGCTCTAGATCCACTCTGAAAGTCACTTCATGATCATTTAACCGCTTAATTTGAGAAAAACTATCATGACATAAACACACAGAAACTCAAAAGGTCTTCACGGCAACCCGTCAAAATAAAAGTTTGGTTGAACTTGACAGAAATATAGTACTGTTGTACGGTAGAATTTAGACATGTCCCAATGTAATAATACACTAACACTAATCCAAATAAATTATCATCAAAACTTAAATTAAGGAATAATCCATTTTTCTTCATGTTTTAATTTTAACAGTAAAGCTCATTGTGCAGCACGTTATTAGACAAAAAATGTATTTAATTTCATATGATTAAAATTGACAAATGATAAAATTTGTTTCATGTCTTCATTTTATTAACAGAAAAAACACAACACAGAAAGTGTGAATTTTTTTCATAAATTAAAAAAAAAAGTTTTATAAGTTTAATGATTCATAATAAATGATTTCAATTAATTAGACATGCTTTTTAATTATTAAAAAAAATTACACCACGTATCCGCAACACGTCCGCTCCGCAACACTAGCAGTCCCCCCCAAACACTTCAAATCAAAAAGTATATTTTTAAAACATTGCATTTGCAGATAATATAATATTAATGAAATGTAAACAAGAGTACACATTTGAGTCATGACTATACTTTTTCATTATAATCTTTTAAATCTACAATTTCTATAAGATGTTCTCTTTTTAAAAGTATGCTAAAGTGTACTTTAAAGAAAGTTAAGCTCCATCTCCGCTGGTTTATGGCATGCTGTAACTGATGATGCGTGCGTGTGTGTATTTCTATTGTAAACGCCGTCCGGTAACCATAATGTTTAAAGATGCGAACCCGACGAACCGAAACATTACTCTACTATTACATTCAGTGCAAACTCTATTATCTGGCATGCGGGTTTCTGCTCTGTTGGAACACACACACACACACACACAAACAGGCGCATACATCTTTGTGGGGACTCTCCATAGGCGTAATGGTTTTTATACTGTACAAACTATATATTCTGTCCAGTGGTGGAATGTAACGAAGTACAAATACTTTGTTACTTTACTTAAGTACATTTTTCACGTATCTTTACTTTACTTAAGTAGAATAAATAGTGCATCCTTTTTACTTTTACTTCGTTACATTTTGCAGCAATTATTATACTTTCTACTCCACTACATTTCTACAACTTCTGTTACATTTTCTGATCAGTTTTCCCCCTGCCAAAACGTAAACGTTGCACTTTTGTCTCACCAGTGACGTTTGGTTGCCATAGATACATCAACTAAATGCGTCTTGCACGCAGTGTGTTTATCGTGCAATTTATACGCGAAAATTTGTTTTTACATGCTTAGGAAACGCACCGTGTGTAATATACGTTTGGTTAGGATTATGGCAAGCCAAGAGGTTCAGAATTACACCATAAATGAATCACGTTTACGGCCAAACATAGTTATTAACATATAGTAAGGATATGGCTTATTGCCTAATTGCAAGCTTGTTTCAGAAATGGTGACCACAATTTTTTCCATCATTATTGAACATCATTATAGGAGTATTAGGTTCAATGAGTTAGAATTAAATGTTTTATTAATCATTAGAAAATAGTCATTAAGAGAATCAATTATTATGCAAGTACTTTTACTTTTAATACTTAAAGTACATTTAGTTAATATTTATCTGGTTATTTGTACTTTTACTTAAGTACTGAGATTCAGTACTTCCTCCACCACTGATTCTGTCCCCTTACCCTGCCCCATCCCTAAACGTACCCCTCACACACACACACACACACACACTGCCCCTATCCCTAAACCTACCCCTCACAGGAAACATTCTGCATTTTTACATTTTCAAAAAACATTACTTAGTATGATTTATACGCTGTTTTCCTCATGGGGACCGCTGGCTGGTCCCCACAATGTAGGTGATTTCAGGTTGTACTATACTTGTGGAGACATTTGGTCCACACAATGTAATATAAATACGAACACACACACACACACTACGTACGCTTGTACGGTCTCTCTCTCCAGCAGAGCTTCATTGAGGAGTTTGTTGAGCTCCTGTTCGTTCTCCTGAGCGTCGATGACTCTCTCGGCCAGATCACGCAGACGTAACCGACGCCGCGGGTTTGGGAACGAGGGGTTCACCACCTGCGATCAAACACACACACACACACACATGAGAACATGTTTAGAATCTGTGATCTGCATATCTAAAACCATTATCATGATTATCAAATACAGAAAAATACAAAAGTGCAACAAATTTTCAGCATGCCAATATTGTTAAATGAAACCTATAGATCCTTTCACACTAATTATTAGGGCTGGGTAATAAATATCGATTTCTCGATATTAATCGATTCTCATTTTTACAAACCGATATCGATTCTTAAGTCTCAAGAATAGATTAGTCATCCTGTTTCATTTGAATGAATGGGATTGTATCGCGGCTGCGCACATCAAAAAAAAAAAAAAAAAAAAATCGCAATAATCTTTGTCCTTTGTTACTATTGATATGAAGCAAAGTCTCAATTTTCAAATTACGTCCATTTTCTTTAGAAATTCAAAAACATAAATAGAGTTTTGGCGCTGTGGCGTGAGATCGCTCTGGAGAAGCAGCAGCGCTGATCTCTCTTCCGGGTTAATAATACCAGTCACAGCGCCAAATAAACATGAATGAGCGCCTGAAAGTGTGTTAAAAGATAAAGTACAACTTATCGAAATTCATATCATGTCACATTGATTCGCTCAATCAGCGTTTTAACCGTGGAAAGACGTCAGTTAAACATCTTGTAATCAATGTATCGTCATATTTACCTCAGAAAACCCACATAAACTCGTTAGTCAGCTAGAAAAAAATAACTACAGAGAGGAGCATTTTGCTAAATATATAGCCACCATTTAAATGTTTAAATTTCATATAATGTTCTTATTTTAAAAATAAATAAAAGTGTAATTTAAGTGATTCATTCATTATTACCTTCTTATTTTAATAAATGTGGCAAGTTTTTTATGACAGCCACCATTTAAATGTTTATATTTCATATAATCTTCTTATTATATAAAATAAATAAAAGTGTAATTTAAGTGATTCATTCATTATTACCTTCATATTAGGCTAATGAAGTCTATAGGCTACAACTAGACACCCATAGTTTACAGCATTAGTTAAGAGATTTGATTCCCTTGAGAAAAAATGCCATTTATTGTAACTGATATCCAAAATAATCGATATTGAATCGAATTGCAAGCTTGTGAATCGAAATCGAATCGAATTGTGAAATTTGTCTCAATACCCAGCCCTACTAATTATGAACATTCATATTTCATATCTCAATGATTTGTAAATAGTTCTTTTTTTGTGTGTGTGTAGACATTGAAGAACATTTTAGACCAATACGAATTTTACTTTTGGCAAATGTGTCGAAAATGATCACGCTATTACATAAACATACTGAAATATAGAGTTTAAAGGTTATTTCAATGCTAGTTGTTCAGGCTAGTCAGCAGTTAGTTGATCATTTTCAAATCAGTAAAATACTTTTAGTTTACACTTTTAAGGTGTCTTTGTGAGTGTAATTTCACACTGAAGTACTGAGTAATAATAAAGAACTACATGTACTTCCTATAGGGTTAGGGTTTGGTTTATGGTTGGTTGCATGTAATTATGGATAATTTAAAGTTATAGATTAAATACAGTTATATTTATAATTTATAATACACATTTAGGCACCAAGCAACTTGTTTATTATAGCTATAACATTATGTTTTAACATTATTACTAATGTATTTGCTCATGTAGGATTGTGAAATCCTTTGAGATTTTAATCCATAATTATTTTAACATTAAAAAAAAAAAATACATCACATCAACTTTTCAAGTAAAAAGTTTTATGCAGGGCTTCGATTAGTCACCTGGTTCTTTGGACAATTAACTGGTCGATCAGTTTTGCATAATCTGATAATTTGAGAAATGTTGAAGGTGTCTTGACTGTATATCTAGTGTGCGAGGAGTACCCGTGTGTCCAGCTCCTCGGGATCCTCCGGTGTGGTGCACGCCGTGTGGACGCTCCCGTTGCACTCCTTGGTGTTGATCAGTAGTGGAGAGTTCCCGTTCGATGACGTCACCGAAAGCTTCTGGAAAAAAACCATAGTTGAGTGTGTGGGAATGAGAGAGACACTCAGGGATGGAAATGACGGTGAGAGGAAATGACACTCACGACTCCATTGATGCCGTTCTTGCCCAGGGGTCCCTTGGGCACCAGCACCAGGTACGTCTCAATGCCCCTTTCCTTCAGGTACTCACAGCGGTCTCCGCCATTCCCTGGCTCCACATCAAACTCCCCGTGCAGACACTCCAGGGTATTCTGGGAGATGTGCACTCGCCTACAAGACACACATCTGAGTTCAAGCATAACTCGTTTTTCTGTGTCCGTTACTGCCCGTTCTTTTACTGATCACACAACACTTACTGTAAGGAATCTGTTGACAACTCAAGAAGAGTCACTAACCACCCGCAAATCACTTTCACCTACTATAGTTATACTGTAGTTATACACGTCTTTCTTTCTTCAGTCGAAAAGAAATGAAGGTTTTTGATGAAAACATTCCAGGATTTTTCTCCATATAATGGACTTCAATGGGGACCAAACGGTTCAAGGTCCAAATGAGAGTTTCAGTGCAGCTTCAAAGGGCTTTAAACGACACCAGACGATGAATAAGGGTCTTATCTAGCGAAACAATCGCTCATTTCATAAACAAATAAATAACAAAGTTTAAGTTTTATAAGCTCAAATGCTCGCCTTGCTCTGTTCTGTGACTCTCCTATTCGAAATCGTTCATCAAAATGAACGAATCTTTGAACCAAATGACTCGAAAAAAGATTTGTTCGTTTTGATGAAGAGAGAGTCACAGAACAGAGCAAGGCGAGCATTTGAGCTTATAAAACTTAAACTTTGTTATTTATTTGTTTATGAAATGAGCGATTGTTTGACTTGATAAGACCCTTATTCATCGTCTGGTGTCGTTTAAAGCCCTTTGAAGCTGCACTGAAACTCTCATTTGGACCTTGAACCGTTTGGTTCCCATTGAAGTCCATTATATGGAGAAAATCCTGGAACGTTTTCATCAAAAACCTTCATTTCTTTTCGACTGAAGAAAGAAAGACATGGACATCTTGGATGAGATGGGGGTGAGGAAATTATCAGCAAAAGTTTTTTTTAAAAGTGAACTACTCCTTTAAGTATATACCCTTGGGAAGAATAAGTACACTTTAACAAATATATTAGTAACTATATGGAAAAATACACCGAAATAAAAAGTGAATTTAAAAGAATATACAGGTGAAACTCAAAACATTAGAATATCGTTTAAAAGTTCATTTATTTTAGTAATTCAACTTAAAGGTGAAACTAATATATTATATAGACTCATTACACACAAAGTGAGATATTTCGAGCCTTTATGTGTTATAATTTTGATTACAGCTTATGAAAACCCTAAATTCAAAATTAGAATATTGTGAAAAGATTTTCATATCTGTAAGCAATAACCATCAAAATTGTAACAATTGGTAAAACTAATATATTATATAGACTCAGTACGAGCAAAGTGAGATATTTAGCCTTTATTTGTTATCATTTTGATGATTATGGCTTACAGCTTATGAAAACCCTATATTCAAAATTAGAATATTGTGAAAAGGTTTTCACATGTAAGCCATAATCATCAAAATTATAACAAATTAAGGCTTGAAATATCTCACTTTGCGTGTAATGAGTCTATATAATATATTAGTTTCACCCTTTAAGTTGAATTACTGAAATAAATGAACTTTTGCACGATATGTCTAATTTAATTGTAATGTAATGTTTTTAAATGTAATTAGCTGAAATTATGAGGACTTTTTTTTTTTGGCTCACTGAGGTCAGACTAGTACATCTTTATGTGTGATTTCATAATTATTTTCTAGGAAATATGGTTAAAGTGCACTGCTGAATGTACTGACAAGCATTTATGGGAAACTAAAATTTACTTTAATGTCATTTCTTTCGAAACCTGTATGTCATGTATTTAAATATATTTGTAAAGATGAACTTTTAATTTAGTGCACTTAAAATTACACTAACACTAGTATTTCAGTATAGTAGTAGTATTTATAGTATAGTATGTGCTTTAGCATGTTAGTCAACATCAAAGTAAGTGTACTTCTTTGAAGCATGACAAAAGATTATTAAAACATAATGATTAAAAATATACATTATTACTAAGTGTGTTAAGAAACAGTCATATAAGTGTTCTCGCTTTAGTTTAAACACACACTTAAGAGGCCTTTTATTTAATTAATATTTGCATATTTAAAAAAACATATAATTAAAAGATTTGCTGTACTACAAGTGCACATTAAATACAACTAAGCGCACTTCTCTTTCACAAGGGTGGGTCTCGTTGTTAATGAGTATTACTAATGATGATGACGACGGATGAGGGTCTAATAATATGGTATATATCCAGATGTGTGTATCCATGAGGGTTCGCTCATGTTTGGTTTGCAGTATGTGGGTGTAATTCAGTTAGGGAGGACTAAAGTTTAGCTTGAACAACCAGATGCATTTACACTTGTCTGAGTCATTTTCACAATGACTGATCTGCCGTCTGTCTTCTCTGTGTCTCAGAGGGCATTTACACTGGATACACACATGAATGAAGAGCTGCATGATATATAATCAATCAATTACAGGCTGTGATTTAATTAAGTTCTCTATGTGCTATCGTTTTCATTTACTCGTGTGTAGTTCATGATACAGTGTCTCAGAAACTGATTTAATATAACGCTGAAATAATAATAATTATTAAGATTTTATTGTGATAATTCTTAAATGTATTAAACAAAATAAAAAATATATTGTAATAATAACATTATGCTGTAAAATATTCATTTAAATCATTTTTGTTTTACTGTAAAATTACAATATTTTTAATGTCTAAATTTCTAAAAATTAAAAACGGTATACCATCAAGCTTTTATTTTGATGGGGTACCAGCAAATAAATAAATGCGCTGTTGGTTTCAGAGTGAAAGCACTATGTTCATTTACATACATATTTGAAAACTAGGAAATAGTGTAAATTTTTTACGGCACAAGGTTATTATTACAATATATATATATATATCTTATTTTGTTTTCCACATTTAATAATAATCACAGTTAGTGAGTTATATTGAATTGGTCAGAAATGGTGTGAATGTGGCCCATGAGAACTGAAATGGAAAGAGATTTTTTTATTAACTGTTGAATTTATGCGTTGTGTTGGTTCTTGTAAAGAGTAAAACACATTTTTTATATATATTCACTCCCAAACAAGTGCTGACATTTGATTTAAAAAATAATTTTTTTATATTTTTTTATATTGTAATACTTTCACATTGGATCTCCAAAATAATGTAGAAAAAACCTAAAGAGGGTATGTTTTAAATATTTGTTTTACTAAGCACTATGAATGAAGTATCAGTCTTATTACCAATACTGATATTGATGCCTCTATTAAATGGATTTTCCACCTTAAATTTTAGCAACTAATTATACACATTCAACATTACAGTAAAATTGAAAGCTACCCATTTGAAAATTAAATAGGCTGAAACTACTTTTAATTTAAGAGGATTTAAAACAATCTTCACATAAACCTATTGCAATAAATGTCACATTTAGCTGTGCCTTTTAATGGTTTAATCATTTTTTGGCCACTACTCTACATTACTGAATAACTATTTATTATTTTTCCGATATCGTGCAGCCCTACAGTAAAAACGTATGAAATGTCCAAATCTAGTGAATTGACCCTTTCATTCAGAACCAAAAGCACACAAAAAAGCTTTAGCACTTGTGAAGGTGCAGGTCTTTACCCTGGTATTCCTCCTGCCTCCATCTTGTTGGCCACCGTCACGTCAGTAGACCACACATCATACTGCCAGCGCTTCTGTCCGAGCACCCCGCCCAAGACCGTCCCAGAATGCACCCCGACACGCATGTCCACATCGGTCTGCGTCTTCTCTCGGACGTATCTGAAATCCAGATGAACGTGTCAAACCTTGTCACATTCAGGCACGGCCGACTTAATCTATTTACAAATAATCGTCATGAACCAGTCACAGTTCAATCCTGATGACAGTTCATCAATTAAATGATTAAGCATCACGTACGAAATGGCCTCCACCATAGCCAAGCCCATCATGATGGAGCAGGCCGCATGGTCGTCACGGTAATCTGGAAGGCCACAAATACAGTAATAGCAGTCGCCGAGAATCTTGATCCTCAACTGGTGGTATTTCTGACGGGGAAAGAAAGGATTTATTCAGGCTTTACTGGTCAAAAAAATGATCAGCCAAAAGCCGATAAAGCGTCAATAGAGTGCAACAGTGTACGTCCACTTTTTCAGCTGCCAATGTTAAGGGAGTTTTTATCATTTTCTTCATACAGTAGAGACTATCGTCCTATTTTTCCTGCTGTTTGTCTTTCTGTGATGAGTTAATGTATTCTTTTGGTGCGTCTCAATCAGCTCCCTAGTTTCCTAGGTGGTGAATCCATATCGTGTACATGAATTCAGGCACTGGTTAGGACAGTAAGGATTACTCCTACATTATGATAAATTCTTTATACGTGCAGCATTTCAGCCCTGTTTAAAATATAAATGTTAGCTAGATTGTGTTCATTGCCTGTCTAGTGGTGTATGTTTATGCTGAAGTATAATAAAATCATGTTTTTTAAACAAGTAAACATCATTTTGTGTAGTGACTTATGTTTTGCGCTTCAGAACTTCCATTTAAGGAACATAGTGAGCATCGATGCTCCCTGGTTTTCACAGTGCATTGTGGGTCTTTTTAGGGAGCGAATGTTTTAGCGTACCGGTAGGATTTTGTGCTTGAGGAACCCTAATCACTGCCCTGAATACTGAACTAGATAGCATATCTTAATAACGCACCCATTGTTTCTATCACTCTCTTGATTGTTTCCATAGTTACCCTCATTAGTTACCATAACTACTCATTTCCCACACCTGTTAGCTTGTGAATTTATACCGCAGAGTTGCTCTTGTTCTTTATCTGGTAGTGATGGGAGAAACAACACTTTTCAAAATCCGAATCACTGGTTCAAAACAAATTGATTGCAAAGATTTCTGAGCTTCACGAAGCGTTTTTTGAAAGCGTCCATTTCCTCTATGGATGTTACATGCGTTTGTTTTAGTCCTGTTTCTGTTGTGTTTGGAAAATACTGTTTTCTGCCTGGATTTACTTTTGTTGTTTTGTTTAAATAAACATGTCTATTGCACTTGGCTCCGACACTCCCTCGTTCCAATAGCCCCGTCACAGAACACCAGACTATGTGGTTCCAGCAGTAAGATGAATCCGGCTCCGTGAAGGCACATGTAGACTTGAGGACCATTTTAGAGACTTCTTGGACATTGCTTGTCTGACTGACCTCCTGGACTTTGCCCTCATTGATTTCTATTGTCATGGACTAAATAACCATTTTCAATCAATACGTCTCTGTGATGGTACTTGAGGGTTTGCTGTGTGAGTTCGAGTATGTCCTCAAGTTGGGGGAGGTGGAGGAACCTGTGGTCCGGAGTCTGGTGGTCCCAGCGCTTACAAGTTCGGTGGTCTCAGCGCTTCCAAGTAATGTGGTCCCAAGTTCGGGGGTCTCAGCGCTTCCAAGTAATGTGGTCCCAAGTTCGGGGGTCTCAGCGCTTCGAAGTCCGGTCGTCTCAGCGCTTCGAAGTCCGGTCATCTCAGTGCTTCCAAGTCCAGGGGTCTCAGCGCTTCCAAGTCCCGTCGTCTCAGCGCTTCCAAGTCCAGTGGTCCCAAGTCCAGGGGTCTCAGCGCTTCCAAATCCGGTGGTCTCAGCGCTTCCAAGTCCGGTGGTCCCAAGTCCAGGGGTCTCAGCGCTTCCAAGTCCGGTGTTCCCAAGTCCAGGGGTCTCAGCGCTTCCAAATCCAGTGGTCTCAGTGCTTCCAAGTCCGGGGGTCTCATCGCTTCCAAGTCCGGTCGTCTCAGCGCTTCCAAGTCCGGTGGTCCCAAGTTCGGGGGTCTCAGCGCTCCCAAGTCTGGTGTTCTCCGCGCTTCCAAGTCCGGTCGTCTCAGTGCTTCCAACTCCGGTCTTCTCATCGCTTCCAAATCCGGTGGTCCCAAGTCCGGTGGTCTCAGCACCTCCAAGTCCGGTGGTTTCAAGTCCAGGGTTCTCAGCGCTTCCAAGTCTGGTGGTCTCAGTGCTTCCAAGTCTGGTGGTCTCAGTGCTCCCAAGTCTGGTGTTCTCCGCGCTTCCAAGTCCGGTCGTCTCAGTGCTTCCAACTCCTGTCTTCTCATCGCTTCCAAATCCGGTGGTCCCAAGTCCGGTGGTCTCAGCACCTCCAAGTCCGGTGGTTTCAAGTCCAGGGTTCTCAGCGCTTCCAAGTCTGGTGGTCTCAGTGCTTCCAAGTCTGGTGGTCTCAGTGCTTCCAAGTTCAGTGGTCCCAATTCCAGGGGTCTCAGCGCTTCCAAGTCCGGTGGTCTCGGCGCTTCCAAGTGCGGTGGTCCCAAGTCCAGGGGTCTCAGCGCTTCCAAATCCGGTGGTCCCAAGTCCAGGGGTCTCAGCGCTTCCAAATCCAGTGGTCTCAGTGCTTCCAAGTCCGGGGGTCTCATCGCTTCCAAGTCCGGTGGTCCCAAGTTCGGGGGTCTCAGCGCTCCCAAGTCTGGTGTTCTCCGCGCTTCCAAGTCCGGTCGTCTCAGTGCTTCCAACTCCGGTCTTCTCATCGCTTCCAAATCCGGTGGTCCCAAGTCCGGTGGTCTCAGCACCTCCAAGTCCGGTGGTTTCAAGTCCAGGGGTCTCAGCGCTTCCAAGTCTGGTCGTCTCAGTGCTTCCAAGTCTGGTGGTCTCAGTGCTTCCAAGTTCAGTGGTCCCAATTCCAGGGGTCTCAGCGCTTCCAAGTCCGGTGGTCTCAGCGCTTCCAAGTGCGGTGGTCCCAAGTCCAGGGGTCTCAGCGCTTCCAAATCCGGTGGGCTCAGCGCTTCCAAGTTCGGGTGTCTCAGCGCTTCCAAGTCCGGTGGTCTCAGCGCTTCCAAGTCTGGTGGTCCCAAGTCCAGGGGTCTCAGCGCTTTCAAATCCAGTGGTCTCAGCGCTTCCATGTCCGGGGGTCTCAGTGCTTCCAAGTCCGGTCGTCTCAGCGCTTCCAAGTCCGGTCGTATCAGCGCTCCCAAGTCCGGTGGTCTCAGCGCCTCCAAGCCTAGTGGTCCCAAATTCGATGGTCCAAGAGGTCCTGTCACCATCGGCTGCGCTCCCTGTGATGGCAGGTGCCATCTTTGGTGTTTGGGACGCAACAGTTCCCCTGCTCCTTCCAAGGCATCGGCGACCACTACAGCTCTTCCCGGGGCGGCTGCGTCTCCTCCTGAACCTTGTCACAGCCACAGAGTCTGTCTATGAACATCTATGAACATGTATCCACCCAGTTATGGTCATGGAGGTCGCTTTTGGACTCTCTGTGTCCCTTGTCACGGCCGTTTAAGCCATCCCTGAACTCTCTGCGCTACCTGTTTCTGTGATCTTATCTGAACTGGCATCTACAGAAGCCATAAAATCAGGTTCTCTATGGAGAAAATTAATGTGATTATTTTACTTCAAATTCTACTGTTGCACTCTATATGAATAGGTTAAAATTGTATAGTTTTAAAACACCAAAAATGATTTAATATTGTAAACTTTACTAAACATATATTGAAAAAAGCATGCATACAGATAACAGAAACTCACAGCTGCTAACTTGTCGAAACGGGCAAACAATTCGTTAAGCAACTTAACCAATTCCTGCGCACTACAGGACGAGGACAGCTGTGTGAAGCCCACGATGTCTGCGAACAGAATACTGAAAAAGAAATACAGTAAAAGGCTCCTTTCAGTAACAATATGCATCAAGCTTTGCTCTCATTTACTGAAAATCTGCAACAAACTCACCTGACATTCTCATGCCGATACATGTACATCGTGTTGAACTGCTGCATCTCTTTCTGACTGGCTTCTTTCTTCATGTCCTGAAGCATCTCGTCTGCGATGTGCTTGGGCAAGATGGACAGCAGGAGACGCTCCTGTATGAGGAGGAACATCGACTGATTATTCTAACATAACTGTCTTGTGCATTTGTTACTGTACATGCGCACATAAACCACCTTTGCATCTTTACATTTTCTTTCTTTAAAACAACAATTCTTCTAAAAAGACTGTTTGGGCCAGGTACATTGTCCCAGGAGGACAATGTCCCTGGCCCATTGTCCCAGAGAAGGGAACGAGATGCTGCGTCAGCATAGAGTTCCTTCGAAAGGGAACAGCATTTTAGATCTGATCCACGTCTACCTATAGGAATACAACGCCCATTAAAGCTCCTTCACCTTCAGTATTATCAGCAGCTATCATGTTTCTAAGGGGATAATTAGCCTCCTCCATCCCCAGCTTCTCCACTCGTGATCCCACCTTGTTAAATTCTCTAATTAAGTTGTACATTAAAATGAATTAATGATATCTGCAATACATTCATGTTGGTTCTGTTCTGTTTACCCTAAGGGGGGTTATCGCTGCTCTTATCTATGCTAGGCTACATGGATGTGCAGGAAGTTCTTGCCCAGAACCATACCAATCCAAACTATATGGTAACTGTCAATCGTATTTGACCATAGTGGTCCTGACAGAGTCTTATGCCGAGTTCAGACTGCATGATTTTCAAAGTAGTCGGGTCGCTGTTCTTTTCACACTGCATGACTATCTTGGCCAGAATTCAGTCACTGCCGTGTTCACACTGGACGATTGATCGGTGACAGAAGGTTTCACACTGCATGACTTTACAATAGGAAAAATCGCCGACAGACTCTGTTTAGCACGCTGCGCGCAAACTACGTTTCACAACAAACACACGTGAAATGTGAAAAGGAAACAACGCGACACCACACGGTCAAGACCGGAGTTCTCACGTGAGACTTTTTTTCCGACCCGGTTGTGGTACAGCTGGTGAAACGTCAAACAGACACGAGTGCTCCTGCCAAATTTCTACTAATTTTTCTTCCATTTATTGTGTCTAAATAGACCGAGAAGAAGCTTTTTTCTGAAACAATGCCATATCATGTTGATATGTGATCTATAACTCCTCCCCGAACTCCCCGCTGCTCTGTATCTTGCTCTCTCACTGGCTGCCGGTGATCGCCGATGTAGTTTTCAGTCAAAACACTTTACACACAGCAGGATTTTGAATCGCCGACAGGTCCAGATATTTAGCATGCCAAATATCTCACGGGCGTCGGCGACTCGTCGGTGATTCTCTCAGTTCGCGTCTTTGCTCATTCACACTGCGTGATTGTCACTCGCGTGAACGAGCGCCGATTTGCCTGTTATTTCGGGCATTTGTCGGCGATTTCTCAAAACCTGTCGGCGAGCCAAAATCGTGGCTAAAATCATGCAGTCTGAACTCGGCATTAGTCAACTTTTAGTAGTTCACTACTAATGACCTCATAATTAACAGACTAAAATCGATTCCAATTCTGGAATCTGGATGGTCAGGTATCGAATACTTGAAATTAAAATTTCGATTCCACTTATCGATGTGTGTGCATTTTAATGTGATTTTAAATTCTGTGTTTGCTGTTTTCTGTGCTGGACACAAAAAGCCACCTTTCATTTAGTGCATGAATCTTGAATTGAATTGAAAAATACACACAAAAAGTTTGTTTTAAGTGAACGTAAACAGTTGAGAAATTACTCACTGATCTTGACTGAATAACTTGGTAACTTTAATAAGGATCCATCTCTATTTTACTTATGAGAAGAAAACTAAACTGTCATAATGTGGTTTTGTGTCTTGTCTTTTCATGATCAGTGGTTCCCGTCTGTTAGTTCTCCCAGGTGTTTCCCGTTATTCCCGACGCCCCCTTGTTATCTTGTAAGCTCGTTTGTCCTTGATTATTTAAGCCCTGTGTTTCTGCCCTGTCTTTGTGAGTTGGTGGTGATTTCTGTATCCGTGAATCCTGTTCCTGTCTAAGTTTGTAGTATTGTTAATAAAACCACACTGCGTTTGGATCCAGCCTTCTCGCTATTTCTACCGCACTACACTTAACAATGTTACACTAAACAATGGAACCTTGTTTCCGCCACAATACAAAAAAGGTCATTCTGACTTTATTGCTTGCAATTTTGAGAAAAAAGAAAATCAGAATTGTGAGATAAAAACTCACAATTATCTTTTAAATTGGTTTATTCGGTGGCAAAAACAAACTTACATACTAAGAAGAGTACTTTTACATTTGATTTCACAAATGATTTGTATTTATTTGTGCTATTGCTAATTTTCTTATTGTTCTTTTTATATGACTGACTTGTCTTTAATAAAGTCAGTCTAGTTTATTAGTTAGTTGACTAAGAAATTTTGCGTGAAATGAATTTCAAACTCTCATGGCAGCTAACATTAGCCTTGTTGACGAAAGAATGATTTCTCTGATGTGCGCGCAGTTCCGGATTAGTGGGTGTGGCTTGCGGAGCTGTGCAATGTGGTGCATTGTGGGTCTTGTAGTCTTTCATACAAATGTGCCCTTCGGTTATTTTCTAACTTCTCGGTCAAGAGGGCACCAAATTCAAAAATTATTTTACATTTCAACTACACTATATGATCCACTTTCAATAAAGATTAAGGGTGAAATGCTGCTTTAATAGTGTTTGAAATGTATACTAGTCAGTCTAGTTTATTAGTTAGTTGACTAGAAATTTTGCGTGAAATGAATTTCAAACTCAGGTGTCAGCTAACGTTAGCCATGTTGACGAAAGAATGATTTCTCTGATGTGCGCGCAGTTTCCGGATTAGTGGGTGTGGCTTGCGGAGCATTGTGGGTCTTGTAGTCTTTCATACAAATGTGCCCTTCGGTTATTTTCTAACTTCTCGGGTCAAGAGGGCACCAAATTCAAAAATTATTTTACATTTCAACTACACTATATGATGCACTTTCAATAAAGATTAAGGGTGAAATGCTGCTTTAATAGTGTTTGAAATTTATACTAGTCAGTCTAGTTTATTAGTTAGTTGTTCTTTAGGCTGCTGATTTGTATTCATGGTATTCAGCTGCAAAAAGACATAATAAATACGTTCAAAATCTAAATGTTAGTTTGACTTCTTTTTAACCATGTCGGAAATTGAAACTGGGAATTGATAAGACTTAGGCAGAACCGGAATCGCTAAAATTCAAACAATGTATAAACACACATGGAGGAAAAGCCACAAAACCTTAGCTTGATAGCTTCAAAAAAGCAACAAACCTACAGGTACATATCCGTTCAAAGCTAAAGAAAATGTAGATGAAACTTGAGGGTGGAAAAACACACACAAAAAAATATGAAAAGGTATTGGTCAAATATGTTCCTTGACCAGGAACTGATACACCAGAGGGCAACCTGTGAACATGTCCACTCACAGAAGGGGATTTCAGTCCCAAACATATTTCACAACTGATCACACGAGTGGCTTTGCCTCCAGTCCACCCCGAGGCATCGGCGTGATGCGACTCCGACACGACAAGCAGGACAACGCAGAGCCCTTTAGCGCACACACACCCACACACTGCCACTCTCCTCCAACACATTCTACCACTCCTACACACACACACACACACACATGAATAGAGGAGGCAGCTGACAACATATCAGGTCAGTATAATCATAAGAGTGTGACAATAAAAGAAGATAAAGGTTGGAAGGGATCAAGAGGAGGGAGTCGCTAGTGTGATTACAGCTGACATTGTCTCAGGAGGTTGGTCGCCATGGTAACCTGCTGTAGCCGGATGCTCCTTGATTGGCTTGCAGACCCTGTATCCCAGCAGCCCCTGCTTCTCAATTAGTATTCAGGGAGTTTCTCCTCATATGCTTCTTATCGGCCTGTTTTGCACTCTCTCTCTCTCTCTCTCTCTCTCAAATATACGCATCTATTTTCCTTCTCAACTTTCCGCTAATAGGAAGTGTTTGCTCTGTAAGTGATGAACTGACGGCTGAATCGGTACACATACATGAAGCAATTTTATGCCCACGCAAAAACTGAAAATCCAGTATGACATCACACAGTTGCAGCCAATCAGAACATATCAGATGCTCATGCTGCCTTCACGTCCAATCGAAATTTTCAACGTCTCACTTCTGATGTCGTGATTACGCGCTCGTCGGGAACCCTAGAAGAACGGGAACCATGTAGGACACCCGGCTTATTCTTGCCTATTAATTGGCAAATTCTTATTAAAGCCAAAATTATATTTTGGAACCCCATTCCCTGGGAAACATTCACCATGGTATTTATACTCAGCTTGATCACCATTCTGGAATTTCAGTCAAATACAGGCTATTTTTGCTGTGTATAATACATACAATACACTTCAAATGATTGTTCATATGACAAAATATGCACTAGCCTACTTAATAACAAGACATATGAAGTATCGATGCAGCGGTTATCGAAAAAATGAAAAAGAATAGCAGTCACGGCCACAATCGTTCTCCCCTCCGCCATGTTTAAAGTTTGTGGCCCGTCCATCTCAGGAACTTGGGTATCAAAATTAACTTATCAAACTAATAAACTGGTAAATGCGTCCAATTTTTAACTAGGAAACTAATTTCCTAAATAATTCCGAAAGCATGTGAAGGCAGCATTAATTAATATACAGTTTTGTCGGTTGGGATTTTAGGCCAATGAGATTTCACTGTGGGCGGGGCTACCTAACATGACATCACAGGAAAACAAACCAGCTGATCAACAAAACCAAGTTATTACGTTTTTATACGAAAATACGATTACATTTTTTTTTTCATTTCATGATTGGTGGCTGCCAAACCACTCCCTAGCAACTAAACAGAGTACCCTAGCAACCGTTTAGCAAGACCTAAATCTCTGCAGAACATCTCTACATCGTAGAGACATGGGGGTTGGCTCTTTTGACTCATGCAGAAAAACAGCACTTCCAACATGCTAAACATGCTAGCAGTGAATAGCTACATGCTAATAGCAATTAGTTACATGTTAAATCATAACTAGAACATGCTAAGAACTCTATAAAAACTCTATAGTAACCATCTGTAACAACTACCAACCACCTAATCACACCATAGCAACCAATCATAACACCCTAGCAACCGCCTACTAGCTACACCAAATCAACCACCCCGAACACCCTAGTAACTGCCTAGCAACACCTAGCAACCACCTAGATTACCCTAGCATCTGCCTAGCAACACCTTAACAACCACCCATAATACCCTAGCAACCACCTAGCAACACCATAGCAACCACCCAGAGCACCCTAGCAACCAACTAGGAACCACCCAGCACTATCTAAATATCTAAATATCTAAATGTTAGTTTGAGGTAATTTTTTTACAAATTTCATCTGCTTTTCTGTAGTATGCATTATTAGTATGGTGTTTACTAAGTTTGCTAATATAATTAATTTCTTTTAAAATAGTCCAATGCATTGTTAGCGTTTCTGATCATCCACGAGGAGGCGGGTTTCATGACATTTTCGCGTACAATATGAGTCTCATTTCAGTCGCTAGGCGCCAACCAATAAAACGGATCCTTGGAACACCCACACTCTCGCCGCCACTGAGTTACAAGTGCACAAGTTAGTTTTGCACCTTGTATATCGCGAAAAGAGTAGCAAGTCAAGGCGCGAAATTCGAATTTGCAGTGACAATTTCAAAAAGTTGCAAGTGACTAATTGAGGTTGTATTGCGAATGTGAATGTAAGAATAAATGCAGATATACACTCACCTAAAGGATTATTAGGAACACCTGTTCAATTTCTCATTAATGCAATTATCTAATCAACCAATCACATGGCAGTTGCTTCAATGCATTTAGGGGTGTGGTCCTGGTCAAGACAATCTCCTGAACTCCAAACTGAATGTCAGAATGGGAAAGAAAGGGGATTTAAGCAATTTTGAGCGTGGCATGGTTGTTGGTGTCTGAGTATTTCACAATCTGCTCAGTTACTGGGATTTTCACACACAACCATTTCTAGGGTTTACAAAGAATGTTGTGAAAAGGGAAAAACATCCAGTATGCGGCAGTCCTGTGGGCGAAAATGCCTTGTTGATGCGAGAGGTCAGAGGAGAATGGGCCGACTGATTCAAGCTGATAGAAGAGCAACTTTGACTAAAATAACCACTCGTTACAACCGAGGTATGCAGCAAAGCATTTGTGAAGCCACAACACGCACAACCTTGAGGCGGATGGGCTACAACAGCAGAAGACCCCACCGGGTACCACTCATCTCCACTACAAATAGGAAAAAGAGGCGACAATTTGCAAGAGCTCACCAAAAAGACTGAAAAATGTTGCCTGGTCTGATGAGTCTCGATTTCTGTTGAGACGTTCAGATGGTAGAGTCAGAATTTGGCGTAAACAGAATGGATCCATCATGCCTTGTTACCACTGTGCAGGCTGGTGGTGGTGGTGTAATGGTGTGGGGATGTTTTCTTGGCACACTTTAGGCCCCTTAGTGCCAATTAGCCTTTCGCCGAGCCCCGCCCCCCTTAGTTACTGCTGCTACCTCCGTCAAACAAATGGTCAAACACGGGCAGCGCGACAGATTGCCATGACGGCAAAGGGTATTCCCGTGCGTGTCAGTGACCTTTTTTGGAGCAATACCTCCGCGATATCAAGCAAGATCGAAGCAAAAGGGGTTACGGTATGCGGTGGAGGGATTTATTCCAAATATAAAATTAAGAAATGAATGAGACACGACTACTATTGATGCTAATGCTTACCAGTCTCAAGAAAAATCAGAAAAACCCCATGACCATGCTAAGTTACCTCAAATGCAACCAGCACAGCCTTGAAGATTTTATAAACTGGTTCAGTGGCTAATTGTTTGGAGTTCGAAATATATAACTTGCGCTGCATATTTATTCATTTTGCCTCCGATACAGGAGTACACGTTCGCTTTAACAAGCAGGTTGTTCATTACCACAGCAACCGATTGCGTGTCATGCTCATGCTGAATGCGATTTTCGTGTTTAAAAAGTAACTAACGTTATGCATAAGAGACGGAAAGAGGCAGAGAACCATACGTTATTTAAGGTTATTTCTATTCGTTACGATATTGATATATGAACTGATGTTGTCATGTAAGCTTCATGCTTTCCCCGTTGCGAACGTCCTCTAAACTGTAGTCTACGGTGCTGCACTGCTAACTTAGCTGACTGCTGCTCATTTTCCCAGAGAATATCATGGTATGTTAACAACAACCCTTTAGAAAATGTACAGTAAGTCCTTTGTGGATCCTCTTGATCTGCTTTCTCCGTGCTTCTTTGACTAATCTCAGTCGCACGCACGCTGCACGCGAGACGAGTTAACCATGTTCGACACATTTAACTGGGATTGGGGCGTCCACACTGTTTAATACATCTTAGGCACCGCTCGCGTTGTGTTTTGGGCTTTGGAAAGGGAAAAAACACAACTTCTCCAGACAATCTCTCGGGGTATCATGTGTCCGATTTACTAACGCCGTGGGCGCACCGCTTACTGTTTGACGGAACAGCTCACACAGTAACGGTTGCTATGATGTGTGATTGGACAATGGCCATTTTGTGGGAGGGGCCGGCGAAAGGTCAATTGGGCATCGTTTAAATGCCACGGCCTACCTGAGCATTGTTTCTGACCATGTCCATCCCTTTATGGCCACCATGTCCCCATCCACTGATGGCTACTTCCAGCAGGATAATGCACCATGTCACAAAGCTCGAATCACTTCAAATTGGTTTCTTGAACATGACAATGAGTTGACTGTACTAAAATGGCCGCCACAGTCACCAGATCTCAACCCAATAGAGCATCTTTGGGATGTGGTGGAACGGGAGCTTCGTGCCCTGGATGTTCATCCCACAAATCTCCATCAACTGCAAGATGCTATCCTATCAATATGAGCCGACATTTCTATAGAATTCTTTAGGTGAGTGTATTTTAGATGTTTGTGACTGTCATTGTATTTTTGTGAATGGCATTTTACACATTTGTGACTGCTTGTCTGCAGCTTCAGATTCAGAATAGAGGTTTGTGACTATCGTCTGCGAGAGCAAATTTCAACATTCAACTTCAGATTTTTCACATCAGAGCTGCGAGTGTAAATGTTCGTGTACCCATAAGTTCTCCAGTTCACATCTACGTGCTCTCGAGTATTGCTACTCTTTTACCTTCATAATTGACCAACAAAAAACTGCTTGGTTTGAAGAACTCTCATCCACCGCTACACTATTGATATACCTTTATCCTTGAGAAATATCTCAGAAATTTTGCTAACGAGACTGAATCATAAGACCAGGAATAGTGCTCATGATTAATTGAAATAAAACTGAATTTGTGCCGTTGCAAATAAGCAAAACAGGAAATGCTGCTTAGCTCATCAGACGAGCATCTCTCCGACAGGAACCTACCGCTCAGCATGAGACCATTCCCATGCTCCTCCTGGGTTTGTGATGTTTCTCTCACCTGCTGCTGACTTTGCTCCTCCAGGTTGAGCTTCACCTCCAGCGACTGCCGGGCCTCGAGAAAGGCCTTGCGGTGTTTGCGGTCGGCCATGTAATACGACATGACGCCCACTGTGATGGCACATAAGTAGATCACAATGTTGGCCAGCAGCTGCAAGACAGAACAACACAATCATGACACGCATCCAGTGTTCTTACACAACCCTTCTTGACTTAGAGTCTAAGCTGTATTATATAAGCTATGTATTTATGCATACGGCCAAAAGCTTGGAATTTTTGTGTTTTTAAAAGTCTGAAAATATATAACTGTTTTCTATTGTAATATATTTCAAATGTAATTTATATTCCTGTGATCAAATCTGTATTTTCAGCATCATTACTCCAGTCTTCAGTGTCACATGATCCTTCAGAAATCACTCTAATATGCTCAAGAAACATTTACGATTATTATCAATGTTGAAAACAGTTTTTCCAAATACTGACCAGTTTATATGATTAGTAAACATAAATAATTTACATGAAAACAATAAACAAAGGGATTGAAATTACTGTCAAGTAGGCATGGGCAATGATTAATCGCGATTAATCGCATCCAAAATAAAAGTTTGTGCTTACATAATATATATGTGTGTGTGGTGTGTATAATTAATTTGTATGTATAAATACCCACACATGTATGTGTATATTTAAGAAAAATGTGCTATTAATATATCAAATATTTATATTTTATATAATATTAATTATGTATAAATATATATAAAGTATATACATGCAAATATTTCTTAAATATACATGCATGTGTGTGTATTTATATATACAAATTAATTATACACACTACACACACATATATTATGTAAACATAAACTTTTATTTTGGATGCGATTAATCGCGATTAATCATTGCCCATCCCTACTGTCAAGAACTAAGTAAATGACTACCATGATGTATAAATATTTTAAAATGTAAAATATCCAAAAAAATGTTTACCTTCCAGTAATAAGAATTTGCACAAAACACACACAAACAAACACATGATAATGTGATTCCAAAATATGCATTATGTTTTTCTTTTGATTTTAGGGTGAAATGACACGGACATTTTGTGAGATTCACTCTATAGGACCTGCACTGCACAGTAATGCCACTATGAAGCGTTGATCTCGATGTTTTTGCTCTGTAATGTATTCTTTCTAATAAACTGCTTTCTGTGTCTCTCGGGGCCGCAGTCTTGCTGAGTAAGAAGAGCTCAGCATCTCGGCCGGACACCTGCCGGCCCTTCTGGCCCCTTCTACCATCTTACGACTGCAGAGCCACACACACCGACAGCATGACACACGCGCACACATCAATAGAACAACCACAAATATATTTATGATGCATCACCTGAATCTGATGAAAGCATGCACAGTCATATTTCATCCAAAAACCTAAATTCTATTATTATATTGCATTAAAAAGATTTTTTGGCTTTGTAACACTATTATATTCATGACTAAAGAAATTAATATATTATATATTACCAGTAGTTTTCTTCAGCTTACACTCTAAAAAATTATGTTGTTGTTTCAACCCAAATTTGGGTCAAATAAGGACAAACCCAGCTGTTGGGTTACTCCATTTTTGACCCAACTCTGGGTTAAAACAACCCCGCATTTTTTTGGAGTGTATCTAAATTTATATATATATATATGAAGAGTTCAGATGCAAAAGCCTCTAAATGCCATTTGAAATTTTCTTCTTTAATGATGATTTTTTATCAAACTTGTATATTTAAGTTCAGTGATTTCACTTAAATGGCAATTAATAGGCAATTATCATTGCCATTTAAGTGAAATCACTGAACTTAAATATACAAGTTTGATAAAAATCATCATTAAAGAAGAAAATTTCAAATGGCATTTAGAGGCTTTTGCATCTGAACTCTTCATATATATATATATATATATATATATATATATATCTACTTCATCTCTTGGTTGCTGGTTAAAAGATAAAAGATAAAAGTTTCAAAAGGGGTTTTCGCAGCCATAGAAGAACAACATTGTGGTTCCCTAAAGAGCATTTCAGTGATTAGTTCTTAAAAGTAGCAGGGTTTTCTCATTGTGACGAACGTTTTAATAATCTAAACTCTAAACAATATTTTTTTACAATAAAGAATATTTTGTGGAATGGGAAGTTTTCCATAGATGTTTTTTATGGGACCATCAATGTCAATAAAGAACCTTTTTTTAAGAGTGTATGGTAACTACTATATGGGGATTTTCGCATGTGAGATCCGATGATTTATAAAGTAAAAATTGAATTCAATATAATTCTGAATCTTTAATTTTAAATTACATTTTTAATCCAATGGTTCGATTTGTCCATATTTGACCCAAATTTGGGTTAAAACAAACCAGTATTTTTTAGTGTGAACCATTTCTTAAATAATTAGTACCAAAAACTATTCCATCTAGAAATTAGCAATATGCATTAAATCCTAAATTTGATCAAATCTGTTTTAGTAACACTTTACAATAAGATTCCATGTGTTAACATTACTCAATCAAATAACAATGAATAATACTTCTAACATTTACTAATACATTATTAAAATTATAAGGTAATATTGTTAATATTATTTAGTGGCATTCTAGCAGAAACTATAATGAGAACATTACAAAGATGAATTAATGCTATAACAATTTAATTGCTCTTTTTTACTTAGATGTTAGTTAACATTATATGACCTTCCTTATATCTATGAATATCTATAAACTAACACGTCTTTAAACAAACATTGGCAACTGGATTTGTAACAGAGAAAATGTGTGTTGTATAGTAAGTACCAGTTTTATATATATACTAAAATGTATGTGTTTGATTAAGATTGTATTGTTGTCACTGACACTGAGTCTTTGAGTTTCTCAGGTTTTAACACCAGATGAATCAGACTTTGATCAGAATCCTCAGAAGGAGCTGAGCTTCATTTACACTCTTAAAAATAAAGGTTCCCGAAGGGTTTTCACAGTGATGCCATGCCATCGAAGAACCATTTTGGGTTTCCCAAAGAATCTGCATGTTTCAGCATGTTTTTCTTAGTGTGAAGAACATTTTAAAAAATCTAAAGAACTTTTTTTGGTTACACTATTTTCAGGTTAAGTTACAGTAATTACATTGTACTTACTCAAACTATTAATTAACTACTTACTACATTCTAAAAAATGCTGTGTTGTTTTAACACAAATTTGGGTCAAATATGGACAAACCCAAATGTTGGGTTAAAAATGTATTTTAAAAAATGTACAGTTGAAAGTTAAAGTTGAAGTTTGGTTCAAATTTTAAATTACATTTTTAACCCAACACTTGAGTTTTGTCCATATTTGACCCAAATTTGGGTTAAAACAACCCAGCATTGTTTAGGGCAATGGTTAGACTACATACATACTTGTTACATATATTACATGTCCTTAACATAGTAATAACAGTAAATTATGCATAATTATGGAACTAACCCTCAACCAAACCCTGATCCTACCCTAACCCTATAGTAAGTACATGTAGTTAATTAATATTACTCATTACTTAAATATATAATTGCACTGTAACAATGACACCTTAAAATAAAGTGTAACCAAATATAGTGTCCATTTTTTCCAATATAAAGAACATTTTGTGGAATGAAAAGTTTCCCTGGATGTTAAAGGTTCTTCATTGAACCACTGATCAAGAACATTTATTTTTATAGTGAAGAAGAAAAATTTCAGGTCCCATAAAAAACTTTTCAGTGAATATTTCTTATAAGGAAAATAATTCAATGTTAAAGGTATCAATGCCAGTAAAGGAACTTTATTTCGTCTAGTGGGAAAAGGTTATTTAGATCTTTGTAGACCTCACACTACGACAAAAAATGGTTCTGTTCACTGAAAGGTACACTGATCCCAAGAAAATGTATTGTAGAAGAACAATTGTGGCGCCCACAGATAACCTTTTTAGCGAATATTTCTTAAAAGGAAAAACTGGTGTAGAGGAAACACCAAATTAAGTGTAGAGCAAAAGGGTTTTTTTAGAGACGTTGTGGACTTTACACTTTAAAAAAAAGGTTCTTTAAATTGTACTGTTGACTCAAAGGTTCTTTGGGGAACCAAAAATGGTTCTTCAATAGCATCACTGTGAAAACCTCCTTTTAAAGAGAGTATAACAAGTCTTTTGCAGAATGGAAAGATTCAATGGATATTAAAGGTTCTTCACAGAACCATCGAACCCAATACATTTTGTTTTGAGAGTGTAGAAGAACAATTGTGGTGCCCACAAAGAACCTTTCATTGAATATTTCTTAAAAGAAAAGATTCCATGGATGGTGTCAAAACTATATTTGGTGTAGTGGAGAAAAGTGTTTTAGAGACTTTGTGGACTTCTTTAAATTGTACCGTTGACTCTCAGCCCCTTTTCCACCAAAGCATTTTGAGAGCCGGTTCAGAGCCGGTGCCTGTGCGCGAACCAGTTCTTTGTGTTTTGACAGCCAAAGAACCGGTTCTCGGCCGGGAAAACTGGAAACACGATGGAGTCTGCTGTTGTTCAGCTTGAGGTTGGCGCAAGCGTTTTTATTTTTTATTTAAAACATAAGCAAAGAAAACAGTCACGATATAGAACAAATAAATGGAAAGAAAAAAAGACACAAGACCGGGGTACATAACTTATCAGAAAAGATTACATATCAAAAACGAAAAGATTAAAAGACTTAGATATTTCAATTGTTTTTAAAGCCTTCTTGGTATAATAACAAATCAAAAAGTAACGTACTTGCAAGCGTTTCTAGCGACGTACACAGTGACGTAACGACGTCGTTCCCTGGGCGCTCTAGTCAGTGGAAAAACAAACAGGTTCTGAAAAGGTTCGCAAGTTGAACCAACTCCGAACCAACTTTGAACCAGCACCAGTTCCGAACCAGTTCTTTTTGGGTGGAAAAGGGGTAAAAGGTTCTTTGGGGAACCAAAAAAGGTTCTTCTAATCTATATCATCACTTTTTTAGAGAGTATCTTTTCGTGGAATGGAAAGATTCTATGGAAGTTAAAGGTTCTTCACGGAACCACTGATCCCCAAAAAAAGTATTTTTGGTGTCGAAACTTTATTAAGTGTAGTGGAAAAGGCTTTTTTTTTAAATGGTTCTTTAAATTGTGCTGTTGACTCAGAGGTTATTTGGGGAACCAAAAATGGTTCTTCAATGGCATCACTGTGAAAACCTCCTTTTTTAGAAAGTATAATCTTTTCGTGGAATGGAAAGATTCAATGGATGTTAAAGGTTCTTCACGGAACCATTGATCCCCAAAAAAAGTATTTTTGGTGTCAAAGCTTAATTAAGTGTAGTGGAAATGGCTTTTTTTTTAAATGGTTCTTTAAATTGTGCTGTTGACTCAAAGGTTATTTGGGGAACCAAAAAAGATTCTTCTATAGCATCAATTTTTTAGAGAGTTTACTCTTTTCGTGGAATGGAAAGATTCAATAGATGTTACAAGGTTCTTCACAGAACCATCGATCCCCAAAAAAAGTATTTTGGTGTCAAAACTTTATGAAGTGTAGTGGAAAAGGTTTTTTAGAGACTTTTTTTAAAAATGGTTCTTTAAACTGTGCTGTTGACTCAAATGTTATTTAGAGAACCAAAAATGGTTCTTCAATGGCATCACTGTGAAAATCTCCTTTTGACCCCTATTTTTTTTTTTAAAGAATCTTTTGTGGAATGGAAAGATTCCATGGATGTTAAAGGTTCTTCACGGAACCATTGACCCCCCAAAAAAAGTATTTTTGGTGTCAAAGCTTTATGGGCTATATGCACGCATAAGTTCCGCATTTGACGCAAGGATGCTCGTCCATTTCCGGTTGTGGAGATTAAAGCGGAGGAGAACCGAGGAAAACGGGATTATGGCAGAGTCTTCAAAATTTACTGTCCTCCCGACTTTGAAACGAAACGTACATACGTTTAGATGTAATTTTATATATTGTTATGTTTATTTAATATAATTTTTAAAAGAAGCATAAACACAACGAGGGGTGTCTGTTTTATCTGTTTTTGTGACTAACGTTTCATTAGTATAACCGTGGAGTATAAAATTCAATATAAATTCTCTGTATTGCATTGGACTCAACGATCGGCGGAAGTTATCGAGCATCCTTAATCCTTCACCGGAAATACCGCCGTGCATAGAGCCCATTAAGTGTAGTGGAAATGGCTTTTTTTTTAAATGGTTCTTTAAATTGTGCGGTTGACTCAAAGGTTATTTGGAGAACCAAAAATGGTTCTTCAATGGCATCACTGTGAAAATCTCCTTTTGACCCCTATTTTTTTTTTAAAGAGTCTTTTGTGGAATGGAAAGATTCCATGGATGTTAAAGGTTCTTCACGGAACCATCGATTCCAATAAAGAACCTTTGATTTTAAGAGACTCCTGCCATCTCTCGCTCCTCCTCTCCATCATTTTTCTCACCTGTCTTCCGAGAGCCGCCCCCTGAATGTCCTCTTGCTGCTGCTGGGCAATGGTGACGCCGAGGACCAGTGTGTGTACGCCACAGGACACCGACGTGATCAGAACTATAGGGGTCAGTCTCAGCGGCAGCGTCAGAAAGAAGGAGAAGCTAAAGAAGGCCTGCCAGCCTACAGTATCACTGGGCTGATGGAAGCGGGCAAAGTTCAGTCCGAGGTAACAGAAGATCTGGGCCGCTATGAGCACCCATAAGGCGTAGGGCACCAGGCGGCGGGTCACGCGGTCGGGGAGGAGACCGAACCGGCACAACACGTACAAGAGCACGTCTGCCAGCAGTCCCACCGACGCCACGACCACAGACGCCAGCTTATCGCTGGAGTAAAGCACGGTGCACATCACGATGACGTAGCAGTCGAACAGGGCGGCGAACACCACCAGCACCAGCAGGGTCTCGTGCCGCTGCCGCCGGAAATACGTCTGGTAGAGGTTCTCCAGAGAGTCTGGAGCGAAAGTTAAACGCATGAACCGCGGGAGACACAGGCAGCAGCCGGAGCTGCGTACGGTCACCTCGTGTGTGCGTCCCACGGCCTGTCCCGGGTCAGAGGGCAGGGTGACCGAACAGTCCGCCGAATACTCGGCAGAATACTCCGGCTCAGAGAAAGCCCGGTTTCGAGGCATTCTGGGCGTTGGATTGTGAAAAACGCTATGAAAACTAGGCTAGTACTCCTTTTGGGTTTTAATGCAACCGGCGCTCGAAGAACATTGCGCTTGGGTCGCTTGAAACGTGTCGGGTAACGTCCAATCCTGAGATCAGATCCGAAGTCGCCCCCTGATTGTCATGGCGCATGTTTAGATCTTGCATGCATGTTCGTGGCATTGGCGCTTTGTCACTTCGAGAAGCTACACGCCTTTTGTTTTTCCTGATGTCTGCAAAGACAGGGCCCAGCAAGTTGGCGACAAAAAAAGGAAGCCGTTTACACATCCATGAGACTCTCTGTTCCCGATCCAGGATCCAGTCTCGGTGTCCACCAGCGCTCACTGTGGGTTTCCATGGTGAATCCTCGCATGGATGAAGAACATCAGGAAGCAAGAGATACGACCATTGAACGAGATGTTTCGCCCCAGATCGACATGACACCCTGTGATAAGGAGAATAAAAAGGCTTAAATGGACAGAACAGACGTGATCGTGCTCGGAGTGCGTATCGTGGCCAGATACAGTCTGTTATTATAATGCATTTCTCTTCTTCCTGTGCATTATCAGGATTCACGCAGGAAATACATGTTGCGCTCCCGAAATATGGAAATGCATTTCACAATACGCCGCTGCCGTCTTCTGTTATGCTAAGAAATGGTACATATCCTGACATTTTCACCAAGACGTGCAAACGGGATTTTCCCAGATGTTCAGTGACGAAAACGTGGATTTATTTATCTCGCAGGGCTGCCTTTATCCGTAACATATCCACGTATAACATTACACAGTCCTTCGAAGATGTAAAGTGTGGCACAGATCAATCACAAAATCACCCGTGAAACGCAGGAAAATCACCGTATGCTTGACTCGAAGGCTTTCCCCCCCACCAAAAGTCACCAATAATCATCCGACTTTCCGTTTGAAGGATGAAAACAGAAGATATTGCCTCAGTCTTCAGTTCTCCTGCCCTGATAGACCAGACCTGGCAGTTTTCATTGAGTCTGTGTACATATACGGAGATTCAGTCGTCCTCACTTTCTAGATGCAAGCGAACATCATGTCCGATTCGTGGATGAACCGTTGTTTTGAACCGGTTCTTTTTAATGAATCATATGAACCGATTCTCTAAGCTTTAGCGAATCATTCTAATGGGGAAAGTTTGAGTTAAATTTAAGGGATAGTTCACCCCAAAATTAAAATGTCTTCATTTACTCACCCTCATGTTGTTCCAAACCCGCATGAGTTTCTCCAAAGAAGGCATTTCTAAGAATGTCGATGAATGACAGCTTAGTTATCTAAAAATCGTAATCGAATTTAGCTAAATTTAGCAATTTCAGGAAGAAACACGCAAGAAACGTAGTTATGAACAGCATATAATGCATATGCTTATACAAAATATATATAAAAGACTTTTAGGAACATTTTTCAGTGATGACTCGATTGAATCGAATCTCTATATTGATCCTTCAGAGCGAACCGATTCGGTGAAATGAATCAGATTTCTCTATCGTACTATGGCGGCGGCTTGCGACAAGAATATTCATTTGATTGTGCTGACGTATCTTTGTGAGTGTCCAAACACCCATCCTGTTTAATATTCATGAGCGTAACCTTCTCTATAGTAGGATGGCCACTGGCCAGACTGTGTCAACAGCTAAAATTATTCAGCCCATCTTGTTACAACCCCTACAGCAATTTTTTCTATGAATATAGCACAAATTCAATGCAAAAATAAATAAATAAATAAATAAACTTTGTTTAGGTTCTTTTTACATGTATCCAATTATTTATAAACCTGTAAACACTCAGCATAAATAAAATGTAAATAATACAAAAATATTGCTAAAGGATTCAAACGTAAAACACAAGTACACATTCAATTGAAATCAATGAGATATTATTTTGAATGAGTTTTATTGTTGTATTTTCTGTTTTCATTTTACTTTTAGTTATTCCAAGTCATTTTTTGTGTTGTTTTATGGTGTTATTTTTAATCAACTATGCCTGGTTTTGAGTGAAACGATATGAAGTAAAATAAAGTCACATAAAAAGGTTTTTAATTAAATATATAAATACCCAGATCTCTCTCTCTCTCTCTCACACACACACACAGGGAAATTGTTTTACCGCAGTGAGGACTAAATGTGTGCGTTTGGATAGCTGAGGGCCAGTATTTAGCTGTCGAACAGGGCCATACATGTCCAAGAAGGGTTGCTTTAACGTTTATCAATAGCATTACATAAAATAACATGTTTTAGCTACTGTTAAAACTGACGTTGACAGTCTGACACCACTGACATCACCCCGGGGTCGTATTGATTATTCCACTGAAACTCAGTATTGAACAAGTGATCAATAGTCAGGCAGCTGACCTTTATAAAGCATACAGAAGGCATCAACACACAGATGCATCACATCATCTACTCAAGCATGAATGTGACATGAGTGTCAGTGGATGATATCCTGAAAGCGCAGGAGTCACCTCAACACTGTGATTAATATATATTCCCAGGCTCTGGTTGCTAAGTACGCAGTGAGAACCCGAGGGAGACAGGGAGCATGGTAATTATTAAATTCGCTTTGCCTCAGAGGTTCATTGGGGAACAATTATGGAGTACTCCATTATACATGTGGAAGTTTGGGACTTTAAAGCTTCAGGGGAAAGCAGTGTGAAGAAGCTGACCTTTTAGCACCTAGTTTAGTCATGTTCTCTTCTGCACAAGCATTGTCCAGTTCATGCTAAAAGCTCTGTGTGTTTGCTGCAGTGTGAACGCTTGCTCGGAGGGAGATCACGGGGTTAGAGTCTCTGACATTGTGCTTCTGGGTTGTTGTAAATGACGTTTCTTAATTGTTGATCATGGTTTCGTTTTCCTCTCTGCTATGAAAAGGAAGATGGCAATGAAACTCACCTTGACAAAACAATGTTTAACTTTTTACAGCTGATAGTTAAATTAAAGCCCGAGGAGTAACTATGAAAATGGGACAAAGCAGGAGAAAATAAAGAAGAATCTATGAATGAATAAAAAAATAAAGCATGTGTATTTAAGCAGAAATAAAGCAAATATCATCAGTAGCATACTTTAAAAAAAGTAGTTCTGAATATATACATATATAGCTTAGTGTACTCTCAAATTGATTAATCGCATCTGACATAAAAGTTTGTGTAAATATAATATATGTGTATTATATATCACACACACACATCATTTATTAGTAAATATGGAAACTATCTTTTTTATTTTTTCAGTTTTAGTTATGTTTTAGTGCATCAAGTAGCTAAAATAAGTTATTTTAAAATATATTTTATTTCAGTTGATGTTTATTTTCATTTCAAGTTTTTTTCATGGTTCATGGTCATGGTGACTGTGGGGGCCATTTTAGTACAGTGAACTCTTTGTCATGTTCAAGAAACCAATTTGAAATGAGTTGAGTTTTGTGATTGGTGCATTATCCTGCTGGAAGTAGCCATCAGAGCATCCCTTCAAGGTAAAAAAATGCTACGGTTGGCAAAAGGCAACTTCCTAAAACAACACAGCATGTATGTTCATTTTTATGTACTTTTATTTGCATAACATAACTTTATGCTTTATGCTACAAACACATTAGGCTATATATGAAGAGATGCAAAAGCCTCTTGAAATTTTCTCCTAGAATGATCATTTTTATCAAGCTTGTATATTTAAGTTCAGTAATTTAACTTAAATGACAATTAATAGGTAATCTTCATTGCAATTTAAGTGAAATTACTGAACTTAAATATACAGGCTTGATAAAAAGATCATTCTAGAAGAAAATTTCAAATGGCATCTGAACTCTTCATATATATTTACTTCCTCAACTTCTGTAATCTGTGCAGACCTCTTTAACTTACATTCCACAACCTTGCAAATCATTTCAAACGAGTTTACCACAGACTCTGATTACTACCACTACTACAGGTATTACGGTCGCGCGTGTGACAGCCAGCGTGAGCGTGCGCGCAGAGGCTCGAGACGCAGGCGCGCAGGATGTGACGCTTTGCTGACGTGTATCTAGGGAAACCGAGGAAGTAAATGGTGGTTCTTTGACAAATATTGTGAGAGATCCAGTGGGGAAAAGACAGTGGCATGTCCACTAAACACGGGAGTGACTGGACTAAGAGACTGGAGTGCGTTGGCAGACTCAGGTGCGGTGACTTACACCAACACTGACAGCTTTGACTGACATCGGCGAAGCGGCTCGAGCCGAGGGAGAGAAACTGAGAGAGATAGCGCACAAAAACAACAAACATACACACATAAAAGAGAGAGAAAGAGTTTAAATGCCGAAACTGTCTCTCTAGTGTTCAGACGTGTAGGGTTTAACGTGTCTTGTTGATAGGAAATGTGACTGATAAATTGAGCTAAAGAGATTAAGGAGCAGATAGCAGGTGCTGCAGTGAATACAACCCAGACATTCAGTGTTTCTATTGTTAAATGACGACATACAGAGGTGTATGATCTCTGAGATGTCTACATAAGTCTCTATGGTGTTGTTCATTACTGTTCTTGAGTACCTTTAACTCTGTAAACTAATGTAGGCTATCACATATTGTTGTAGCTCTGTCTATAAAATGATACACTATACATTCATAAAAAGTTATGATCAAGTTTAGAAACAAAGTTGTATTAATTACTTATTATTTTATACATGAGTAGAAACAATAATTGGATACCTGAAGTAGGCTAAGAACAATCATCTTATGTTTTTAAATGTCTTTTGAAATTTGAGACTCATTTCTGAACTTTTACCAAACATAATGGAATATGTTATGTTACTTGCCATCTTATGACAAAACCTCACAAAATTCACTAAATCCATTGCTAATACCTAATGATGTTCTGTTTTCCCACCTAAATGATGTCACTTCTTCCTGGAATATTATTGTATTGAACTGGCTGGGATAATATACAGATATATTCATTAATCGCATCGCAAAGGGTTGAATTGAGCGCATTGCTTTGTGAGATACAGTTTTCCATGCATTGTGCTGATTTATACGCCTTATTTCGAGAAATAGATGTGCATACAGTATATTTGCACAATATACACACTTCTTTCAGAAAGAGCCGATAAAAGCAAATATATTTTTTATAAATAGCCGATGATCAGAGTCGATTAAATCCTGTCAATCAAAAGGGGCTAGTAAAATGTGTTAGGACTGCAACTCCCACTGTGAGAAGCAAATCTTTCTCGTGTTGAATTTAGGACAAGTTAACGTAACAATAACACGTTAACAGTTAAAAACTCGACACTTTACTCGACAGTTCTCGACACCAAACATTATTTGTAGCACCTCCCATCTAGTACTATCTTTTCTTCCACTTTAAGACAAGTTATAGCATGAAAAAACATGCATAAAGATCAAGGAATATGTTGAAAAATACAGTGCTACTTAATGAAATATATCATGTCTCGTAGTCGCTCAGTCAGTGTTTCAACCGTGGAAAGATGTTAATATTTACTGTTAGTTATATATGCTCATGTTAGAATAAATTTGCCTTGAAGACAGGCGTTTATGATGCATACAAACATTTCAGTTTTTCTTTAAGTATGATTATTACTAGGGGTGTAACAATATTTCGTGTCACAATATATCCCAATACAAATATGCAACAATATGTATCGTGGATAGTGAAAATATGTGTATAATTCATGTGTTTAAGTCATAATGTGAGAAGTTTTCAAAGTTTAAGTGTATACATACTACATTAAACTACTATATAATGTCGAATATGATGTATAATAATGCAATAGGGGATCCTGATAATGTCAAATGTCTCCTGTTGCCTGTAAAAATTGGCCTACATTGTTTTAAATATATTTAGCATAGGCTATTTGTCTAAAATAATTCTGTATTTTCAGCTTCATAATCTTGAATATGTTTATTCTGGTGTCTCTATTGTCCTGTGCTTTAGGTTACAAGCACCAAGTCCAAGACTATTCATTTACACACACAATGTAATGTCAAATTTATAATTTTAATCAACAGTACATTTTTTTTGTTAACCTTTTATCATGTCTTGGATTATC